AGTTGCCTTGCCAAGAAATATGTAGTATTTTCTCCTTCAGAGTCCAAAAAAACTTTTCAGAGTCGTTCAAAGAAGAATATATGCATCATTTAGCCTCGCCAGTTCGCCAGACAGCCAGCCACTCACCACACACAAGGAAAAGAAGAAAGGGGAAAGGCAGTCGCCAGACAGCCACTCACACACACAAGAAAGAAAGCAGATATATTGGTATAAGGGTTGTTGCCAACATAAAAAACGTAATTAGGAGTCACCAGCTCTGCTAGCTATCAGGGAGGACCGAGCCCACCATCCTGAAACCAACCGCCTATCACTGAGAGCAAAGCCTCGTACTTAAAACCATTCACACAGAAATCTTATGGTAAACATATTTCAAGCAAAAGCAATTTGCCAATTTTTCATTTTAGAAAAATAATAACAGAACCAAAATCGAAGAAAATGAAGAGTGAGAGATTGTAGAGGATGGAGGCCCAAACAGAAATAGAGAAATCTGGAGAAAGAGAAGGCTCAGATCAGATATGCCTTCAAATTGGACAGGACAGAAACACCATAACATCGGCGCTGCAACAACAAAATGTTGCCTTGCCAAGAAATTGAGTATTTCTCCTCGAGTCCAACTTTTCAGGCTCAAAGAATATATCATCATAGCCTCGCCAGTCGCCAGACAGCCACTCACAAACATAAGAAAGAAAGCAGATATATTGGTAGAAGGGTTGTTGCCAACATAAAAAACGTAATTAGTAGTCACAGGCTCCGCTAGCTATCAGGGAGGACCGAGCCCACCATCCTGAAACCAACCGCCTCTCACTGATAGTCACAGGCTCCGCTAGCTATCAGGGAGGACCGAGCCCACCATCCTGAAACCAACCGCCTCTCACTGAGAGCAAAGCCTCGTACTTAAAAAAATTCACACAGAAATCTTAAGGTAAACATACTTCATGCAAAAGCAATTGCCAATTTTTCATTTTAGAAAAAAAATAACAGAACAAAAATCGAAGAAAATGAGGATTGAGAGATTGTAGAGGATGGAGGCCCAAACAGAAATAGGGAAATCTGGAGAAAGAGAAGGCTCAGATCAGATATGCCTTCAAATGGAGGCCCAAACAGAAATAGGGAAATCTGGAGAAAGAGAAGGCTCAGATCAGATATGCCTTCAAATTGGACAGGACAGAAACACCACAACATCCGCGCTGCAACAACGAAAGGTTGCCTTGCCAAGAAATTGAGTATTTCTCCTCCAGTCCAACTTTTCAGGCTCAAAGAATATAGGATCATAGCCTCGCCAGTCGCCCGATAGCCATTCACACACACAAGAAAGAAAGCAGATATATTGGTATAAGGGTTGTTGCCAACATAAAAACCGTAATTAGTAGTCACCGGCCCCGCTAGCTATCAGAGAGCACTGGGTCAACCACCCTTAAACAACCGCCTCTCACTGAGAGCAAAGCCTCGTACTATAACTATTCACACAAAAATCTTAAGGTAAACATATTTCATGCAAAAGCAATTGCCAATTTTTCATTTTAGAAAAAAAATAACACAACAAAAATCGAACAAAATGAAGAGTGAGAGATTGTAGAGGATGGAGGCCCAAACGGAAATAGAGAAATCTGGAAAAAGAGAAGGCTCAGATCAGATATGCCTTCAAATTGGACAGGACAGAAACACCACAACATCAGGGCTGCAACAACAAAAGGTTGCCTTGCCACGAAATTGAGTATTTCTCCTCGAGTCCAACTTTTCAAGCTCAAAGAATATATCATCATAGCCTCGCCAGTCGCCAGACAGCCTTTCACACACACAAGAAAGAAAGATCATAGGCCTCGCCAGTCGCCAGACGAGCCTATCATAGCCTCGCCAGTCGCCAGACAGCCTTTCACACACACAAGAAAGAAAGCAGATATATTGGTATAAGGGTTGTTGCCAACATAAAAAACGTAATTAGCAGTCACAGGCTCCGCTAGCTATCAGGGAGGACCGAGCCCACCATCCTGAAACCAACCGCCTCTCACTGAGAGCAAAGCCTTGTACTTAAAAAATTCACAAAGAAATCTTAAGGTAAACATATTTCATGCAAAAGCAATTGCCAATTTTTCATTTTAGAAAAAAAATAACACAACAAAAATCGAAGAAAATGAAGAGAGAGATTGTAGAGGATGGAGGCCCAAACGGAAATAGAGAAATCTGGAGAAAGAGAAGGCTCGAGGGAGGAGAAAGAGAAAGGCCTTCAGAATCAGATATTGCCTTTCAAGATTGGACAGGACAGAAGGAAACAGCCACAACAATCGGCGCTGCCAACAACAAAAAGTTGTGCCTTGCACGAAATTGAGTTATTTGCTCCCGAGTTCCCATAACTTTTCCAAGCTCAAAAGAAATTATATCATGCATAGTCCTCGCCCAGTCCGCCAGACAGCCCTTTCACACACACAAGGAAAGAAAGCAGATATTATTGGTTATAAGGGTTTGTTGCCAACATTAAAAAAAACGTAATTTAGCAGTCACAGCTCCGCTAGCTATCAGGAGGACCGAGCGCCCCACCATCCTGAAACCCAAACCGCCTCTCACTGAGAGAAAGCCTTGTACTGTTAAAAAAGTTCATCAAAAGAAATCTTAATAAAACATATTTCATGCAAAAAGCCCAATTGCCAAATTTCATCTTTAGAAAAGAAAAATAACACAGACAAAAAAAATCGAAGAAAAATGAAAGAGAGAGATTGTAGAGGATGGAAGCCCAAACGGAAAAATAAGCAGAAATACTTGCTCCGAGGAAAGAGAAAGGCTGCAGGCACAGATATGCCTTCAAATTGCGAAGGACAGGAAACACCACAACATCGGCGCTGCCAACAACAAAAAGTTTGCCTTGCTCAACACGAAATTGAGGTATTTCTTCCCTCGAGTCCAACTTTATTCAAAGCTTCCATGAGTATTTCTCCTCGAGTCCAACTTTTCAAGCTCAAAGAATATATCATCATAGCCTCGCCAGTCGCCAGACAGCCTTTCACACACACAAGAAAGAAAGTAAATATATTGGTATAAGGGCTGTTGCCAACATAAAAAATGTAATTAGCAGTCACCGGCTCCGCTAGCTATCAGGGAGGACCGAGCCAACCATCCTGAAACCAACCGCCTCTCACTGAGAGCAAAGCCTCGTACTTAACCATTCACACAGCATATTTCATGCAAAAGCAATTGCAAATTTTTTGTCCAAGAAAAAAAAATAAATAAAAACAGAACAAAAATCGTCACAGCCTCTTTGTAACAAAGAAAGAAAGAAAGCCCGAAAAAGAAGAGAATGATGATGATAATGCAGACATACAAACGGCGGCTATTGCACAAATGACGGAGAAATCATCGGCTCCGCAGTCGTTCAGATAGGCAGAGCAACCGCCTTCTTTGCCGCCTCTCTGAGAGCAAAGCCTCATTCTCAAGAGTGCTTGATTTGTACGCATCTTGCATTTTATGGTAACTTCTTATTTTCCTTTTATTCCGCGATACCCTTCGTTGGGCGGTGGAGCATAACGGTAACTTCAGGAGAGCACTAAATTAAAGGTAATTTGGTAAATAAAATCATACGCGTAAAATTCACTTCTCCTACTGTCACTCACATTAAAAGCATAGGACAATAAAAAAAAAAAAAAAAATCACTCACATTATAAGCATAGGACAAAAAAAAAAAAAACAAACTTGGGGAGAGCAAGTTAATTAGCCTAACCTGCAGTGATGGAATTTTATGAGATCTCGGCTCGATCAAGCATATCTTCTAAAGTCATCTTTCTAGGGAACCTCAGAGGCAGTCTCAATTGGCAATTGCGTTGCAACAAACACAATCCCCCCCTTCTTTCTATGCTCTGGGATAATGTTTCGAGCAATTTTACCCCTTCATCATCTAATGCAACAGAAGGCTCATCCAGAAACCAAATTGGTCGGTCGAATGGCCAGTAGTCTTGCAAAATGCAGCCTCTTCAATTGGCTCATTGACAGCATTCTTGCGTCTCTCTTGCCAATCTTCTGAGGCCCATCAACTCAATAGCAGGCATAGAATTCCCTTGCTTGCCCTGAAGAATCTCAAACCATGGAACATTGTAAGGACAGTAAACTTTTCTTTAATGGCATCTTTCAAGGAGAGCCAATTAAGTTGAAGCTTATATTGGTGGAAAACTCCAGATTCTGTCACATCATATATTGTCCAAGGACACCCTAACAGTTGCAATTTCTTCTAGTAGATCCCAAGTTCAAATCTTGCTCGGATCGGGGAGGGAGTATTGTGGAAATGGTGAACCAGATATTCATGGATGCGGCGCTCAAAGGTTTCTAAGAAAATGAGAAAACAAAAGATGGAGTTAGGGTTCCTAAGTTTAGTGTATAACGTGGCACAAGTAAATGGACTCAAACAAATAATAAAGGTCCACTTCTCTAATGGGACTAATTAAACAAAGGCCCAACACTTATTTGTTCAGCTGCAAATATAGTTAGTTGGAATAGTATTAATAGCATACATTCGTGCACACAGTAACAAAAATCTATATATACATTCAGGTTATATATAATTGTTCTTTTATTTTTCTCCATTTTTAAAATTGTATGCATTGAAAAAATGAAATTATTATATCAAATAGTTTATGAAATATTTACAATGGATTATAAAAAAAGTATAAATATTTAAAATAAGATAAATATTTAAAAGTGATATTAAAATCTAGGATTAAAATATTATTTTCCAACAAATAAAAATGAAAATTTTATATCATAAATCTATGTGAAACATTTACATTATTATACATAAAAATACATTATAAAAAACGATCTTAGCACATTTATATTAAAAATTAAAATTTAATGTGCAATTATTTTTTTAGGGTGTTATGTAAAAAAATTTAATCTGATTTTTTCTATCAAATTCGGATGATAATTTAAAAAGTCATGTGAATATTCTTTTTATTTGCAATTCCTTTTTTAATTATAATTGAGGGTGTTATTGATACAGAATGACAAATTAGGATAAAATTGACAAAATGGATCAATATAAGATGAAATTGTAAAAACTTATAAAGTTTAAGGTATTTTGATATATTATTTAGTAAGAATTTTAATTAGCACTGACAACTCATAGAAATTATATTCAACTACTAGTTACATAAGCTCTATTTCCATTTTTTTTTTTCAATATAAATAATTTATTTTCAATAAATTATAAAAATAATTCATAATCACATATCAAAAATTAAAGATGAGAATTTATATGCATATAAGTTCTATATATTTTTATGTTTAATCAATATAGAATTATATAGAAATTTTATATTCACATCATAATGTCTAAACACAATAAACAATTCAATCTTCTTCAAAACATAAAAATAAACAGTAAAATTAGTATGAAAAACAAAGGCCAAATGTTTGTTTGGACACTTCAGCAGCAGTAAGTAAATTCCAGCATAACATTGTGTATATATATTTTTTATAACGTTGTATTATATGAAAGATAAGCAAAAAATTCAGAACTTTCAAAGAAGGAAACTTGAATTAGCATTATTATTTTTCCAAAATAATTAAATGTTTGACGCACAAACAAAGATAATTATATATTTCTACGCTAACAAGATTTTATAACGTTGTTCGTTAAAATTAGCAGCTGTTTGTTCAGAAAATTTATCTGTTTGTTAAGAATAATTTAGTTCTTTGTTCAGTGAAGTTAATTATTTTAATAGCTGTTAATTATTTTAGAGCGTTTGGAGCGTTTGGCAGTGTCTAGCAATTTAAATAATTTTTTATAAACAATTAATAACTATCAAAATAATTAATTTTGTCTAACACGTACAAACGATTACCTTCTAATCTTTCATTTTTGTGCAGAAGATAATCAATAACCAATTAATAAAAAATAAGTCCAAACAGCAACCAATTACACGTGGCTCTTTCATTTTTGTGCAGAAGATAATCAATAACCAATTAATAAAAAATAAGTCCAAACAGCAACCAATTACACGTGGCTTTTTTTTTTATCTCCAAATTGGACCCTAGAGCTTAGTAGTTTTGATACTTCCTTCCGATTTTAGCCTATACTGACCGCATGCAATAAACTCTTTTATACTATTGCCAATCTAAATAAAAATCGGAACAAAACGCAGAGTTTGGAAACGGAGATAGTTGTGGCGTAAGTGAGGAAGGCGAACGCGAAAAGCCAATTTGCGTCTCGGCTCTGAACAATAGATTTGTTGTGTGCTAATTTGTTCAGATTTGAGAGCTCGAACACACTCTCGCTTTCTCTGCAGTGTGCGAGCGAAATCTCTCTGCTAGAAGCCATGATTTCAACGACGAAGCTTAAATCAGTCGATTTTTACAGGTCAGATCTCCATATCTTCAGTCATTTTACGTCTATTCCATTTTCTGTAATAATGTTCATTACTTATTTGTTTTGTTTAGATTATAAAATAGAAATTGGAGTTGAAGCTCTGTAGCTTATGAATCGGATAGTTTTTTATCTTTGCAACTAGATCGTGCTTGGCTGGACTAGCTGTTATTATAGTTTAATTATATTAGTTTTGTACTTATTGAAGTCCTTGTTTGTTGCTATATTCCTTGGAAATGTTTGTTTAGCTTAGCATACGATGATAGTTGGCCGAGAATATGTTCCCCATTATTTGTAATATGCGCGTAGGAAATAAGTAATGGTGGTTTGATTATGCTTTCTGTTGGCAATTTGCAATTTGATGGAGGAATTGACTGAGTGACGTGTTTGGGTCGTGGAAAAGTGATTCAGATTGTGAATCTTGATCAATGTGTATAGCTGGATGAGGGAAGAAATGGAGTAGTACAGGCAGCAATTAGCAATCATATGGAATGAGACTATAGGGGAATCTTTAAATTATGATAAGTGCTCTGCATTGCCACTTAGTTTGCAATTCCTGAGCAGCAATTTAGTTTGCAATTCCTGAGCAGCAATTTTCCTTGAAATGCTGTCGAAGAAGGATCTTGAATGATTTCTTCGAATTTCGTATTATATTCCCTGGACATTTGAAACTTCACTGTCTAATGTATCAATATGGATTAGTAAGAAGGATTCACCAATTGTTTTGAATTTTAACTCTAAGTGAGAATATTATCATGATGTCCCATTTTGTAACTTTTTTTTTCTTTATTTCCTTCTCCTTTTCCTTGGACCTTGGTAGGTTATTAAGTTAGCTGAGAGTAAACAACTGTTCTGTGTACAATAATTTGTCCTTATTTTTCTTGATATGTGTTTTAATGTCTAATTGAGTTGTGCAGTAGATTTGCATGAGCTGGAGATGCTTACAAATTATGCACACAAAAATTTGCTACTCATCCTTTTCCTGTCTACAGAAAAATTCCAAGAGACCTGACTGAGGCATCATTATCAGGTGCAGGATTATCCATAGTAGCAGCTCTCACCATGTTATTTTTGTTTGGAATGGTAAGTAGCTTCTATCTTTCTATTAGTTTAAATCATCAGCTCAATATATGGAAGCATTCAATATTGAGGTTCAGTTTGGCATCCCCCTTTCACCTGCTTTACAAAAATGCTTTTGTATTTATTTATTTATATTTTTTGGGAAATGGTCATAATAATATACTTATGGAATAAAGCCTCACACTGTCTTTCTTGGCTTAATATATTTATTTACCCTGACTTATTACAGTTATACTATATTTTATTTTTGTTACTTTTGTACCCTAAATTTGCAAGTTTAGGATCAATTGTATCTTAAAACAGATTTTGGGAAAGATTTCATTCCAAATTGGTCCCCAACTATTTCAATTGTATTAAATTATGTCCAATTTTAAGTTTAAGGCCAAATTAAGACAATGCTTTTATTTTTGGGCCAATTGTATTTAATTGTTATTCAAACAAAATACCCCCCTCCGTCCCAAAAAGATAGCCCACTTTCTATTTTCCCACAGATTAAGAAAGTAGCAATTATTATGGGTAAATGATAATTTTATTCATATATAACTTTCCTATTATGCCCATCTTAAATAACATATGAGTATCTATTATATTGGAATAATAAGTAAGAATTAACGAGGGTTATTGAAAATAAGATAAAATTTAATATGGTATAGTAGACAATTTAAAGATTAACTATAATGCAAAAAAGGAAAGTGGACTATAGTTTAGGACAAACCAAAAAGGAAATATGGATTATATTTTTGGGACTGAGGGAGTAATTTTTTCACATTTTAAAAGAAAAAATTCAAAAAAAAAAAAAAAAAAAAAATTTTCCACATTTTAAAAGAAAAAAAATTCAAAAAAAAAAAAAAAAAAAAGAATTTGAAACACAAAAATACAAAATAAAAAAAAAAAAAAAAAAAAAAAGAATTTGAAACACAAAAATACAAAATAACAAACACTAAAATTCAAGACCAAAAACAACAAAGTTGATTTTAGCAACTTATAATTGGGTGTTTTTTTATTTCCATTTTCCTTTTTTCTTATTTTTGAATTTTTATCTTTTAATTGGGTATGGTTAAAAATCTGCAAAAATAAAAAATAAATATGTGGAAACTATGATTATCTTGAGTTTTCCATTGATGGGTTAAATTAAATATATAGAATTATGATGGATTTTGAATGTCATAATATTAAAATATGAGAAAACTTACTTCCTTGATGCATATTATTAGTCTAGCAATTCCTCTCCTTTTTTTCAATATTTTATTTTTTATTTTTGAAATTTTTGTCAGTGTGAAAATAAATTTTTTTTGTTTGAATAAAAAAATGTTTTCAATTGACTTGAAAATTAAAAGAATTGTCTTAATTTGGCTTTAAACCTAAAATTGGACTTAGTTGGATACAATTAAAATAGTTGGCGACTGATTTGGTGTGAAATTTTTTTCCAAAATCTGTTTTCAGTGCAATAATTTCAAACTTACAAATTGGGAAACAATAATAACAAATTTAAAATGGAGTTCAAATGAAAAGTCATAAATTCAGAGTGACAAGACTATTAAGCCTTCTTTTTTTTTTTTCCAAAAAACTAATCAAGTCCGCGCTGCATGGAAAATGCAGATTAGTTTACTTATGGTTCATATTTGATCCATCAATCTTGATATGCCACATTGTTCATTCCAATACTTTCTTTTGGGCTTTTATTTTTTGTGTCTGCGTATATGATAATTATTGCTTTTTTTTTAATTTATGTTTTATGTTCCTCCCTCTGTTGTTTCCTGTCAGAATCAACTCAAATACTTTACTTTGCTGCATCTATGTTTGTTTTTTTTCGTTGGTCAATATATTTGGTTATTTTAATATTAAATTATTAATAATGATTTTTTTGTGTAGTACCTTGATATTAGTCATAATATATATTAGTCATAATATATATATATATATATATATATTATATATATATATATATATTATATATATATATTTTTTTTTTTTTGATAGGTGTAAAATTCATTAAATGTTCATTTTTTTTTTTGATAGGTGTAAATTCATAATGTTCATTTTGCAGGAATTCAATAATTATTTAACAGTCAGCACCTCTACGTCTGTTATTGTTGACAACAGTTCTGATGGGGACTTTTTACGAATTGATTTTAATATAAGGTAACTATATGTCATGCTGTCGGAATCGAGACTGTTTAATTGAGCACACAGCTGTTTGTTTGTATAGTTCTTGTGTATCGTGCTAGAATAGGCATAATGGTAAAGAGGCACTTATTATCTTTACGATTGTTGGCGACACCGTCATATCTTGTGCAGAAATACATTATTAACATAATTACTTGCAAATTCTGGAAAAGGAGCAGTTAAGTGATAATTTGTATGGACACTTTTTTTTGGGTCATCTATTCATTTATTTTTGGATAAGCAAGTGGAAGAAAAGTGATTAGGCATATTAATACCTTGGATATTGCGGATGGCAGATGGAGAACTAGGGATAGGGCAAAGTGAAAATATCTCCCTGTTGCCTAGATCTCTTCTTGATGTGGTATGTTGGTTTCAGCATGAGGGCCAATGATCTATGGTTGTTGCCATTCTATCAATGAGATTGCAGTACTCTTTTTCTCCCTTGATTAAAGAGACAGCGTAATGGAGGCTCCAGCCATGCAGATAGATAAACTCATCTATAAGATAGAGAATCTAAAACGTTTACAACTTCCTGCTCATTCAGAGAAATAGCCATTCTACCAACAACACATTATGAGCCATCTATTGATATCTCGTCCTTCCACCTGGCCCAAAAAACATTGGTGGATATTTAAAAAAAAGAAAAGAAACCACTGTAATCAATGTACACTCCTCCAAACCTGTAACTTTTCTTTGCCCCTGATATTCTTGTTAGTTGTAATCACTGACATGCCCATAGATCTGAGGGCTTATTCTCACATTGCATCATACAATGGAAGATGCGCTTGGAGTTTCACTGCACTTGTGACCAAAATTTTCCTGTGTACCCCGCAACACCCCCCCCCCCCCAACCCCGCAACACCCCCCCCCCCCCTCAAAAAACTAGATTTCTCCCCCCCCAAAACAGATTTCTATCACAAAAAAAAAAGAAAAAAACATTGTCAGTCATAATTCTCCCCATGTTACTTACAAGGCAAAAAAAGTTAACCTCTGAGGGCTCCCAGTCTTCCAAATTTTCTAAACTAACTGTATTTTGCTCTAATTCCAACTCCTGCATACCGTTGTCAAAAACCACGTTCCTAATTACACTCCTGTTTGAGGTGCAAGAGTTCACAATATCATCCATCTTCCTTGCCATCAAGGATATCTCTGGGCCTTGGATTTTCAAGAAAAGTTTCGTCTAATTTTCATACTGAAAAGGAAGTTAGCATCCCCATCAACAACCTTAAAAGTCAGCATTCAGCATTACTGCATTTTGTTGCCTGTAATATTTATAGTAGTGTTCACCTTTAAAAAAGTTCCTTGTGACATTATTACATCAGTTTGAAGCTGACGACTTATATTTAACTACAGCTTAAGACATATTATTAACATGATTTCTGCTATTATTCTTTTTTTTTTTTTTTTTGTGTAAACTGTCATTCAATAAAATTGTTCTTTTATTAATGTGGTTGACTAATAATTTATACTTCTCTTGAAGCTTTCCTGCTCTATCATGTGAATTTGCATCAGTTGATGTGAGTGACGTGTTGGGAACTGTAAGTTCTAATGCATCCATTTCTCTCAACTGCTTCAATTTTATTGCATTTAAATAAAATTTTGCTGGCTGCTATGTTATAGTTTTTGTCGTTTCCTTTTTCCATTTTTTCTGAGAAATTTCGCTGGCTGCTATGTTATAGTTTTTGTCGTTTCTTTTTTTCCATTTTTTTCTGAGTTGTATGCCTTTTTTCCTCTTTTTTTTTTTTTTTTTTTTTTTTCCTCTTTTTTTTTTTTTTTTTGTTTTTGGGGGGGCGGGGGGGGGGGGGGGGGGGGGGCGTTGTGTTTGGTGCACGCGGGATGGGTGGATTGCTTTGGACTTGAGAGATTATGGGTCTTATCTTCTGTAAGTGCCTCAAAAAATTAATAGCTGGATAATAGGTTAATGGTTGCCTTTATCTTAGAAATTAGTTGATGAGTAAGTGAAATGTTAAAGAATTTGAGAACGGGATGACCTATATGGTTTATTTGTCTGCACAAAGAAACCGGCTCTTCAGGCTGTGTGTTATTGATCATGAAGTAAGAGATTGCATCATATTCTAAATGAAACCTTGAGAATTTCTTGTACTATGGATAACTATTTCTGTCAGAGCTGCTATTTATAAATCATTATTTTGAAGATATTGATTAGACAACATTGAAAATTGTTTTTATGGTGAATTTGCAATTTTCTTATCATTAAAACTTCAAAACATCTGAATAATAGTTTCAAGTTGCTTTTTCAAACATCTAAAATTGCCTCTTTTTGGAAAAGGAGGTTTGCAAACTTGATGCCAAAAAGACTGCCGTACTTCCTTAATTGCGCATATCCATACTTCATTTTGTGTTGTACTTTGATCCAGTCATCTGTTAGCATGTGATGGTGTTCTAAATGATGTACCTTGAGAATAAACTTGTGTGTTCCTGGCATTTGTATTCTTCATGATTCTTGAAATTTGTCTTTCCTGTTTTCCATCAACTCCTTGCTGTCAGTGATACTCTTTTGCTCATTTATTTCTTAACATAATGATCTGGACCAGTTGAAGTTTTGTACTCTGGTTTTCAGAACAGGTTGAATATAACTAAAACAGTCCGCAAATATTCAATAGATCATGATTTAAAGCCCACTGGCTCTGAGTTTCACTCTGGACCAGTTTTTCATGAGATCAAGCATGGAGATGAGGTTGATGGAGAAGTTGATGAAGGGTCCGTGTTACTAAATGCTCATAATTTTGATCACTACTCGCATCAGTAAGTGGCCTGATTCTGAGTTACAAACATGTCTTTTTGGTTTCAGGTTTCTTACTTTGGACAATTTTCTCATGCGTTTGTGGCAGTGATACCTGAATTTAATTATTATTATTATTATTATTATTTTGCCCCATGTGCCATACATGCACCTGATATTATTTAGTACCTGAATTTGGTGTAGATGATCCCATAACTATAGTTTCTGAAAGCATATGTATAGATGAACAAATGGTTTTCCTGTTAATTCCAGTGGATCTTTTGTTCATCAGCTCTATTTGAAAAATAATTTGGTACCATTGAAGACCAACACTCTTAAACTAGGTTATAACCAAAAAAAAAAATTATGATTTCTGATTATATACTTCTATTGTGAATTTAAAAATATGATGCAAAATTAGAAAATTATGTAATCCAATTGTAAGTAATGCAATTCAGAATCCAATTAATAACCAATCAAATGCAATCAAGATTAAGACCGGACCAATCAAAAATTCAACTGTAAGTGACAGGGATAAAATTGCAAATGTAAATATTTAAAATTTAAAATGGGATTATTACACGTAGCACTCTAACCTTTAGGAATTTGTAGCTTATACTTTAACATTTGCAATTCCGATATGCAGTCTTTAATATAGGATTCAATTTGTTAATAACCCCTTAGTATCGGGATGCTGGGTGTAGAGTGTAATAGTCCATTGGGAAACCTTCTTATCAATTTAGGCCATCAAATTTAGTTATTGTTTACACATAATTGAACCAATCTAATTTATGTGCTAGAGTTGCTACTAAGTAACAAATCACTTACATATATTTAAGGTCATCGTAATAATATTTGACCTTAGATGTCCTTAGCTTTGGTAAAAAAGGTTTCTAATATTTTGCTCGATTGATGCTTTTAAATGTACATGCTATTTTAATTATTTCTTTTCAGGTATCCAATTTTGGTTGTCAACTTTTATGCTCCTTGGTGCTACTGGAGTAATCGTCTGGTAATTCTATTATGCCCGTGTATTGGTCAATGTTTAGCTTTGGAATTTTATGCAAAAGGTTGTTCCTGTGCTATATCATTAATTTGTTACCCTCTTGTGATGTTTACATGGATGTAGTTCTTTAAACTAAATTTGTATTGAACTAGTTACATTTGTGCAAGTTTCTTTTTGTAGTTTTTAGTGTCATAATCATTCTCTCTCTCCTTTATACTTATTCATAAGGATATTATACTGAATCTACTTAAATTTTGAACTGAAGGCTTTTTATATTACTTACTTGTATCATTAAATTTTGTAGTTATAAAAACATATGTTCCATATAATGTAGCTGCAAATAGTGAAGAACTTAGCGGTCTTGTTTCTTCCAATTAGACTTCAAAGTTCAAATAGTTTAACTGATCTATCTATATCTCTTGGTTTTTGTGAACAGAACCTACCGACAAGGCTATAAGTATGCTAAGTGCCATCCAACTTTAGAACGACTGTGTTGGCTTTACTAATTTTGATCTGGTCTAGCTTTGTGTTATACTTGCTTGGGATGAAGTATGCTCTAGCATACTTTATGATTTTGACTAATTCCTCTAGAGTAGACATTTCCATATAGATTTCACATTTTGAAGCTTATTAATTTCCCATGCATTGTAAATAATTAAATATGGACAAGCGTGTCTGGAATCTTTAAAAGGATGTTCAATTCTATTTTTTATCTCATTATTATTGACAGTTGTTGTTGTTGTTATTATTATTATTTGCTTTGCATCAACTGCTTAGACCAATTTCCTGGTTGTGCTTGTATAAATTGTTCTAAAGGCTTCATCTGTCACTACAACTGTGGTGAGATTTAGTATTTTCTTGATTGTTATTGTTTCTTGTTTCAGAAACCTTCCTGGGAAAGTGCTGCTAAAATAATAAGAGAAAGGTACTCAACTTTGTAGTTTCTTCTCCTTTCAAAATCCGTGTTTATTCTGTCAATTGCATTAAATAGATGATTTCATACCCTTATTTTGACATTTTTCTGTGCATATGCTATGCCATTCATTATTAATAGGTATGATCCAGAAATAGATGGACGTATTCTTTTGGGGAAGGTTGATTGCACTACAGAAAATGAATTGTGTAGGAGGTACTTTTTAGATTAATGTTCCTTTGATTCTAAGCTGATTTTCAATGCAACACTTGGATCACATAAAATGTTGGTTAAGTTTCGATTTATCGCATCATAAATTTTCAGGAATCACATACAAGGGTATCCTTCCATTCGCATATTTCGTAAAGGAAGTGATATTAGGTGAGTATATTTCTTTTCTCCTGTAATTTTGTTATTCTTCTTTACAGTTTTCCATGGTGTTCTTTTTCCATGGTGACTTGCCTTTCCAAAGTTACGTATGTAACTGTCATCTTGTTCCAACTTGTTTCTGACTTTTTCTGTTGGTGTGCAACTGGATTGGATTGCAATGATTATTCTATTAGAAACCTCTTATTCTCCTTCTTTATGATGTTTTTGCTTGTCCCTTATATAGAATTTTTTTTTTTTTTTTCATTATCATGGTTGCCTAAATGACTTTTAAACTCGTTGCAACCTCATCTCTGGATCTATCGTGGTTCAGAATGATTTGCTTTCTAACAATTGGCTACCTCATTTTCTTTTTCCTTTCTGAGTCAGTCAACTGAATTCCCAAATGTAGTGTTCTGTTTTTACGAAAAAAATACTTTACAATATTAAATTCAGTATTGAAACCCACACCATTTGAAATAAGTAAATATACTGTATATAAAATAAATAACAAAATGATAGAAGGGACAAGAAATCAAGGAATTTGCACTTATGTTTAGTAATGCGCTTGCCTAATATTCCCAATGTTGCCACGATTCTGTTGACCCAATAAAGGCTTTTTCCAGCAATAGATCACAATTTCTGTTGTACGATTGTTCTGCTTTAGATGTTCCACAATTCATTAATGAGTATGGTATCGTAATCATCTCCTTTTTCCCCTCCTAATAAATAATATGCAGAGATCATATGATCTTTTCATGTTCTGAATTTCACAGTACTTTCATTAGCCTACATTGGTTTTTTGATAGCTTAATTATCACAGGGATGAACATGGACACCATGATCATGAATCATATTATGGAGATCGAGATACAGATAGCTTGGTTAAGGTATGAAAAGTTCTACTTAGTAGTTAAACTAGATGCCAAGATATATACTTTGGGTGCAAATCCTGGCTTGTATATTGTTGTCCAATTAATAGGAGTTGAACGTCGCCTAATTTGAAGTTACTGTTCTTTACAGACAATGGAAAGTTTGGTTGCACCTGTTCCATTAGAGACTCATAAATCAGATAATACAACACAGAATGCCAAGAGACCAGCACCTTTGACTGGAGGTTGTAGAGTTGAAGGTTATGTGCGAGTAAAGAAGGTAAAATTCCATGACATATAGAATCAGTCAAAAATATTGATCATGACACTGTATGGTTAATAAAATGCTGACTGACATTTCCTGATTAGTGAGAAGAGATTTAGCTGTTCAAGTGTGAAATCTATATCATGTTGCACGCATTGGCAGAGAATACTGGTTTTTCTTTTGAAGATGTTAATTAAGCGTAGCAGCGAATATCCTAATTTTTTTAGTTTGTCAGTTTCTTGATTCATCTTTCTAACTGGGCAGGTTCCAGGCAACCTCATCGTTTCAGCTCGTTCAGGGGCACATTCCTTTGATCCTTCTCAAATGAACATGTCACATGTCATAACCCATCTTTCGTTTGGCATGAAGGTTTCACCCAGGGCCTTGAGTGATGCAAAACGTTTGGTTCCTTTCATTGGCAGAAGTCATGACAAGTTAAATGGGCGGTCTTTCATTAATCACCGTGGTGTAGATGCCAATGTTACTGTAAGTTTGTTACTTATGTTCCTCATATTCTTTGTTTCTGTTATGCTGTCTGCATCCTTGGCCAAAAGCATTTCAATGTGACATCTGCCATCGTGTAAACCACATGCTTATGGGCATCCTCACAAAATGGGTGTAAACTGTGAGATGCCCAAGAAAACCCCAAAAATGGGACGTGGTGGGGTGAGTCCATGATCCTCTTGTGGATCTAGTCTCCTTTTTCTTAGTCATGTTATTCATATCCATTTCCTTCTGGTTAGGAAAAATTAGCAGAAAATTTAATGTCAAGTCATCATCATATCATTGGTTGCTTATCATAAAATCCTCAAATGACTACCTTGTTCTTGAGCATGATGCTGAGTACAAGATTAGATTAATATTTACAGTTGTAATTTAACGTTGGAGCATTATTCCTTGTAATTGCAGATAGAGCATTATCTTCAAATAGTTAAAACTGAGGTGGTTACAAGACGATCTTCTCGTGAACACAAATTACTCGAGGAGTATGAGTACACAGCTCATAGTAGTTTGGCGCAGAGTGTGTACATACCTGTTGCAAAATTCCATTTTGAGCTTTCTCCCATGCAGGTTCAGTAAATAAGAAATTTTGTTTGATCTTATTATTGTTACTACTAGTGTGCTGCTAAGAGTAAGAAACTATTGATCTGATTTCGATGCCTGCAATTTTCTGAATCAGGTCCTAATCACAGAAAATCCAAAATCATTTTCTCATTTTATCACCAATGTCTGTGCCATAATTGGAGGTGTTTTTACGGTTGGTATTCACATTTTTTTTATTCTCGGTTATTGAGTTGTTGCTATAGATGCACGCCTAATATTCTTCCCTTTTGGTTTCAGGTTGCTGGGATATTGGATTCAATTTTGCATAACACAATTAGACTGATGAAAAAAGTTGAATTAGGCAAAAATTTTTGATAGGAAGATGAAATTCATTGTTGTATAAACAAAAAATCCCTGACATTGTTAAACTCCTTTTATTAGTTAGAATTGTTAAGAAGAGTCGAAATACATCCCTCTTTGCTTTTGATATACGAGGCAGTGACATTTGTGTCAATCTTACGCATATTGTCAAATTGCGAAGCACCAGTGAGTGAAGAACAAACTAACAGGAATGGAATATGTTCTCTCCCATTTATATTGAGCAAAGCGATGCCACATTTCCAGATTTTTCATATTTTTGTGAAATTTTCATTATTTGGTTCCACTTCCCGTATAATGGAAAATTGTGAAAATCTCTTTTGCAAAGATGACTTTTCTTATCTGTTTTGATTGTTAGTTTGAGATTATTGCCACCAATTTAATATAGATTATTGCCTTAATCCAGTGTAAGTGTATATACAACTTGACAATTAATTCATACTTAATATAGGTCCTTGCTCTTTCTTTCTTCTTTTTCTTTTTTTTTCTCCTTTCTGAACTTCATTGGAGTAGGGTTTTATAACTGCTATTTGAATTGTACAATTTGTGCATCGTAATTATTATTATTATTTTTTTTTTATAAGTAAAAGAAAGCTCCAGTTGATTGGACTTCATTTTTCCTTTTCTTTTTTTTTTTTTTTTTTTGTGCATCGTAATATTATTTATTATTTTTTTTTTATAAGTAAAAGAAAGCTTCCAGTTGATTGGGACTTTCATTTTCCTTTTCTTTTTTCTTTTTTTTTTTTTTTTTTTTTTTTTTTTTAGAACAAAGAAAAGTTTGCAAAGAAAATTTTATCGCAGTATGAACACCTGCTGATATGCTAGACACAGACACTAGAATTCTTGCAACCAAATGGTATAAAATTTTATTTATTTCCTTCTATACAATGATTTTACATGAAGTAATAATACACACCAGCGATACATATAATCGTCAGCTTATTTTCTTGTGTAACAAACAAATATTCAATATCAATCAATCCACCTCTGGAATAATACTCAAATCCAAACCCCGAAAAAAAAAATAATAAAAGAAAAAAACAAAAAGAAATGGAAAATCCATCAGATAATGCAAGTTTTCCACTCAAAATACTACTATAAGAGATGAAGCAAAGAATGCTCCAATCAAAGCAGTGGAACTTATAAATACGGAAGAAGCTGCACCATGATGCTCACTGGTCGGAGATGGAGTAGGGACAATATCAACTGTTCCTGTCGGAGGAGACTGTTCTCCAGCCGGTTCAGGAGATGGAACTATCCCCGTATAACCTGAAGGTGGAGGTGAAGCTGTGGTTGTTTCGTTAGTGTTAGAAGAATGATTAATCCCTCTATCTGCTAAAACAACAACTACCAATTTCTCATTTTTAAGACAATGATCTTTGTTTCCGCTAATGAAGTAGAAAGCGCCGGACCGGTTGAATGTGAAGACAGTGTGACCATCATTGAAGCTTGCAAGAGGTGAGGTTGTTGTGCAATTGTTGTAATGATCTTTGGTTACTTGAAGCACTGAGTCTTGGTCTGGCTTGTAGACAAACACTGTAAAATTTCACAGCCATAGATTATTGCATCAGATATGATTATATTTCTTATACTACTAACTCTAACTATAATGAAGATATGATAATCAACTTACATAGGCTATCTCCAATCTGAAATCTTGTTCTTTCTGCCCATTGATTGTAGTCGTATGCACTTGAATTGTCGTATACAGCCCAACCCTTAGCTCCTCCAACTGTGAACTGAATTGCATTTCCTTTCTGCAACAATAGCATTAGAGCAAAGAGTCCCAGCAAATGAAAGGCTTTAGCCATATTGAAGAACAAAATCGAAACTGTTAAACCCAAAATCTGAAAACTCAGATTTCAGATGGAGGAGACAGATAGAGGTGTGACTGCAATTGTGTCAGGCTGTGGGATTTTGTAGGCCAAATTTGCATGGACTTTACAAGCTGTGATGAAGAAGCTTATGCTACTTTTTCTTGCGATTTCTTAGCTTATAGTGCAAAGTATATGTTCACTTTTATAATCAAATGTTTGTGTTATATTCTTTGTCCAATGTAATTAATATTTGTTAAATAAAAATTCTTTACTTTGACTGTTATCAAGAATATTCATGTCTTCTGTTCTTGGTTAAACTAATTAATTATATAAGCAGACTGTGTAAACACTGAACTCTTTTGATGTGCTAATTGTTTATTCTGATGGGAGAGAACGTTTCTCCTTCTCCTCAAGGAGAAATGGACATGGTGTGGCCCAAATTTCAGTACTTTAGCATTATTGTTGGAATTCTTTCTTTAATGAAATGAAGATCATAATTCATCTTTGGGTTTCTTTTTGTTGTTGCCAACTATTTTTCTTCAATGGAATACTTTGCATATATTGACAACATCCTTAGGTATTTGTCCTCAGAATATTTTAAGCCCGCCAAGCTCAGAATATTAATGTGCTTATGATCGCTAAAACATACATAATACATTTCTATACATACTTGCCAACTATCAACTTAGGGATAAAATTCTTCTTGAATCAGAAATTTCGAATTCGAGCCTGATATGCAGTATCTTTAGACACTTGATGAGAGTGTTTTATCCTTTATGGGTTTGTCTGAACCGTCTTTAGTTATGAAACGGTTAAAATAAAAAAAAAAAATTATAGCCAAAATCAAAAGGAATCTTTATTACTTACTCCTCCACTGTCTACACGACTGTTATTTGATTGTTGATAATAGTATGTACATAGAAACAATGGAACTGCTATCCTCATGTACCATAATAAATGGAACTGCTAACAAAGTAAAACCTCTTTGGAATAAGAAACATAGGAACCCGAACATGATTTTTCATCTATTAAAGATCATTCACCGGACAAAAAAAAAAAGTGCAAATAATTATTAAAATAAATTTTTTGATTGATTTAATCCTGGCCATAGATCCGATCTAAATATATTTTCAGTATAAACTGAGTTTATTATTTAAACATGTCCACCCAATAGGAAGAGGTTTTTCTGTCGTTCGCAGGAGTTCTAAACTGATTTTGCAAATTACGAACCCAATCTATTTGTCTACTAACGGCCCATATTTTAAAAGCCCATTAAAAAGTATAATCTACCATTAAAAATCATTATAACAGTAAAGAAAACAAAATTAACCTTTTTTAAAAGGAAAATTTGACTCAATCATAGGAATAAAAAAAATACAAATATAGAAAATTGAAATTTATTTAATATATTATTTAGCATAAAATGTAAAATATGAAATAAGATATTTGGTTAGAATACTAAATTTAATCATTTGATAATTAGACGATACTAATATTACTTTTTATGATATAACTGTATTCTTAATTTTGAGCTACTGAATTTTATAAATAATTTGATTGTAAAAAATGATAAAATTCATAAGTATACTGTATGCAGTGAAATTATTGATATATATAGAAAGAGAATAAGGAAATTTTTTCTTATTTATTGTCTCTGCCATTTAAATATTAGTATTATTAAGTGACACCGTTTTATATAAGAGAGAGAATATTAAGTAGCACCGTTTCATTTGGTTAACATATTTATAAAAATAATAATAATAATAATAAATAAATAAAAGTGAAGTTTGGATGAAAACATATTGAAATTCTTAATTAATTTTAACCGTTGACATATTCTTGTTCGGTTTAAGTCTCGACAAAGTCAATGTGGGATAAGGTCAAGGTGAATAGGTCCAAGTCACTGTGGGATAAGGTCAAGGTGAATAGGTCCAAGTCAAAGCTCAATTCATGTGGAACCCACTTAATAGTGTCCTTACAAGTTCAAGCTTATGCATTTTATTTTCATTATTATTGCTCTCTCGCTCTTTATATTTCTATTTATAGAGAAATGATTGAATTTTCACAAGGATTAAAGAGATATTTAAACTATAATTTCTCTCATTTTCATTTTTAGTTCATCCTAAAGCACCGCTAGTTCTTATCTAAATTTTCTATACAAGCCTGTAAGAGAGAAAAAAGATGCATTAAAATCTTAAAAGAATAGAGTCTCTCTTCGACTTCTATAAGACAACCTCATATGAATGAAGAAGAATTCACGATTTTAATCCAATCATTCAAAAATTAAGATGAATACACAAATGCACTTTAATCTCAACATTATCCCTACAATTAAAGAAGATGCGTCTTATACACCAATGTATTCTTAGATATAAGGAACAATTGGCTTCTTCAGACTATCTAACAATACAACCTCCAATATTATTCCATAAACAACAAAAAAAAAAAGTAAACAAAAGAAAAAAATATTTACTCAATAAGTTAAAAATTATGTTCATAAAATATTATTTGCTGATATTGAAAAGGGTAAGCCAAATGTATGCAATATTCGACAAGTTGTGACAAATTTTTTTCTATTTTTGTGAAGTCAGCTTCTCTATTATTTGCTTTTGCCTTGTGTTCAACTAATCGTATGTATGTATGAGTAGATCGTGCTCATTTACGTAGCAAACCTACTTTAAAAGTGTATTAAAATTATTATATAAATTTATCAAATATTCTTGCAATATCTATGATAGTTCTTAAAAAAGTATGAAATATGAATTTTTGTAGCCATTTGAATTTGCTATTCCAATCATTTTGGTGCTTATACTACCAAATAATGCGTGTTTATTAATTGAGAGGGAATTGAGATTACAAACAAACATTCTTCAGTAATATAAGTGCATTAAATAATTATTTGATTTTTTATCCGTTGCTACTTTATGATTCTTCTATACTTATAACTTTACTTAAAAACTATAAAAAAAATATGAATTATTCGTCTTGATATGCTTTTCAAAATTATCAAATTAAGTAAATTTCTATATATAAACGCTCGAAAAATATTCTCTCTGTGGGAGTCTTATTTGTAGAGAATATTTTTTTGAAGGCATTTTGTTGAGAATATTATATTTACTATTTAATAATATTATTATTTGACAATTATGTATTACTATTAGGTCGGGTTGGTAGATGATATAAATTCCAGCTAATAATATATCATATAAAATATGTCAATCAACGTGGGCGCCACAAACCTACCTATCCACATTAGACGGCGCGTCCTTTCCACGCTCCTCCGCAAGTTGACAGTACTTAAGCCAATTTCTACTTGCCTTTTTTCTGTTTCCCGCGAAAACTGGCGAACAAGTGAAAAGTCTCATGATCACGCGCTTTTCTCGCTTAGAAGATGAAAATAAAAATAGGTAATTTTTGTCCACAAAATAGAAAAAAAAAGAAAAAGAAATAACACATTTAGAATATATATATTTTTAAGGGGAACACATTTAGAAATTAGAATAACGGAGAAATAGTTGAAAAAAAAATTAAAAATGGTAATTTTTAATTATTAGATTTTATAATGAATAGGTAGCTTTTATAATTATAAAATATTATGAAATAAACACTGGATATTTAATTACAAAATGTAATATTATCAAAAAATAACCAAAAAATTAGCAACCCCACTAATAAAAGTCCAATCTAATTATAATATTATTGTTAAAAAATATCTAAAAAAATCAATAAAAAGCATAAATTAGAAATTAAGAAAAGTGAAAACACTTTTCTTTTGGATGATTCTTATTATTACCGGTTCTCCTTGCTTTGAACTTGTCGCTTTGTTGTTAGGAGCTTGGTCCCTCTTCTGAACCTCCCATTTTTCTTACATATTTCTCTCATTTTCCGAGGGTCCAGCTCCTGGGTATTGCTGGTCAGAGGGTCTTCTAAAGCAAATTTTCCTTCTTTTCGGTTTTCTGAACCTTTTGGGTTATCAAAGTTTTTTTTTTCTTTCTTTTTTTTGTAAATGTGGAGAGACACTGGAGAGAATGCTGATTCTTACTATGAAGTCCGTCCTGAATGTACGGATGTTCCCAAAACTCGATTCAAAATCAAGGTATTTGTTTTTCTTTTATATGGGATTTGATTTGGATCAATGGGTTTGTAATTTGTGCTTTATAAGTACCCCTTATGCTATCCTGGATCAGTTCTTCATGATTTATTTGCTTATGGCTTTATTTTGGGATTTGATTGGTAACATTTTGTTAAATTTGGATATATATGGTGTCTATAGTGTTGATTTGGATCAAAGTTTAGTACAGAATGAAAAACAGAATCATTACTAGCAACTAATGAATGTTTGGATATGGAATATCAGTAATATTATTGGGATCAACGCAATTTGGTTAATAATATGCGTGAAAGTGTTAGCTCTGGATCTTTGTTTTGAAATGGAACTCTGTTGTGTTATTAATTGAATGTGGATGACTTATGTTTCCATATTGAACTTGCATTTTGAAACTTAATAGGACTTTGTTCATTTGTATTGTCAGTCTGACCTTAAAAAATTTAGGTTGATTATATAATTATGAGCAAGAAGGAGGAAATTAGATACAAGACGTATCTAAATGTCTATGACTACGTGATTAAGATTGGTAATTACGTTATGGTGATTAAGATTCATGTGAACTTTATTTATTTTTTGCTTTTGTATTTATATGGCATTAGCAGATTGAGAAGGAGACAGAATTTAGCACTAATTATTAGAAGACACATCTATGGTGAACTTGGAAACTGCCTTGTCAAAATTCTGATTATAAAACTATCTTGCCTGATAAAGCTAAATATAAGTAAATATACCTCAGATTGCTGCCATTTTTGTTTGCAAGATTGCTGTGCATTTGAAATTGGTGCACAATCAGGTTAATGCATAGACCTGGTAGTTAAATTTCTGATTTTATGCTCCATTTGGGACTTAAATACGTTGCTCATTTTGCAATAGATGAAGCTTCTTTCATGATCTTCCCATGCAGGCTGGTAAAACACTAAGTCAAAGGAAATGGCAGAGTGCATTTTCTCCGGACGGGCAACTAGATATAAGCAAGACTCTTGGTCGAATCCAGCGTGGGGTAAGTTCATCCATGGAATGGCATCTGATGTTCAATCTATAAAATCTAAAGCTTACAAATTAAGGTGCTTTCTCGTTTCCTCTTTTACTTGTCTATTTAGGGGATCCATCCATCAATTAGAGGAGAAGTTTGGGAATTTCTACTTGGTTGTTATGAGCCTAAAAGTACATTTGAAGAACGAGAAGAGATACGGCAAAATAGAAGGTAGCCATTTACTGCTTTGCCTCGGTCATACACTGGAGAAATAACTAGGAAGGATGAGGAATTACTTATTTTTGGGGTGTTGCTCCCAATAATCTTATTTATTACATTCCTTCATTATGGTAATGGAGTTATTATGTTCCTGTGACACCATGGATATAGTCCCTGTTGAAAATATACTTGCCATTATTATTATGACTAACTTGCTATTAAGACAGACACCTCTTTGGTTTGGCTGTATTGACCATATTACCATCTAGATTAACATAACTTCTTGTGATCTCAGTATGGTTTCTGGTTTGGAGATCCTGTGCAGTCTGCAATATTATATTGAAGGTTGTTATTTGTATATATGGAATATAGTTTGGTAATATTTGGTGCTTGAAATATAGTATGCTAACTTTGAGTTGAATTCTGTGATTGCCTTTTTTTTTTTTTGTGCACAAGAGTTTAAATTTCTTCTGTGCCCGTCTTCTCACTTTAGGATACATTTAGAATTGTTATTATGTTACACCTTCAGGGTACAATATATTAGGTGGAAGGAAGAGTGTCGTGAAATATTTCCTGTTGTTGGAAGCGGCCGGTTTATCACAGCTCCTGTAATCACTGAAGATGGCCAGCCGATTCAGGAGCCTCTAGTAATTTTAGAGACAAATCAAGACGGAGACCCAGCTGTACCTTCTGAAGATGGTAATTCTGCTCAAGATGTTGTTTCATCAGATGCTGAAGCTGTTGCTTCTACCTCAGAAATTGTGAAAAATCTTACTAGTAAAGGTCCTTTGGACAATAAAGTAATCCAGTGGTTGCTTACCTTACATCAAATAGGTTAGTGAAGTTTTGATATTTAAATGTGCCTTCTCTATTCTTTGTGCAAACTTCATTGTCTGCATTCTCATTCTCCATCTTCGTTTTGTTTCCCTTGCATTTTAATAACATGAAAAGGATTTGGACCAAGTATTTTTATCCTTCAAGCAATTATTAATGGTTAATCAGCATTAGTGCTATCTGGTTCATTGCAAATGTATTATTCTTATTGACGCATGAAACATTGATTTCTTTCATGGTTATATGAGGTTATTGCATATATTATATAAATGGGGAGATACGGACATGTGCATTGACTGACATGTTTCATGCATGTCTAACTGTTGTTTTGAACTTTTTAAAACTTCCGTTGTTTTATAACAGAATAATTTTAATCCGTTACATTTCTGTAGTATGGGTGACTTTCTGCTTGGATTAACATGTATTTAGGTCTAGATGTGGTTCGCACTGACAGGACATTGGTTTTCTATGAGAAGCAAGAAAACTTGTCAAAACTTTGGGATATTCTTGCTGTTTATGCCTGGATTGATACAGACGTTGGTTATTGTCAAGGTAAGTTACCAAATGAACTTTCCTTTTTTTTTTTTTTTTTAATAAAGGGCCCAATAAAGAGATAAATTGATTTGCTAGAAATTTGTTCAATTAAGTTAAGTTGGTCTTTGAAGATTTCGACTTCCTTCAGTTTTTCCACTTTTCTTTTGGAGCTTTCAGTTCGGAGAATGGAGTGACATTATTTTCCACTGGGTTGGCTAGGTAAAAAGATGGGGAAATATGAGTTAAATAACATTTTAGAAGTTAATAATTGGCATTTTGTAGACTACTTGTAATTGTTATTTGGGTGCCATGGAATCTTCAGATTGATATGCTATAAGCATTATACATCTCGAACTCCTCTACACTGTGTTACACTATTCATACACTAGCAAAGAGCACCTAATCCCTCCTAGCAGTTAGATATTTGGAAGTTTGACTCTAAATTCTAAATGATGAAATCATATTTGTAATCTTTTTATGCATAATCTCCTAATAGGTAAATACGACTGTGTCTTGTTAATTTCAAACAGCTTGTTTTTCCATGCTGAGGAATTATCATGGCATGATATTGTTATAGATAGATAAGAAGTTTCAAACTGATGTGATGCAAGAAATTTCATTGGTCATTTTCACTGATGAATTCTAGGGTGAATTTCCCAAAAACTACTTTTTTTTTTTTTCTAGTGGTTTTTCTGCATTTTTTGGATCATTTTCTTAACCTCTGCTCCAATATTATCCTACTTTTCTTATATAGAAATTAAAGCTGTTATAACCAGCCAGCTAGTAATAATAATGATGGTGGTGATAATTACCTTTTTGATTGATTGCCCCTTCCCCCTACTGCATTTTCTTGAATAAAAATGGAAGAACACTAGTTAAGACTTAAGGTCCTCGGCTGTTATGAATCCATGTGATTTTTTGAGCAGGAAGTTTACATGTGAATAGTAATTATATTGTTGTATTTCTTTTTAAAATTTCTACATTTGCTTTATCTCCTCTGAGTTGCTGAAGGTATTTCTGGCTATATAATTGAACTATCTCCTTTATGGCAATCAGGGATGAGCGATCTTTGTTCCCCCATGATAATGCTTCTTGACCATGAAGGTGATGCATTTTGGTGCTTTGAACGTTTGATGCGTCGATTGGTACTTCTCTATTTTTTATTGGCTGTTTCCAGTTTATTATTTAAAGAAATTAATTTTGTTTTATCTGTTAAGGAAATTTGTAAAAGTATCATTGTTTTTGTGTATGGTATGTTTGTTTTGTTTACCATTCTTGTTAAGTTCCCACTGCAACAAAGTTAAGGATGAGATTAGTGTTACTTTGATGTTTTTCTCACTTCTCACATTTTGTGACAATTATTGAGATCAGAGTTTATGCATAGCTGATTGCTGTACTTCTACTCTTATTTCCCTGCTGTAGTTATTCCTCACTTTTCAACCTGACTTATTAGTTCTAGAGGAGCTTTGACAGCTGTACCTCCATCGTTTTTTGTTTTCTACCTGACATCCTGTTTCTTATGATTTCTTTTTCTGTGGAATTTTAAAGCGAGGAAATTTCAGATGCACTGAGAGCTCTGTTGGGGTGGAGACACAACTTAGTAATTTAGCTGCAATAACTCAAGTTATTGATCCAAAACTACATCAGCATTTAGGTATTGCTTTGGATTGCAAATCTTTCTGTTCTGTACTTCTAATTCACCCTTTATGTTATTCGTTGTTTAATGCTTGCTAGATACGTCTCGGTTTTAAGACAGTCATTACACTTGTTGGCTTGTAATTTTGAGCTGTTTGCTTGTTATCACGAGTACTTATCCACTTAGCAGCCAACAAGTAATAAAAAGAAGATAAGAAAAACAGGACTTATTATTTGCCTCAAGATTTCTGTTGTAACTAATAAAGAAAGCCTGAATATCACTTTATGTCAAATTGTTGCAAGATGAGAATAAGAAAAGGGGCACTCAAAGTGCATGAGGCTCACTGATTTGCAAGTGTTGGGGGAAACAATACCAGAAAAAGAATTCCATGCATTACTATCCTATAACATAAGGGGATTGCTTCTCTAATCCAAGTTTATCATTTGAGATGATCATTGGAGTATTTTCACTTCTATATGAAAATTGAGAACTTTGGGTTTTAAGAAAAATGGGAGACATTCTATTTTATTGCAAGTCCAATGTGTTGGAGGCAGTTTTCGTCCAATTATATGTGCAAGGAAGAGAAAAAGAAAAAAAAAAAAGGAACGAAAAAGTTTGTGAACAATATGTGATTTACAAACAAGGATTAGGGACGATGACAGATTATCTCTAGGTGTCTAGCTGCACATATTATTTTGTCGTTTTCATGGTGTAGTCCCATCTGTGTGTGCAATAACCAACTTATTGTGATGAGTCCTAAGCATTTGATGATAACTTAAATATCCTTTGATTTCAGTTTGCACACTAATTGACTCATGATACTTATGTTTTCCTTTTTCATTTGTTGATTTCGACCCCAGATGCCCTTGGTGGAGGTGACTATTTATTCGCGTTTAGGATGCTCATGGTTTTATTTCGACGAGAATTCTCTTTTTGTGATTCACTTTACCTTTGGGAGGTATGGAACCTTGAATGCTTTCTGGATTCACTGAAATAAACAAAATTTATATTCTAATTCCATCAATGTTGTAAGAAAAGAGTAGATAGATTTAGAATGAGAAGCTGAAGCTTCAAGCCTATTGGGATATATGTAATACCAGTGATTCTATATTGGGTAATAAATCACCTAATTACAGCCCTAACCATAGCACATTAGTAACACAATTACAGCACTCTAATCCCCTTATTACAGCCCTAATCACATCACATTAGTAACACAATTACAGCTCTAATTACAGCCTTAATCGCAGCATTCTAACAAGTGTATTCAGAATGTTGTTTCTAAAGTTGATGGCGGCACCACGTGCATATTCGAGAGAAAAATACTTTGGCTCTATCTTACTCGGCCAAGCTGCAAATTTCATTCATAGTATTTGAATGAATGTTTTGGAAAGCTAAATTTTAGGTTCTTGAAGAATTCATCCGGCCAACTTTCCGATTCCGAATGATCTTGAGTTGCTGGTCTTAACTTAAAATTTGCAAGGGCCTATTAGTAGGTCAGAACATCCCCTTTTTCCCTACTTGATTCCAGCTCTATCTGTAGATATGCACAATGCTTACTTGAGAACTGAAAGGAAAGGTTGCTATCTTGTTTGGGGTTAGAGATGGGTTTATTTTCTTCGGTGAGTAGAAAGGAAGGAGAATTGAAATAATTTGATTTGTATGGCTGCAGAAGTCACTTCGATTCCTGGGCTCTGTGGCCTTGGATTGCAATTTTTTTCATTCGTACTCTTTGCTTTTCTGGTTCTGTTTATTCTTGTTCATGTTCATGCATTGTTGGATCTAACTGTATATGCGTTTCCTTCTGTTGTATATGCATTCTTCTTCCTGCTCGGTGAGTCTATTAACTGTTTATTCTGCTTTCTTAACATCCAACAGATGATGTGGGCCCTTGAATATGACCCTGATTTGTTCTATATATATGAAGAGTCTGATACAGCTGCTGACAAAGCTGAGGGATCTAAACTTCAATCGAAATCCATACGCCAATATGGGAAGTATGAGAGGGAAAATATGAAAATGGGACCTGGGAGTTCAGAAGCCCCACTCCCCATCTCTGTTTTCCTTGTTGCCAGTGTCTTGAAAGATAAGAGCTCAAAATTGTTAACAGAAGCTAGGGGCCTTGATGATGTTGTTAAGGTCAGCTTAATGATTTTATTTATTTGGTTATGCATTAGATGCCTCCAGGTTGCCATATACAATGGTTTAAGAAATATTTGTTTTGGAGTGGCAAATCACTGAAAAACCTTGTTCTTGTGCTGAGGGAGGATGATGGGGATATTATGAAATTGGTAGTCTCCTGCCACCCACTGACCCACATGCCCACACACTAAAGGGAAAAAAAACAATAGAAGAGGCTAAAAGTCTTTGTGGAAATACTTTTTGATGTATCATCTTTTTACATATACACAAGCAGAGATTCAATACCCTCATCCCATTCTTGTTGAGAATGTTTATTTTTATGTAAATGCCAAATTGTTAGTTGGAGTAGTATTAATCTGGAAGTCCAGATCATATTCTTGTGTGGTAATTTTCCATGTGAGATCATCCTTCAACTCCAACTTAGCCAACAACCCAGCATTTAGAAAGCTTGTTGATTTAGTAACACAAAACTTGGACTTGACTGTGTTAGTTTGTAGTGGGACCAACCTCTTTTGATTTTGTGACAATCAGGTTTCAACTTGTCTATATTTGTATTCATTTCCTTTTTGGTTACTTTGCCTTGCAGATACTGAATGACATGACTGGTAATTTAGATGCCAAAAAAGCATGCACTGGTGCAATGAAACTTCATAAGAAATACTTGAAGAAGGTTCATATCTTACCTTGTGGTTTTGTAGTTATTGAATTTGAAATCTGCAGGGTGGTATTATTAAAGATAATTTTTTTTTCGTAGCATTTTATCTTATATATTATAAAATCATAGCACTATTTATCTATATATTATAAAACCAAGGGGAGATTTTTATTTACTATAAAAATTGAAATACTTCGACACCAATGGAGTATGTTTACTTTTATGGAGGTGCAGTATGGCACTACTCTCTTTGCTAGTTTGTTAATTACTGGGTTGGATTTTTGATTCATTTTTGTTTTTTTCCTCTATTTCATGACCATATTCCATTGGTATTTGCTAGTTAATCATTTTTCTGGCTATTCTTCGAACTCATCGTTTGTCCTTTATTACTGCAGGCCAAGAAGACATAGCATTGATGAAATACAATATTATTTTATTTTTTTCTGTTTTTGGGTTTGCGAGGTCAAGAAATATCGGAATGCAGTAGCATTTCATATCTTGATTTTGCAAGTGATAACTTTAGTTCCCACACAAATCTTTGCTTGGAGATTACAGAACTGTACAATTGCTCCAACCTGCAAAATGGTCCTTTGTAAAGGAAATTGTTGTATGTGAAAGTCAAAAACATTTTCTTTTCCTCATTAGTTCTGTATCCTAAACATTCTTGAATTCCCTACTGGAATCTGTGTACTGTATTATCCTTATACTTTCTTTACAATCATTCAATGAAATAGAAAGAAAATATTTTACTTGTATCAGTATGCGATTGGATTTCAGTTGAGAAATTCTTCTGTCTTTTTGTCTCTCTCCAAGTGATTCATGAATGATAATATTAGCCAATCCAAAAATTTTCAGTTCGAGAAAAGCATAACTATTTGATCATCTTACAAATAGAACGTTAATGGAAATAAATGTTTATTTATTGGATCTAACTTGCTTAATTTTTAGTTTGATTGAATTTGAACATTTTAATTAAATATTTCAATTTGTAAAATCAGTTCAGATTTAATAAAAGCATATAGGATATATAATTAAAATTTCATTATTTGAGAAGTGTAGTACAATGTAATAAAGTTACCAAGTTCATAATTTCAAGAGCATAAACAAACAACTAATGTATGTGAAGGATTTTGTAAATGAAGTTACTAAAATCCTAATAAGCACAGCAAAGTTCGATTTACTAGGTTTTTTGCGAAAAATACAGGCATGTCTTAGCTTCTTCAATCTGCCCATTCTCTTTTTGTCTTCTTTTCTTTCCGTTTTTTCGTTAAAACAAACACTATTAGGGATTGCTCTCCATATCTAATAATTCGGTATCAAAGCTCCAAATCTGGATGAAACCCTAATTTCCGTGCTCTAAAAGCAGAAGAAACGACCAACTCACCTCCATGAAATACGTGACAAATCCCATATTGGATAAATATAAAGTAAATGACATGTAATGAGAAATGCGAACAAACCAAAATGGCTGAATCCATTTTTTTTAAAGGTAAATCTATCTCTTTATAAGTCTAAATTATTAAATGAATTTGTTAACGATTTTGACTAATTACTCCTAGCTAGAACTCAGATTCTTAAGCTCTTGAAGAGCAAGCTCTCCTCCTCCATGGGGAGCATGCATGAGCATGAATAGAGGAAAAGTTGGAGGAGACGCGATCTGTTCAAGCACAAAATGAAGATGCACGATTTCTCGCAACACATGGCACAAATTGCTTAAGATAAACTTTGTTGGTAAACCATAACAAGAAAGTTCAAGAAATAAAACCCTAATTATAAACAATTCAGAACTATATATCTCTAATTTCCATTAATTGGGTGCCAATTTAAACATGTAAAATTTAATTAAATGAAATACAATAATTAACCAACACATATAAAAAGTTGCCACCAAGTTAAGCTAATTAATTTCCTACAAAATACAAATACAATAATCAGAAATTTTTTCCAAACAATGATCAATAAACCCGATCTGTCGTCATCAACATCAAAGTAATGATTATGGTGAAAATAGTTGTTGTAATCAAATTAACATCACTAGATTTAAATCCTCCACTCTTCATAGGAATTCTTGTAGGCAATGCACATTCTTCTCCATTGAAATAAACCCTTTTCGGAAATCCATCACCTTTAGCTACATTGATGCCTGGAGTTTGTTTCTTTGTAAAAGAAATCACAGTCTGCTGTTTTCCAGGAACTCTGGGACTGCCTTTTGTGCCATTAGTCTCTCCCATCAAATAATTCAATCCAGGTAAACCTTGAAGAAATATTGTCTTGTTTAACTTGTCTAGTTTAGTACCATTAAATGAATAAACATTTTCATATCCAGCATACGCCTTGCCCATTTGAATTGCAGCAAACCAGTCTTCAAATGGAGTTTCATCCCAGTTGAACAGTGTAATTCTAGCCGTCCATCCAGTTGAATAATCAGAATTCAAATGCCAATTTATACTAACTGGACAATTATCAGGACAAGGTCTAGGTTTGGGAATCTTGAAATGATAAAGCTTAGCCCAAGCGATTGCCTTTGCTGTTCTGTTAGCAAAAGGAACTAATAGTGCTTCTGGTGGTAGATACATACTCTTTGCCGTTTCACTGCAGCCTGTATTATCTTCACAACCGCAAGCGCAGGTGTTGCAGGGAATTGCAGATTCATTATAGTAAGCTGAAAAAGAAACACAACATCTTGATTGTTTCTGTTTCGGGCGCGAAATATTGCAGACTATCTGCCAAGAAGCAACCGCTGTTGTTATAGCTTGTAGGCCACTGGAGACAGGAAATTCTGTTGGATCAACTCTAATGGGCGTGGCACATTTGTACTGCGGATTTAGAAGACCAACAATTTTCCACTTGGATGGCGGTTCAAGAGCCGTTCGATTCATGTTTGGAGGTAATTTATAAACTTGCATTTGGAAAATGCTTCTTGCTTTGGTTTCATCCATTAAAGTAGGCAAAAGAGTACCGTTACGACAACAGTAAGGTAATTTTCCAAGCTTAGAATCATTCTTCATTGTTGCAGGAAGGTCGGAGATGATCGGACTTTTATCGCAGGTCAATACGTTGGAGAAGTCGAAATCTTGATAATATTCACCGGCAGCACCATAAATGCATTGACTTGCGTCTTGTACGCGGACATAGGCTCCTTTCATTGAGGAGATGAACTCGTTGTTTTTCCATACCCAAGTCAAATTCCAATGATCAAGACGACCTAATGGGTGGTTGTTGTCAATGGTGACTTGGGCTTGATAATTGTTGCCATAAGCTTGAAGAACATCATAAATTATGGTGAGGTCACCGTCTTGTCTAGCCATGAATTTCACTGCCTTTTTTGTAGTATTAGTTTTCGGCTTGTACTTGGGATCCTTCTTGCAACATACTTGCATATAGGTTTTTCCTGGTAAAACAAAATGAACCAATTGCCCAGTAAATCTAATAAGGACAACTGACCTAAAATTAGAGTATGATTTTTTTTTTTAAAAAAAAAAAGGAGAGACATAATAAATAATGAGAAAGAATTACCTAGATTCAGTATATAGGTACCGATTACAAACAGTATTTTGGTTTCATACATTGGAAAAAAAATAAAACAGTAATATTTTTTAAAAAAATTTCTTTTGATTGATTTGATATATGATGCACCGAGTGTAAATAAGAAATTCCCACAGATGATAAAGAGTGACAGGTTTTTAAAATGACAATCAACTTATCTACACCCAGTACACAAGCATACATGTACACCAAGCTAATCAATGAAAAAATTTTTTAAAGAATATATTTTTTTATTTTTTAATAAATGGTCACAAATACTCTGGTTTCAACCTTAAAATTATTTTTGATGTATGGATCGAACCAACGAAACTAATTATTTTTTAAAAAGCATTCTGACTTTTTTAAATATATATATATAGTTAGAAATGTCTTCGTTTTCAATAACAATGTTTAATTTCATTGGTTTTGATCCGAACATGATCGTGTTAAACGTAAGTTTTTCCCTTTCAATATACTTTGTATACTAAATTCTAATGCATGACCATTGCGAAAAAAGAAAACACACTAATGCATATGGACGGCAATTAATTTCCCTTTTACGTACCTTTCAGAGTTGGTTTAGGGCACTTATAACCGGCGTTAAGAAGCTTAAGATCCTTTGGCATTGGTACCCTTGTAGGTCGCACTCCAAACTGTGTACCAGTAATCTCTATCTGCGCTGCAATCTGGTTGAAATCTCCGGCAGTATTAATGGAAGTTTTTAAATCCGTTGATGAATCTCCGGTAAAGGTAGTCCCGTTACTAGCATCAACAGGGAAATCAGAATCAAGAACAGTCCCTCCGGTGGCCGAAACCAAAATTTCTTTGTGTTGAAATCCTATATGCATTTTCCATCCCTTGATTTCATATTGTCCGGTATTAACTATGCTTGCCGTGGCCTGAAACGCCCACGCCTGAGCGGTTACGTTCTTTACATGTGGATACTCTTTTGTCCGGGAAGTAAAAGAATATGACAAGAACACACCATTGCAAGTGTTCAGCGCGGGTGGCGGGGCAGCCTGCTTCTCATAATCGTCATTGTCCTGTCCATAGCTCTTATCGAACAAAAAAAATGCATATGCAAGAAAAATTATGATCTTAAAATGCCAAGGAACCTCCATTCCAACTTTGGTCTTCATTTCTTGATTTGTAGTTAAAGAAAGGTTTGGTGGTCGTCGCAATGCCGCGTCCGGAAGTGAACGCGGCGAAAGGTGGAGGAATGGGAGTTGCTAAGAAGGGAAACCGAATTGAGAGTGAGAGAAGAAGGTTATAAATGGGAATAAAAGAAAGAAAAAAAAGACAGAGTCAAGCTAAATTCTGTTCCTCTAGTTTTTTAGCGATTGGTGCGGAGACAAAAATAGAGAGTTTCTTTGAACATAAATGATAACATCGGATCATGTTTTCCTATAATTCATTGTTTATATACACATCTTACACTGCATGAATGTTCCACAAATTTTGTACGGTTTATATTGATTCATTTGAAGGAACGTAGTTTTGGTCTTTGCATGCCACTTCTCCATTGTTATTTTGGGTTGGCTAAGGAACTAATAGTTTTTTTTTTTTTTTTTTTTTTTTGATACGTAATAGTTTTTTTTTTTTATTTTTTTTTTTTAAAGAAAGGGAGTTCTCACTTGCTGAATATATTTGTTTAAATTCCAATCAATTATAAGTGGTTATTTTTTTTTTTATTATTTTTTTTTTTTTTGATAGATGAATAGTGAAAATTTTATTTTTTTTTTTTTTTTTTTTTTTTTTTTTTGAAGATGATAAGTGAAAATTTTTATTGTACTAGTTACTTGTACAAATACCTGTCAAAAGTAGTCGGGCTCTATACGAAGATGAATCTCATTCAATAGGGGAGAAAAATGCAATTCATTAGAATTTACTTATAAGTTTGTAATGAGTTAAGCCATTTGTAAGTCACTCATTCCAAAAATTATATACAAACCGAACTTGAATTTTAAAGCCATTTTCAAAAACTTATTATTTTTTTTATATATGTAGGTCCAATTTTTATATATAAAGATTCCATGAACCAGAATAATATCGTGGGCTACACAACAATTGATAATAACTTTTTGTGGTAAAGAAGACTCAAATTTAAGATTCCTCATTCCCTACATCTTTTACAAGAGATAAAAAGACCGATCAGACCATATTTGATCGAAAAAAATTTACTTATTGTCAATCATTAATTACACAAACACAATACATGAAATTAAAAAATATTAAGAATATTCTTAGATTAAAATGCCAAGTGAAGAATTTATTGATTAAATACAAAAGAGTTTTAAACTTATATATATTCAACTCTATCATGTACTTTCCGATTTTGGGGAATTCTATCTAACTACTGCCTAATTTATGCAATGTTATTACCGATCCAATTTATTACATTTGCAATACAACTCTTTAAATGAATCCATTTGTGAAAATTTATGTAAGTGAGCCAAATAAACATTCAGGAATCCTGCATTGTGAGGTCAGGGCATGAAAATACAATTGCTTAAGAAAAAGAACAAAATTACAAAGTTTAGTCCTATGCCCACCTGGATGGCTTACGATTCCATCAGAAAGAACATGATTTGTTAGGAATAACCAGCTTCAGCTTTAGACCCATATACTGTAAAGCTTCATTCATGGTCCTCTTCTTCTTCTTTTCAAAATCTACACCGCTCCAAAGTGTTAATTTTACACGTTTTTATACATTTTGTGGTCAAGCAGCAGTTATCTCCTCCACATTGCTGATTTCGTCATCAAATTGTGCCTTTGGCTCCAAATCTATGAATTGGTTGGACTTACTTGCTAGATGTGAGATGCTAACCCTCCCCTGGCGCTTAATATAGTCAGCAACAGCTTTCATCTCTTCCTGTGAGATGTATATATACTTTCCTCTATCGTCCATCACACCAGAAAGTCTCCCTAACATGAAACATACACATAATGTTAAATAATATGCTGCAGAGAAGTCAATTTTACTCTTATCCCAGAAAATTATAGGGTAAAACACATAATTCATTGTTACTGAACCTTGAGGGCACTACATAATAGAACATATTGGCAATCTGATGATAAGGTGGAGTTATTACATAGCATGTTGATGTATGGAGAAAGAGGCCGCCAGTTATTTCCCAAGACAAAAATTGATCCAAAGGTGATATGTTAGAATCAATATCAGAGACCACAAAAGAAATTATTGTAACTACACCTCGAACAGAAAACACTTGAGACACTAAATGAGAGAAATTTTTCTTCAGCAGTTAAAAGTTGCAAAAATAGTTAAAACATACTCGAAAATAGAAAAAAGATATGGCACAATACATACCCATGCTTTCTAGGGAGGTTATCCGATTAATGCATTCCTGCATTCACCAAAAGAACATGCAAAAATTAGGAAGCTACTTTATTTGCATTAAACCAGAGAGGGAAGAAAATAAAAAGTACATTCATAGTTCCTAATTATTTGGAGCTCCATACGCATGGATACAAGAAACAATACAAGCGGATTGTACAAAAGTGAAATCAATTCCATCATTGTTAAACTCAACTCAACGTCGTTATTCAAAACCAATGAAATTCAATATGCAGATTTCCATTCCATTACTGCAACTAAAGGAGGAAAGTTGAGAGTATACCTGAGTCCTCAGCTTGAATTCCGCAGCAAGATCTTCTAAGGGAACACATTTGTGTTTCTGCAAGATGATATTAAACAAAAGGTAAAGAATAAGATCAGCAGCATGACAACCTGGGTGTAGAAACTTTTTATCTTCTTACCAAAGGCATATTTGTAGACTGTGATTATAACAAACATATGTAGTTACGGATATATAAAGTTAAGATGCATTAAGTTCGAGTTAAATATTCGTATTTTTGCATTTGACTGAAACATTTATTTGCTAGTATAAAATGGAGAAATAGAAAACTAAAAATAGCTGCCACATGTGATTTTGATAAGTTAACAATGGGGAAATTCATGTGCCATGGAAAGTAAAGGATAAAAAACCTGCTGGTAAGAGTAATAACTGCAGGATGCACAGTACCTTTATGTATTCCACAAACTCGGATAACAAATCCTGATTTCCATCTTGCACTTCATTTTCAGTTGTTCCTTCTGCATCAACTGAAAACGCCCCTTTCCATTTCTCAAACTCTAATGCAGCAGCTTCCTCCTCTTTGGCCTTTTGAACCTTGGCTTCTTCTTCCTACATGAATAATAAGCAATCTCTTTAAAAAAGGAACTCAAGTATGAATATTCTAAAATGTTAAAAGAAGAATACCAACCCACCAGCTTCCGCTCCAGAGCCTCACGCTCTTCATCCTTCTTCCTCCGCATTTCTGCATAGCGGTCTTGTTTGGTCAGCCTTGATTCACGTGCAGCATCCTCAGCCTACACAATAATCATATCCAACACAGTGGAGAAAAGTGTTCACATCCCAATAAAAAGAATAAATAAGTAAAAGAGAAAAAAGAAAACAACACCAGGACCATGAAAAATGACAACCAGAAACAGCACTCAGCTTTGATTGCTCATACATTTTAGATCCTCGTCTTTTCTCTTCCCTATTGGCTAATGCTTATGTCTTTAAGGAAGCTTAAATTAAACATCAAAATGACTGGCGTCCATTAGAAAGGAAAAAAGGACAAAAGAAGAAATAAGAACACTAGGACCATGAAATGAATGCAAAAACTAACCATGAAAAATACACTCATTTTTGCTTCTCATACTGCATTGTAGCTTAAATTTACCAAGACAACACTTTTACTTTAAAAGCCCCAAGGTGGAGAATTTTACTTTCACTCGATTCTCAGGTTTCATGGGATTTCCTAATGATCTGGTTGTAATCATAATCATATCATGCATGAAGCAGAAAAAGGAAATACAGATTGACCAAACAACCCAAAGAAAGAGAAAAGTTATGAAATGCTGCACCTGTCTCTGTGCTTCCCGCTCTTGCCGTTTCTTCTCTTTCTTTCTTGAAGCTTTCTCCTCATATTGCTCACCCACATCAGCTTCATCGTCACTTTCAACAGTGTCTGTGTCCAGAATTGCATTTAAGACTTAAAAGAATTTTCTAAATTCCACCAGCATACTTGATGGAAGACAAGAGAAAAGTACATTTCAGATATTGCTGTAAAAAGCATCTCATAATTGTACACAAATAGACGAAAACTAGCAAGAAACAAGATACTACTCCAATATAGATAATATTTTGTGATCATCACAGGTAGTACTTACAAAATGACCGCTTGTTAAAACAAATGAGATACAGTAATCCCTCCATCTCTAGATAAAGTTACACTGTTACAGCATGAACAGAAAAGTTGAACGTGAAAAAGCTTGGGGAGGTTGCATTTATATAATTTGGCTGATATTGGTTGAGAAGCACTTGATGACAGCCTTCTGAAATATAAAATATTTCATTTTTTATTTTCTAGTGTGTTTATGCTGAAACAAATTTTATATAACCAATGTAACTGACAAGACAACCCAAGAAAGACTAGACACTACAACATTTTGAACAACTATGTCAGTCTTCAGGTTTTGCTCATTGACTGATGTTTATGTGCAATATGATGTTCAATGATTTATTCTCATGGGGATTTAATCTTCATGTCAAACATAACAGCATTAATCATAAAGCCCTTTTAGAGTAACTTTCAACAAACCTCACTTGATGTTTTGCCTCGCCTCGCCCCCCCCCCCCCCCCCCCCCCCCCCGGGCCCCCCCCCCCCCCCCCCGGGCAAAACCCAAATTTCATCCACTAAAACTAAATCATATGCAAACCGCACAACATGGGAAATGGACCATATTCAATATATCTAATAAAAATATTCACAAACGCAAATTTACAAATGGAATATTGGCATTCAGGTTCAGAAACATACTATGCATTCCAAAAACTAAATGGCAGTAAAGAATGCCTAAATCCGATAGAAAGTGACCAAAAACTTTCTCAAAGAGTCTTGCACAAATACAAATCAATATCATCTTCAAAAAGCAAAAGCAATGTAGAACAGAACATAACAAACCTTCCACAGCAGCTTCTGCAGCTCTTGATGAGCTAGCTCCAGCTGCTGGTCTTCTACGCATCCGCCGAGCACCAGTGGCTCGCACCACAGTTTCCCTCTGCCGAACCTGAAATTCAACCTCAAATACGCCTATTATGGATTTTATTTAACCTTTTAAAATCTCTCAACTAATTATATAAACTCAATTTTAACTTCCAAGACGAGAAATGTCAAATATCTTGATCTCTATCAAATAATAAAAGACCAATACTCTATAAACATGAAAAAAATATTAAAACAGACCTGATGCTCTTCTTGATGTTCATCAGGTGATCCAGAATTCTGACGGCGTTTCCATAAATACAAAGGAATCAGCCCAATGACAAGAAGCATAGAGAGAATAGCAACAAATAATTCCTCCATTTTTCAAATCCTTTCCTGCCACAAAAATTAGTGAATCAAAACAAATAAACAGAACCATAATTTCATTATTAAACTTGAGAATTCGAGTTTCCAGCGAATTTATCGATGACGGAACTAAAACAGAGGGTTATGGAGGGTTTTAAAGAGAGTGAAATTGCGACGGCATACCTTTTGATCCTAACGCGAGGATTGCTGTGAGAATTAAACGCTGCCAAGAAATGTTCCGCGGAAGAGAAGTAGAATTTTGTTAGCAACGTCAACCAGAACGAAACGACGTCGTAATCTTTTTTGCTTGTTTGGGCTTGGGCTGGGGTATTTAGGTTAAAGGCGTCCATAATTCTTGACATGATCTCAGACTCGGTGTGGCCATAAAACAAACATACTGGTTTTTCTATTTTCTTTGCTTATTTTTTCATTTTTTATTAAGATTAAGCTCAAGTTGTTTCCAGAAAGCAACATATCTATTTTAAATATTTTCTAAGAAAAACTAACAGCATATTTATTATCATTTAATTAAAATTTTACAAGATTAATAAAAATAATTTAGAATTGTAGAAATTTTATACTTTAAAATATATTGTTAAATATGGGAAAAACTAAATAAAAATGATAAATTGTAATTTTCGATCACCCATGGTGGTCAGTGATGGTTGGCGACTATGTCGATTAGCTATGGTTAATAACAGTGACTAACAATAGTTAATAATTAATGTAAATATATGTTTATAAAATTATAATAAATTAATCCATATTTTAAAAAAAATTTTCCTCCTTAAAAAAAATTTATTTTCCTATACAATACCTTATTTTTTTTATCAATAAAATATTTTTTATTAATTGATTTTCTTGAACACTCCAATATCTGAAAATCCAGAAAAGATCTGTAGGTGAATTATTTTTTTGAAAACAAATAGGGCCTTAGAATATTTTTTTTTTAATAAAAAAGAAGTTCTTTAATGAGGTTATGTTCCAATCAAAAGATCCAATAAAATTATTTTTTAAAAATAAATAGGGTCTTTTTTTTTTAATAAAAAAGAAGTTATTTAATGATTTTATGTTCCAAACAAAAGATGAGATAGAATCGTACGTTAAGATATAATATAATAATAAGTATATATACAATCCGATCGAGTTTGAATCCCCCTCCACCAATATTTAATAAAAAAAAAAATCAGATAGAATCATATTTTAACATTGTCCGTCTTTTAATACACGATAAATTTAATAAATCCCTGCTTGCTACTGCAATTAACGGATATGAAAAGAGGGGTTTGAGAGGCCATTCTGATTTTTAGTTAGTTTGACAATTCTAATAATGCAAATGGCTAGTAGTTTTTACCCAAGATGAAATTTCAACTTGGAGGGAGAAGTTTTTTCTTGCTTAGAAAGGATAGAAACAAGTTTCTGACCCCATATCGAACTGACAGGAGTCAAATTTTTCCCATTGAGGAATCACATTTTATACTGTTACAGAGATGATCACGGGGCAAAAATTTTATACCTCACATGCATTGTTACTTCAACTAATAAATTATATCCTCTAATCGATTTATTTACTTCGACTCCCAACTTCACACCGTTGTATAATATATATATATAGAGGTCTGTGCGGTAAACAGAACTGCTCCTATTACAATTTGCAAATGATCCAAGGACATGCAGATACTGGACTGAAAGACAATAACCCACAAAGGAATTTAGAGAAAAAAAAAAAAAAGAAGCAACCAAGGGAGAACACCAATGGTTTTCCACCAGCAAAGTTCGAGATACCAAGATTACTATTAACAAAATGATGAAACCAAATCCATTTGGTTCTCTCTCCCCAGATACATTTCTACAAAACCAAACCCGTGTTTACATTCTATTATTTATCTGATATCTCATTTTATGTAATCTTCTTCTGCTGCTGCTGCTGCTGCTGCTCTTTCCACCATTCAAGCATCGGCTATATCAGCAGATTCAGCTGCAGCAAGCATCAACTCTGGGTGGATGGTGAATGTTCCATCGAGCGCGTTGGGCAGCCCCAATGCCTTCAAGGCAAGGTGAGCTGCTTTCTGCCCTGATATCATCATAGCTCCAAATGTTGGTCCCTGCATCACCAATGTGCATCATGAATCAAATCAGAAAAACTCCTCCCTTTATGTGCCAATTGCCAAACAATCACTAATTAAAGCATTTTTAGAACATCCCAAAAGGAAAACATAACCACCAAACAGGGGAAATGAAAAAGTTACCATTCTTGGAGCACCATCAATCTCAGCAACTTCCATGCCAGTAACAATCATTCCAGGCACAATCTCCCTAGTAAGCCTAACAATAGCATCTTCAGCAGTATTCATATCAAGAGCTTTCATTCCTGGAACACTCTCGATCATACCAATGCTCTTAAGTCTCTTCACTCCAGTGGCACCAAAGGGTCCGTCATGGCCACAAGAACTCACAACCACCTTAGCCTCCATCACATTAGGGTCCATACAAGACTGTGTGTCATGGTTCATTGACACTAGAGCCCAATTGGTAACCACCCCACCAACTCTACCATTTTTCACTATCAAGTCCTCAGCCGCCACAGCATTGAAAAGCTTGACATTAGGACGGGCAAGGAGCTTGCTCATGATTGTGGAGGTAAACAGGGCAGCGTGCTTGATTACAACATAGTTGTCTGCTTCATCGTATTCAATGTCCAGTTCATCCAGGAAAAGATGAGCAGGTTTCCTTACAATCTGACAAAACAAACAGATAAATATGAAATTAGTGTAGAATTAATTTATGTTTATTTAATAATCTCCCTCCTGATATACTTAAAATAAAGAATAATGATTTTTTACACGATATATTCAATCTGAGAGATCCCAGGAAGGGCTAATAAAATAATTCCATTAAAATATATATGTATATATATTTGGATTACCATGGCAGAGAAGAGCTGGCCACCGAGCCAAGCGCCACCACCAGGGCTAACAGATTGCTCAACGATGGCGACTTTAACAGATGGATTCTTACTGAGCTCATAAGCACATGAGAGCCCAGCAGAACCGGCACCTACAATCACTACATCGGTATCGGCGTGAGTCACCATGTCTGTCATGTATCTGCGCGTCATCTCACGGGACACTATGGATTCCTTGATTGGGTCAAATCTAAAACTGTTCAAATTGTACTGTGGAACGGATGATGATGGTGTGTTCGCCGACATAGAAATTGAAACTCCGTTTGATTTTGTTGGTTGCATGCGGAGAGAAGGTGGTGCCGCAGCCACCGGAGTGCCATAGAAGGCGGAGGAATCAAAGAGAGAGCTCTTTGTGGATAGAGATGTGAGAGCTGTAGCCATGGTTGCCATGGTCGGTTCTAGAAACGACGAGGCGTTTTGTGTTTTAAAAGGAAGGTTTTGTTGAGGAAGGAAGGATGAGATGGAAGCGAGAAGTGGAGATAGTTGGTATTTATGGAGATAGAAATGTAGGATGTGGAGACCACTGATCCCACTGAGAATTATATTTTATAGGGTAAAAAAGATCTCAGCCGTTGAATCATAGTGGGATCACGCGAGATCCTTAGAATTATCCTAACATATAACGCCGTCAAATGATCAAAAAATAAAGAAATGAAAAATACAATAAAATGAAAACATAAAGATAAACTGGATATTTTAGTCATTCTACAACAGGTAAAAAGCATAGAATGCGTGATTAAGCTGATAGGTAGACGTCCATTACCTTTTAGTGTTTTCACTTCTGCGATTGTACCGAATGTTTTTAGAATTGAGTTGGGTTTTTTTTTTTAAACATTAAATATCATAACATTTATGGTTTTATAGATATTAATCCTGTTTTGGGTTTAACCATTCGGTGTCTAAAGTATTTTTGCCTGATTAATTTGCACAAACAGGCTGATTAATTTGTACTGAACAAGCCCATAAAAAGGAGAAAAACTCACATTCTCAAGTATTTAAAAAGACTTTTATATCTAGGGTTTAAACTCGAAATCTTAAGAGTATTCGCCATTTCATCTCACCCCTTAGGTGTATTAATTAAATTTTTTTTTAGTAATCAATTCTCATTATTTTTTTTTCGAATTTAGCCAATGTTTGTTTATATCATTTTAAATTAAACAACTATTTTTAATTTAAACCATTATATAAATAATTACTAATTAAAAGCTAATAGCTAACACGTAATTGCTAATACATATTGAAGGCACGTTGAACAACACTACTATTTATGTTATTCATATTGTTAACTAACTTAGCCTTTATAATACTTCTTGGAGATTCTTTTCAAAAATAAATAAATAATAGTTCTCGGTGATTGAAAGAGTAAATTATGAAAGGTTTACTCACTATAATATTTAGGTCATTTTCGATGAATTAGTTGTTTTAATATCTGTTAATTATTTAAATGATCAGTAAAATTAATTACTTTAATAATTATTAGCTATTTTAATAATTGTCAATTGATTAATTAACGTTTCAAAAAATGTTAGAAAAAAATAACATTTCACAATCCATTCTCTTAAACTCTAAATACTAATATAAATGTTCCTTTAAAAATACACTAGTATAAACTATAAACTTTCTGTCTCCAAACAATATAAATAATAGTAGTAATATTTTAATATAGTCAAAACTCTAAATGTTAATCTCTTCATACACAAATATAATTATTTCAGTATAGTTTCATTTTGAGAATACTTGGGAGTAATTAATAAAATTTTCTAATTTTATTTTATTTATATTATTAAAAATATTTATCTTTATAATTTTTTTAAAAAGTAATTTGTCAAATTTAATGAATATTACATTATAATTCAATAGAATTAATTATTTTCTTAATCATAATGCAATATCTTTAAACAATTATATTTATTGTTTATGGACGAGAAACTACATGAAAAATTATTCCACTAATAGAACATCTCAGCTACTACAACAGAAAATATTAAATTAAAGCAATTTAATTTACTTGTCATCTAAAGAGAAATACATTTATTTGGTTTATATTGAAAGGAGGAGAGGATTTTGGGAGAGAAATACTCTTTTTTTTTTTTTTTTCATTTCTTTAAGCTACGCTAGCCGGAAGTGCTCTCCACGGATTGAAACGGACGTTAAACAATACAAATGTTACCCAACGGCTAAAAGTGTAGAAAGCAGGGAAGAATGCAGGAGAAGGATGTAGATTATAAAAACCACGATAAAGCAAGGTGGAAATATCCCGTGAAGACGGAAATATCCGGCGGACAGGTGCAAGCAGATAGGATTCGAAGGGTCTAGAACGCTTGCAAGTGGCTTTCATGCACTTTGTTTTTGTTTTTTTTTTTTTCTCTTTTGTTGTGTGTTTTATGTGTATATGTTTGTCGTTTCATGAATGTGTGGTGCGTTTGCTGCCCCTTTTGTGATATTTTGCCATCAGAAAGGTCAATTTCGTGGGTCATCTTCTTTTGTCGCTATTGTTTGATGCTATGCGATGAGAGATGCGCCAATTGAGGAGCCCTCCATTGATATCTTTGGAAAAGAAAAGGCAAAAAAAATAAAAAAGGAAAATAAGGGAAAAAGAAATTTTTCTGTGTTTGAAAATAAAATAAAATTGTTGTCCCTTTATTATAAAATCAGTTTGGATCTTTTTGGTAAAAGGTTAATCACATGTTATGTTATAAATTGTGACATAATAATACATGTATACACTTTATTTTTTTAATAAATATATTGTTTTCTATTTAACATATTATATAAATAAAATTTTTGTAATTAAATTGAATAATATTTGATACTAATAACAAAATGAACAAATAAAAATATTAATTTCAAAAAATTTATTAAAAATTATTGTTATACACTTTTTAAAGAAAAACTATTATTATAAGATTAACGGTCTAACGTAATATAATTATGAATCAGTTAGCAATTAATAAAAAAAACTTTAAAATAGCTATTCAGTATAATTAGTTAAAGATGTCAAAATAAGTCATGATATGAGAACACAATGTACATAACACATAAATTAAATGAATTAAACTTAAATCTACATGGATTGTTAGATGGGTGATTCATTTAAACTCGTGTCACATATGAGTAACTTGTATATAACACGAGTTCAAATGGATCACACAACTAATCCATTCGTTCAAAGATAAAAATATAATATGTATATATAAATATACGTTGGGCGAATTATGCAAATTTTACATATTATGCATGTCGGGTTTTTCACTTATATATACAACTCATTTTTAATTAAATTTTGACTCATACATAATAAATTAATAAAACGAATCACACGTATACTTGTATCACTTGTTCAATTTTCATGTTATATTCATATTTGAATATTTGATATAATTATCATACGAATCGTGTTCACATCAACCATAATCTTGTCACATGTTAAATGGACCTATATTAACACACTTAGATTTAATTGGTCTTTCCATATATTTGCGAAGTAATAAATTTCAAGTTCGGAATCTCTCGATAATCCCATTGTATAGTGCATAGAATCCCGTTCATTTCAACATTCACAAATTTAATTGATTTTTCCATACATGTGCGGAGTAGAAAATTTCAAACTCAAAATTTTACCCATGTTGTGTGGCCAGACATTCTTTCTGTCTGTCCTCGCAATAAATAAAGAAAAAACTTCAATTGGGACTCCTGTTAAATAGTAGAAGTATTAAAATCTCACACACGCATTGTTGTAATTTTCTCTATTTTATCCTTTTTTGTTTGTGTTTTTTTTTTTTGTAAAAACAATTTCTCCATGTCAAAGAGGAAATTTCGAGAGACAAAACAATCCCTTTCCTCCTCCTTTTCACTTGGCTTTTTATGATAAGGATTATCTTTTAAAAAAATTTTATCTAAACCGAATTTACGATCCATTAATGGATTCAATTAATAAAAATAAAAATTTTTATTAAAATAAATGTATTTTTAACTATACAGCAAAAAAAAAAAAAAAAAAAAATTAATGGATTCAATGTAATAAAAATAAAAATTTTTAATTAAAATTCAAAGTGTATTTTTACTATCAAGCAAAGAAAAAAAAAAAATTAAAAAAACATTTTTAGATAAATTTTTATCTGTGATTTGAATTCAATCTATAAGTGTCTATGGTGGAGTGAAGTTTCAGAGGGTGTAGGCGTAGAAGTAAATGTTCTTGTCTTTTTTCTATAAATGGTCTCTTAACGAAAACTTTGCAGATGATACAGTATGGAGAGAGTGAATATCATGCACAGGCAATAAGATTTAATCGTGTTTCAGATAAAAACAACAAATATACAACGCGAAATACTTTCAAGTAAGTTCTGAGACATGCCTCTTCTGCAAAATCAAAGATCGTACTTACCAAAAAAAAAAAAAAAAAAAACATTTTAATAAATTTTTACTGTGATTGATTTCATCTATAAGTGTAATTATATATTCAATGTACGTAGATAATTTCCTTGTCTTTTTTCCTATAAGATGGCTCCTTACGAAAATTTGCAGATGATACAATGGAGAGATGATATCATGCACATGGCAATAAGATTTATCGTGTTCAATAAAAACAAAAATAACACCAAAACTTCAATAAATTCTGAACATCCTCTTCTGCAAATCAAATCGTACTTCCATGAAAGAAAAAATCGTACTCATCACCAACGTAAATACATATCAAACTCGTACATAAAAGGACGTGATAGTGTCATAACTAACGTTTTAAAATTTAAAAGTGAATTTACGTAATAAAATATAAAGGACCGTATGAATTGAAATTGACTTGCTCAGAAAGATATTTATGAATCAAATCATTAAAGAATGAATTTTTTTTTTTTTTTTGTATTTTTTCTGTTTTTGACATACCAGGAACCCTTTTTCTCGTTTTTCGCCCCTTTCAATGATATAAATGGGCCTGGACAGTTTAGTACAGTATGGACCTTTAAGCCCATAGCAACCTCCAGCCTACGAATGAACAAGGGGCCTCTTCTCAAAATCCAGGAAAAGAAAACCGGAGTGTGAAGGTGAAGCATCACTGCCAGCCACTTCAGGCTGTAGACAGTGCGTGCATGCATGCATGGAACGCTAACTTTAACTTGTCCTTTTCTATGAAAAGAACATATCAGTTGACATCCGTATTGAAAAGGACATAGCCCGAGTGGAAGTTTAGTTGGAGTGATTTTGATTTGAGTGCAAAACCCTTAGATACAGAAAATTTTCTTTTAATGTAGAGTACCCAGGCTAATCGAAGATATAACTATAGTTCAAACGGTATTCAAAAATATGTTCTCGTTGCAATATGTTTCATTGAGGGTATTGACCTGTTAATTATAGGAATATTTCAAAATCTAAAACAATTATGTAACCATCGATTCAAAATAGTTTCAATTTTTCCAATTTTACAAACCATAAATGAACCAAATCTTCAATAACGTGATTTTAGATCAATCTTATACATCATGATCTTCGATCCCTTTATACTTGCTTCAACAATTTCAACTGCTCATTAACCAGAAAAGGGAAGATCCATATCACAATTTACTCCCTTCAGAAGCAAATGAACTTATCATAATTTACTCCCTTCCGAAGCAAATGAACCAAATTTCAACAATTTCAACTGTTAATCAAAAACATATCGCAGCAATTTACTCCCTTCCGAAGCAAATGAACTTATCATTTCACAATTTCAATTAAAAGAAATGTAAGTAGCACATTTGCAAGTTAAATTAAATTACATCAGAGCATACTAGACCCAACCAAAAACACAACCATCAAAACAATATCATTGCCAAGCTCTCTCAAGACCACGAATCTCAAAAGGCAACCCTAACTTCCAATCCATCCACATCTAGATAATCAAACCATATGATAAAAAGCAGGAATCTTTTAGAAAATTGCATCCAAAAGGAAAAGAAATATATTCTCACAGTTCAACTTCTTATAACAGTAACCATTCAGAAGAGAGGAGCTTACAGACACATTTGCCATCATCATCATCCCACACAGAACCAGCTTATAGAAAATAAATAACTTAAAACAGATCTTTTATGTCATATCAAACCAACATGACTAGGGATTTAGCAGCTTAAATAGATTCTAAAGTTCAAACAATTTCCGCACCAACATAGGAGGGGAATGCACCAGGCAGAGAATTGAGTTACTGGAACTCAGAAACCATGGATTTTTATATTTTCCTTCTTCACAATGCCAGCCTGTAAAACAAAATATTAAAATGTTAAAAAAATTTAATGCACTAGACAATCACAACAACAGAAGATTAACAAAAGACTTCATAGCTAAAAGAGTAATTGCGAGAGATTAAAATTACTTGGACAAGGAAGGTAGATACGTTCTTCCGCTGATCACCTTGAAGTTGAATAACCTATAGAAACACATCGACATGAGAAGCCATTTAAGATGGAAATAGACAATTGATTGTTGATGGGTTAAACACACACCTGCCCTAATTCAGGGTCCTGTACTACAGTGCCATTGCAGCAGAATTCCTTCTTGAGATCCTTGAGTATCTTGTTGTAGCTGAATTCCTTCTTCAAACCCTGCACAGTAGTCAAGCTTTTCCTACCATTCCGTTGCTGTATACGGATATGCACATACTCTTTTGCCCCAGCACCAGAGTCTTCAGCATTTGCATCAGCAAAAGGATCTGCAATAACAAAATATAAATTCGATTGTCATATGCATCAGTGCAAGTGCAAATGAGAGAGAAGTTTTTAGTATATAGATCTTCACTGTGTTTTCATAATTATGAAACATTCATAAATTGTACTGGAATTCCAAAACCAAGCTCATCTTATATTTAACAAGGTTGGTTTTGAGAAGTCATCAATTTACTAAGAACAGAAGATCAAAATTGAATTCACCAGCTGTTTCATGAAGCTAGCTTACCAAAGGTAGTAGGAATCTGGGCTTCGAGCTCAGACATGAAACTTAGCTTATCAAGGAAGCCTAACAACCAGAATGCTCAGACCTGAAATAGGACATGCAATCCATGTCAATGAAGATTAAAACTTACGTACTACAATTATGTAATAGATTTTCTGAAAGACAAAAGTTCCTGCACTTTTTATAATATTTCCCAGCCCAATAGCATAAACTTTTAAGCAACAAATATTAAATCAGTCTGTCTGTCTATAAGATGGTCTAAAGCTAAAGGAATTTTCCAACTGTAAGTAAAACCAACAAATTAGTGAATGTTCTTTAATATATACATATATAAGCCTATTACAGCACAAATCAATATGGAATTGACAAACTCAAATTAAAATATGAACAGCCACTAAAACAAATCAAGTTACAAAGTTAGCCATTATTTATCTCAAAGCAGAAAAGTACCAACAAAAGCACCATCAAAAGAAATAGATTCCAGCCACATACATATTCAATTTGGAGAAAAAAAAAAGAGAAAGAAAGACCACGTAGAAGGGCCACAGATGATAAATACAAACGACACCAAGAACAGATCGCATCAAGGACATAATCTACTCAAAAAAAAAAAAAAAAAAAAAAAAAAAGGAGAAAAAAAAAAAGAGAAATGAAATCGACCACGTAGGAAGGCCACAGATGAATAAAATACAAAACGACACAAGAACCAGATCGCATCAAAGGACATAAATCTACTCAAAAAAAAAAAACAAAAAAAAAAAACCAAGGAAAAGGAAACAAACCATGATTGGCAATCAAACTCCTTGAAGAAACATAAGAGAAAAAAAAAAAAAAAAAAAAAAAAAAACCAAGAAAGAAACAAAACCATGAGTGCAATCAAACTCCTGAAGAACATAAGAGCCAGATCACATAAACAGATGCCAAATAGAAATTAAGCATTTAATGAAATCACCAAAATTACCCATAAAATAAATAGAAAAGATCACATAATAAATTCCTATGATAATCAAGAAATAAAGCCCCAACTTAACATTAACATCAGCAGAAAATATTCAAATCTAACAATCAATAATAACCTAGGACTAAATAAAAATCAAAATTCAAATTACATATTCAATCGTAGGCCCATAATAATCAAAATCCCCCCAAAAAAACCGATCTTCAAATGAACTTTGAACAAGCAAAAAGAAACTATTTTCAACAAGGAAACCCAAAATTCAAATAAATTGAACGAAAATGAAATAAGCAGATCTAATAGAAGAGAAAAGGATTACCTGATCCGAGGATTAGGGCTTCACGATGAAGAAATTAGATAGGAAGGGAAACCCTAAAATCAGATGAAGTCTAAGCTCTCTCCGTATGTTGTTCGGGTCGCGAGGAAATGAGAGAGAGAGTGATCTTGAAGGCAGATATATTGATTTAAAAGAGTGGACTCTATTTTTTATTTTTTTTAAAAAATTAATTAAAAGGTCGGTTTTGTTATTTTAATTAAATTGCACACACTTTAACGTAGAGACAGAGGGGCGCTTATTGCTTAGTTTACTTCTAAGAGTGAGATTCAGTGGAGCACGCGCGAGGTGGGTCGTTTCGATTGGAATAGTCTAATACGTGGCAGTTAGATAAAGCGATTAGAGAAGTTTCCTTGATGAGACGAGTGTGAAATAAAAAGGGTAAAATTGTCTGTAGGGTAGAATTCGAAGGTCGAGGAAAAAACGTTGTGCTTTACTACTTTTGTTCGGATAGACATGTCCAAGTGAAAATACGTAGCGTAGATGCAAAGCTATTAACCAAACGACGACGTTTGATGTCCTATACCATGATGTGATGTTCAACGACTCTGATGTGCCGGTCTAATGATGCCGTTTCAATTATAGCTGAGAGAGCGTTAGGGTCCGGTTTGATTTGGTTTGGTTTTCTTTTGAAGTAATAATCCAACCAAACTTAAAATGCATTGAAATCAAATCAAACCATCAAAAACATAAAATAAAATCTTTAGCGCAGCTTCATTGATTTGATTCCATTTAATAATATAAAAGGAAAGGAAAGAAATTAAACCGTTTCCTTTATCTAGTTAACAAGAAAAAAAAAAATTGTCAAACATGAAAAATTAATTAATATCAAACGATGATATAAAACACATCTTTATAACTTTTTTACACATTTATTTTGAGCAATTCAGAAAAAATAATATGTTCAATAAGACATTAATTAACTTATTGATATATAATTAAAATATTGATCTATTTCTATATTTATTAGTTAAAGAAATATAAACTATAGTTTCACCCATATATAATTTATACATAATGTGTAATAATATATTTTTCATAAATTAACATATGAATTTCTCATAAATAACTGTATAAATTACCTAACTAATATGAAATTGTGATATAATTATTATCCAATATAAATTGAGTAATGCAAAAGCAATTTTCATTTAAATTGAATTAAATATTTATCATTTAAAAGTGTGTGTGTGTATATACATATATATATATATCTATATATGCACACTCATGGTTAGGACGGACGTATATGGTATTTCATACCCTTGCTCAAGAACCCTTACCCTTATATTATTATTATATACCCTAAAAAACAATGAAAAGAGTAAAGCAAGAGCATCTAATGATGAGTCATCAGAGATTCGCTCACAGTGAAAATCTACGTGTATCCCTTAAATCTACGTGTAAACCTAAACTGACCATCTTCCAAACCAATCTCTGATCATCTCATGAACACGTACTCACCATGCACGCCTCTGACCATCCTATAAGTACCCTTCTTCACCACCATGACTCCCTCGCCCATCAAACCCAAATTCATTTCACTCTTCTTATGTAAAATCAACCATGGCTAAGCTCACCATCCTCTTAGCCTCCTTCATAGCCCTCCTCTTCCTCGTCGACGCCTCCATCTACCGAACCACCCTCATCACCGACGAAAACGACGATAACCAATTCCCGCCATACGACCGCCCAACAAGCTGTCAACAGCAAATCCAATCACAGCAAAGGTTAAGAGCATGCCAGCAGTATCTCCGGCAACAAACTGGCTCCCCCTGGGGCCGTCGTTTCGACAACGAGGAAAATCAGATGGAGCGAGAAGAGTGCTGCAGACAGCTTCAAAGAATGGAAGCTCGGTGCCGGTGCGACGGTCTCCGACAGGCTATTGATCAGCTACAGAGGCGTGGAATCCTTGGGGGCCAGGATGTCCGTGAGGCGTACATGTTAGCTAGGCAATTGCCGTCGGAATGCGGCGTTTCACCAAGGCAATGCCATTTCGGGACACGGTGGTGGTTCTAAAAGAGTGGTGGACGTAAGGTGGCAAGGCGTAGGATAAATGCTGTACTGGTAGAAGAATAAAAGTCACAGCTCTGGTGGTTTTGCTAGAGATTTGAGTGATTTTGTTATTAGTGAAAATAAAAAATTATAAGCACATTATGGTGCGTAGTTAATAATAATTAAATAGAATGCTGAGTTTATGTATGTACTCTTTTTGTCTTGATGAGGCTATATATATATGTATGTTATGCTGTTAATTATTGATAATAATGTTATTATTATTATGAATAATCAGCCAGGCTGCTTATAATGTTGTTGTTCTCTACATAGAAATTTTTTTTCTTTTAAGGATTAAATTTGCCAAATTTCAGTCTATGGTTTCCATTCATGAATAGTCAGAAATACCTTTCTTTCGATATATTTTTTTTTCAATAAAAAATTATTTCTTATTAATTTGGTCAATGAATAAGTCTACAAACTGAATATAGATAAGTGAATTCCAAAATATAGATAAGTGAATTCCAAGATTTAGAAAAAAATATATGAAGAAGGATGGTATTTTAAAAAAGTCCAGAGAGTCCAACCTGGTTATTGAATCATGTTACATTGTAAGTCATGTTTTTAAGTTTGCTGAATATTATTGGTGATTGTCATTTGACCCAAAAAACTGAGTTCATTCATAAGCCAAGTTGGTAGGTGTTGACTAGTTGGTTTGAACCCTGTACGTTGCTTAAGGATCATCCAGCGCTTCAGGACCAACTATAAGGCCAAGGTGGCTCGACCAACTGTAAGGCCGAGCCACATCCAGCGCTTCAGGACCAACTATAAGGCAAGTCTACCAAACTGAATAAGATAAGTGAATTCCAAAATATAAGATAAGTGGAAACTTCAAGATTTAAGAAAAAAAATATATGAAGAAGGATGGTTAGTTTTGTTTTAAAATAGTCCAGAGTCCAAGCTGGTTATGTGAAGTTAGTTGGATTACATTGTAGGAGCATCGTTTTTTGGAGAGTGTTGCTGAATATATATTGGGTTGAGTTGTTCATTTTGACGCCCAAAAAAACTGAGATTCAATTCATAAGTCCAATGTTGTAGGTTTTGACGAGTTGTTTGAATCCTGGTGCGTTTGCTTAATGGATCATCCAGCGCTTCTAGAGGCTGATTGATGAACCTAAGCTAGTAGGAGGCCAAGATGTGGTGGCTTCGACTATAATCCTGTAGGCCGGAGCCAGGCATGCCAGCGCTCTAGGACAACTTATTTAGTTTTGGAGGCCAACGTGTGGGCTCGGATCCATATCCTATATTATTAGTCCGAGCCACGTTAACGGCTGGATATATAGTCCCAGGGCGCCGTTCGTTCAGAAAATGGATAATTTAAAGCAAATCAATTTCAATGGAATTGATTATTTTCGTGATATAGGAGCGAGAAAAGTTGATATTTGATTTCACTAACTCCATGCTACGCTTTCTTAAACCTTTAGTAACAAATGAAGTGCATGGGGACTGGTTGCGTTAAGGATTAGGCGTCAGGCGCTTCGGGAACAATCGGTAGTTGGTAACTAAAGATCAGTGGGTGTGTGTGCTTAATTGAAGTAGGTTCCTTGCATCCAGCGCTTCAGGACCAACTATAAGGCCAAGGTGGCTCGACCAACTGTAAGGCCGAGCCACATCCAGCGCTTCAGGACCAACTATAAGGCCAAGGTGGCTCGACCAACTGTAAGGCCGAGCCACATCCAGCGCTTCAGGACCAACTATAAGGCCAAGGTGGCTCGACCAACTGTAAGGCCGAGCCACATCCAGCGCTTCAGGACCAACTATAAGGCCAAGGTGGCTCGACCAACTATAAGGCCGAGCCACATTAACGGCTGGAAAAAGCCCAGGCCCGCTTACAGAAAATGGAAATAGAAGCAAATCAATTTCAAATGAATGGATATTCTGATATAGAGCGAGAAAAGTTGAATTTGATTAATCCAACTTCTAAACTTTAGAACAAATGAAATCATGGACGTTGCTTAAGGATCCAGCGTCAGCGCTTCGGGAACAATCGGTAGTTGGTAACTAAATCATCTCAATTGAATATTCCTCAAGCAGAAAGCCACATTGTTTTTATGTTCATTGAATATTCATTGATAATTTAGAAATGTTCTCTTTTAATTATGAAGTGAGTCAAGCGATAGAATGTTTTTAATATAATTGAAGATTTTAGGCATGTAACATCAGAGAATTCAATTTATAGAAAAGCACTTAATAAGAACAGTAGCTACAAATCTTAATGCGACAAAATTTCATATTTAAAAGGTTTGATCCATAGGAAAGTGTTTATAAAGAGAAGCAATTATAAACTCCGAAACTATCGAAACATATTTATTCAAAGATGCTTATAAATTCTGAAATCAAATTGGTTTTGTATTCAACAAGGTATATAAGCATTGAAATGTACTAAAAAAAAAAAAGAAAGAAAGAAACTGGATATTCGTAACACAAGTTCTTACATTAACTCCCGGAAATTGAACAATTTGTCATTGGTGGAGTCATTAGACATATTTTCAGTAAGACAAAACCAAAAGCAATTTTTGAATCCGATTCAATTAACAAGGGGCTTGACTTTAAAGAAGATGAAGCAAAAATTAAATGTGAACAACTTAATACAAGGCCAAAACCTCAGCTTCGTTCAAGAAATTTATTTCTACATGTAGAAAATAAAGTTTAAAATTTTATATTTATTTTTCTTTTTTCCAAAATATATAAATGAATTTCTATTTTTAGACCATTTGGTCACATTATTGTAAATTCATGGAACCTTTGGATGATAAACAAATTTTCTAATATACAACAAACAAGCAAAACAATATGTGTCGATTAGGAATCAACGTGGAAATCAGAGACGCAGCAGCGATGGGAAAATGCGTTCTCTTTTGTCAAGTATTGATCACAAAAACTATAAAAAAGAAGAAAAGCATACATATCTTCAACGGCAGAATCTGCATGCAGCTCTTATGTGTAGAAAATGTTACACGTAACATACGGACAAACTAATAAACTGATTGATTATATACTACAACAAGACAAAAATACTTACGATTAAAGTCCAATTAGTCGAATGTAAATGCATGAATTTTATTATTCACAAAGATTTTTTTTATTCACAAAGATGAAATACTCACCTTTTAAAGAGAACTGAGTGCTTTTTAATCAGACTATTCGTTGTCATTGTCTTAACAGGGCTATGAATATAAGTTTAATATTAATCTATTATCTCATCCATACAAGAAGCTTGCGTGTAAGCATAACCCGCACCATGAAGCCATTTGTAGCGACTCCATAATTAGAAACACCAAATAGCTCTGACTAACCATTCTATACATCTTCCACGTTTCTCTACATGCAAACCCAAAAAAACCCTATAAAAACCCACCTTCAGTGTTACCAAAACCAAAGCCAAAAGCTTGAAGAAAGAAAAAATGGAGAAGCTTACAACCTCAGCCGCTCTACTCTGCATTCTGCTAGTGCACATAGCCAATGCAGTCTCCGGCTATGTGACAACCACCATCACCACCGTTGAAATCGACGATGATTCTTCTAACACTAGTCAGCGAAAATGCAGGAGGGAAGCTGAAAGGGCAGATTTGAGCTCCTGTGAGAGTTATATGAGATCGTCAAGAAGGCCGTCAGAAGAGATGCTAGCTTTGCGAGGAATTGAAAACCAGCAACAACGGGATCTTCGCCAATGTTGTAACGAATTAAGGCAGCTAAGTCATGATTGTCCATGTGAAGGAATAAAGTATGTATTAGAGCAGCAGCTGGAGCAAGGACAGCGAGAGCGTTTGGAGGCAGTGCGTAGGGCTAGAAGTATACCTTCTGCTTGTGGCCTGCGTACAAGCTGCGATATTCGTTCCTAATCTGCTAGCTATAACGTGGATGTGCTTCAGTTAAATAAAAATTTCACTCACTTGGTGTGTGAGTGATCAGAGTTATGTATAATAATGCACAAAAGAATGAGCACATCAAGCTAAGTTTGTTTTCTGTTATCTATATTATTTTGTGCATCATCTAAATTACATGTAAGATGTGAGTTTCTGTCCATAGTTAATCTTATGAGATTATCAGAAGCTCTCATGAAAAATATTAAAAATATGCACAGAAAGTTTCACAACTAAAATGTGACAGCAAGAACCCAATTCCAGTTTTCTGAAAAGCTTCAGTTCTTAGAGTAAAAATCCATCTTTTGTTTGAAAAATTAAATGAGTTTGAAACTTAATAGAAAATGGCCTGTAAGCAAGACCACAATCAGACTCGGAAACCTCCAGGAAGGCGGAGGACAAGATGGAGACTGCTGGATTCTTTTTGGATGTTTTTTCCCTATTAATTTAACTCTAGGAAAGATTTGAATTCAAGACTCCACAATTGTGGAAATTTCCGTACTTGGGCTATACTATATATCCATGACCAAAATCAAGTATTTCAAACAAATGTTTTTTTTTTTTTTTTTTTTTTTGTATTTTCAAACAAATGTTTTTCTTTTTTTTTTTTTTTTTTTTTTTTTTTTTTTTTTTTTTTTAACAGACGCAAGAATTACAAGCAATTAATGATTTCTTAGCATGATTGGTTCAATGGCGCCCTTTTTCTTGGGAGAAGAACTATGTGTTTAATGAATTATGATGCATGCATTTAGGAACTCTTTTTTTCAGATTGAAGTTTATTGGGAATAATCAGCCAGCGCCAATTTTGATACCTTTACCTAATTCTCCTTCTGAAATCATACAATTGAAGTTTTATCTATTCAGACTAGAAATATATTCAATTGTATTATTTTTTAACTTATTAAGCATGAGTAGTATAAGTCAATGGCTAAGATTAAACTAACGAAAATAGATAATTTTTTAAAAGTTATTTATACTTCATCTTTTTCTATTTTATTTTTTATTTTTCAGCACATGCTCGTAAATGCCCTCGTGAAAATTTGATCCATGAGCGACTCATAAACTGAGTTTAGCCAAAGTCAATTCTATAAATAAAAATAATTTATAAAGAGTGATTTTCATAAGTTTGATCCATGAGTGACTCATAGACTGAGTTTAGGCAAGCCAATTTTATAAAAAATTTGATCCATGAGCGACTCATAAACTTATAAAAATCTTGATCCATCAGCGACTCATATATACTGAGTTTAAGCAAAGTCAATTCTACTAATAAAAATAGATTTATAAAGAGGGACTTGTTCAATTAAGTTTGATCCATGTGTGACTCATAGACTTGAAGTTTAGCATAGCCAATTTTATCAAAAAATTTGATTTCCATAGCGACTCATAATGACTGTAGTTTAGCCAAAGTCAATTCTATAAATAAAATAAATTTATAAAGAGTGTGATTTTCATAAGTTTTGATCCATCAGAGTTGACTCATTGACTGAGTTTAGCCAGCTCGCCTTGAGAGTTCTCTGGATAAATGTATGCTATATGAACATGAGGTTATAAAGATTGTGATCTCTTGCACACGATGTCTCGGGTTCGCGTTGGCGATAGTGGGTATGCGGTATGAGCTATGTTGCTGATGGTATGTTAGTTCTTGTGTGGAAAGGTGAGTGTATTGTCTAGATTTCAGTAGCTGATAGGAGGTTGGTGTGATGTGAAGGTTCGTGGTGAGAACTCCTGGCGTATATTGTTGGGGTGGGTACTCATAGACTGAGTTTAGGCAAGCCAATTTTATAAAAAATTTGATCCATGAGCGACTCATAAACTGAGTTTAGCCAAAGTCAATTCTATAAATAAAAATAATTTATAAAGAGTGATTTTCATAAGTTTGATCCATGAGTGACTCATAGACTGAGTTTAGGCAAGCCAATTCTATAAATAAAAACAATTTATAAAGAGTGAAATTCAGTCGATTTAAATTTGACTATTTTATTTTAATGGTTAATTCAATTCATTATAAGTTTAATTAAGTTTTAAATTCGCAATATTTTTTCTCTCGATTTAATTAAGAGGATCAAACTTTTTGTTTCCTGTAATCTATTTTTGCTACTTGTAATGTTGCTTCGAGTTTTTCTGATGTCCTGTAATAAAAACTAAAAGAAAACTGTGAGTTTCTTCGAAGGATCTGATTAGGCAGAAGAAAACCAGTAAATTATATGAAAATTAATTACTTACACGTTAATTGTTTTATCATATTCAGACCTTGATAATGTGTTCCGAAGAAGATACCTAGCCTGAGCAAAGTAACTAGCAATCAATTAGTAGAATAGATTTAATCTAAGGTACACGTATGTATGGACATTAGCACCTTTTGCACACTCTTGGATACTCAGTCAAATACTTTATAAATTATGTCCTATTATTTATTTTATTTTATTAATTCCAGACACTTTAAGGACACATTTGAAAACACTTTAAGAACTTTCTAAAGGTATTTAGAGATGCATTTGAAAATTAAAATGTGAAATAGTGTTGAAAATTAATTTGATTTTCTGTTGAAATTTTTTAAATTGTAAATTTATCTCTAAATAAGCTAGAAATATTATGATATTGAAAATTTAACTAGTTATATTGAAATACAAAATTATGTATTTTTTATTTATGTTTATGTTAAGGTGGTGTTTTGTGAGAAGTTAACTCATCTAATATTTTAGCTTTTAGCATTTCATGAAAAACTATATGAACAGTTAACGCTACTAAACTAACTAACAGCTATTAATACAGCTAATTTTTCCGAATAAGATCTACATAAACCACGATTTAAGCATACAAAGACGATTTAAGTATACAAAGATTAGTTCCTTACGTGTAAGCATAACCCACTCCATTAAACTATCTGTAGCCACCCCATAACTAGAAACACCAAATAGCTAGTGACTAACCATTCTACACATCTTCCACGTTTCCCTACACGCAATCCTATAAAAACCATCTTCAGTGTTACCCGGACCAAACCACAAGCGTTAAGCAAAAATGGCAAAGCTAATTACCTTAACAGCCCTACTCTGCATTCTTCTAGTGATCATAGCCAATGCAGTCTCCGGCTATAGAACTCTCAGCACCACCGTTGAAACCGACAGTTCTTCTAATGTTCGGAAAATATGCAAGTGGGAAGCTGAAAGAAAAGATTTGAGCTTCTGTGAGAATTATATAAGACAGTCAGGAAGAAGGTCAGAAGCGATGTTAGCTATGCGAGGAATTGAAAACCCGAAACAACAGGTTCCTAGACAATGTTGTAACCAAGCAGAGAAACTAGGTCCACTTTGTCAATGTGAATCGATAGAGTATCTATTGGAGAAGCAGGTGGAGGAAGGACAAATTGGAAGTCAAGAATATGATGAGGCAAAGCGTAGGACTAACAATATAATTGATGTTTGCTTTGACTCGATCTGCCCTCGTTAAAATGCTAGCTACAATTATGATATGCTCCTGCAAGTAAATAAAATCTCATTCTGTATGTGAGTGAGAGTCATGTATAATTAATAATGTATATAAAATAAAAGCATCAAACTAAGTTTGTTTGGTGTCATTTATTTGGCCAATCTCTGTTTCTTGTAATGTTGATTCAAGTTTTTCCTGATGTCCTGTAATAAAAACTGAAAAGAAAGCCAGCAAATTAAGAAAATTAACATGTTAGTAATTATTTTGACATATACATATTTTTTTTATAGGATTTTGACATATACATATGATGAAGTTCAATTGAAGAAGCAGAGAAATAATAATGATAAAGAGCAACAATTAATTTTTTTAATTTGGTTTGTGAGAAATGAATACACATCAATAGTAGATAATTTTTTTTTTTGTTAAAATAAAAAGACTAAATTCACAAAATATTAAAATAAAAAAATACAAATATAAATCTCCTTAGCATTGTAATAGAGTGCTAGTTGATAGTGTATTGGAAAAGTTTATTGGTTCTTTGGTTCTCAATTTCTGAAAATGTTAATTTTTTCTAATTTTTTAATTCTAATAAAAATTTTTTGTTGGTGGTAAAGAAAAGTGTGTTTAGATAAATGACTATAATTATAGAAAAATTTACTTAGATCTGATCAATGATCTCATTTATAGATCAAACCAGTGAAATAAATATTTTTATGAAAATGAGGGTATTTCTAACCATACGCTTGAAAAAAAAGAATAAAATCGAAACACTTTTTAAAATTTTTTAATTTTATTTATTTAATTCATAAATGGAGTCATGAATCCATCTTAAAATTTTTTAATTTTATTTATTTATTTGACCCATAAATGGGGTCATAAATCTCGTTTAGACAAATCTATAGACCGAAAGTCTAAGCAACGAAACATTTGTTCATTACGTGTAATCATAACAGACACCATCGTACCATTTGTAACCAACCCATTCTATACATCTTCCACGTTCTCTACATGCAACCCAAAGAAACCCTTATAAAAACCATCTTCAGTATTACCAAAACCCACAAGCTTTAAGCAAAAATGGCAAATCTAATTACCTCAACAGCCCTACTCTGCGTTCTTCTAGTGATCATAGCCAATGCAGTCACTGGCTACAGAACTATCATCACCACCGTTGAAGTCGACGATTCTTCCAATGTTCGGGATATATGCAAGAAGGAAGCTGAAAGAAGAGATTTGAGTTCCTGTGAGAATTATATAACACAGAGAAGAGGAAGGTCAGAAGATATGTTAGCTATGCCAGGAATTGAAAACCCTCGACAGCAGGTTCCTAGACAATGCTGTAACCAAGCAAAGGAACTAAGTGCTATTTGTCGATGTGAATCAATACATTATCTGTTAGAGAAGCAGCTGGAGGAAGGAGAAGTTGGAAGCGAAGATGAGGCAAGGCGCAGGACTAAAAATATAATTGATGTTTGCTTTGGGTCTATATGCCCTCGTTAAAATGCTAGCTGCAGGTGAATAAAACTTCATTCACTTGTATGTGAGTGAGAGTTATATATAATGATGTATAAGAAGTAAGAGCATCAGAATAAGTTTGTTCGAAACTGCTTCTTGTAACGTTGCTTCAAGCTTTCCTAATGTCTTGTAATAAAAACTGAAAAAAAAAAAAAAAATTTCTTAGAGAGATGTTATTATGCAGAAGAAAACCTAGAAATTGTGAAAATTATAGTATTACTATAATTCATGAACATGTAAGAAACAAAAGTAAAATAAAGAAAATAAAGAAGATCCAAACAAAATGGCAAAAATTGTTTTGATACTTTATAGAGTTTCATAATATAAGAAAGCAAACATCGAACTATATTGGGTGCATATAACTAACGAACAAGCAAACAAAATTTAGAGGTAGAAGCATATGTGTCAACTTGGAAATCAGACCCAGTAATGAGTAGTCAAGCAATAACCACAAAATAAAATTTTCTGAAATAAAATTCAAATAGAACTGAATTAAATAGTAGATAGAAAATAAAATTGAATTAATCAAACTGATTTAATTATATCTAAATATTATATAAAAAGTAAAATTGAATTGAATTGAATCAAACTGATTTAATTATATTAAACATCAAGTTTTTAGCTTTTCTATGGTTTTAAACTTAACTTTTAGAGTTAATGAAAATAAAATGAGTCAAAAAAATTTTAATTTTTTCTTTAAAATCTAAAACCAAATTGTAATATTAAAAATCAAATTAACTTAATTTAATCGATTTAAACAAAGTGTGCTCAACACTAATTAATAAAAACAATATAACACAAGAAAGCATGTCGTCAATGGCAGAAAATGGATGCAGCCTTTTGCAAAAAATATGCTCATTGACTGCCACGTGGATCCATATTTATTATTTTTTTAATCTCAATTTTTGACCAATTTCACTTTTAGGATGTAATTATAACATAAATTTGAAATTCGGGTCTAATAGGTTAAGTTCCGAGTAGAATTACAACAACTCGTTAAGTTTGGGTTTGAAATGGTTTAGTCAAAGATATAATGTATTAATCAATATGATTGACTGTCAACAAATTAGTTTGAGTGGAAAGAATTCATATCACTTCTGCAAGAGTTCGAGTGTTTCACACATGTGATTGGAGAAAATTTTCGAGTGTTCCATATTTGTGATTGGAGAAATTTTTTATTTACACCGCGAGTAAGATTAGACCCAATGGATTGAGGATCAATTTTTTAAAAATTCTTAATTTCATTAATTTGGTTTTATAAATAGAGTTATAGACTTAATCTAGATGGGTATTTTTCATGTAGATTCTATAATTTTAATATTTTTTTAGATACATGGAGGTGCAACAAACTGTAATAATATTGTGAGCTGCACAACAGAAGGAGAGCATTCAAACTCGAGATCTCTCACTTCCTACATCTATTACGAGAGGTCTTTCTATCAGACAACGACTGATCCGCAATTTTAATAAATTTTTTCTCTTTATGTAATTACCTGACCTGAATTTCAAAAATTATATTAATTTATATATTTAGTTGGCAGTTACTTTTTAACGCGAGCGCTACAATTATTACCCAAATGCTATTAGTTTGTCATTTCATGTAAATGAAATTATGTTTTTTTAAAAAAAAAAAAATTGAGGGGAAACGCTTTGCCCCTCACGTGAGCCAGCGGATGCGAATCCAAATTATTTGTTCCATACGTGTAAAGAAGAACCTACACCATCAAACCATTTTGGCCACCTCATAATTAGAAACACCAAAAAGCTAGTGACTGATCATTCTATACATCTTCCACGTTTTTCTGCATGCAAAACCCAAAAAAACCCTTATAAACACCCATCTTATTCTTCACTGTTCCCTTAACCAAAACCACGAGCTTTGAGCAAAAATGGCAAAGCTAATTACCTCAACTGCTCTAATCTGCATTCTTCTAGTGATCATAGCCAATGCAGTCTCCGGCCATATGACAACCACCACCACCACCACCACCGTTGAAATGGACGATGCTTATGAAGTTCGGGAAATGTGCAAGAGAGAAGCTGAAAGAACAAATTTGAGCTCTTGTGAGAGGTATATAAGACAGTCGAGAACAAGGTCAGAAGCTCTGTTAGCTATGAAAGGAATCGAAAACCGGCACCATAACGTTCCTAGACAATGTTGTGACCAAGCAAGGAAGCTACGTGCCATTTGTCGATGTGAATCCATATTGTATCTACCAGAGAAGCAAGGATTTGTTGGAAGCGAAGAATATGAAGAGGCAGAGAGTAGGTCTTACAATATAATCGATGTTTGCTTTGGCTCGGCCTGCCCTCGTTAAAATGCTACCTACAACATGGATATATTAATATATATATTCTGCAGAAAAATAAAATTTCACTCACTTGAATGTGAGTGAGAGTTATGTATAATAATCTCCATAAATAATAAGAGCTAATCTTTGTAAACATGATTTATTATCCTCGTCACCTGATTATATATAGAGTTCCATAATATGAAAAAAGAAATACTTATCTAACTAAACTGAGCATATATATATTAAGCAAATCTAATAAAGGTACATTTGATATAAATAAAGGCATTATTGGTGTCTTCTCACTGGAAAAAAAAAATGATAAAATAGCAATAAAGAGTGATGATTTTTCATGACAATTAACAATGAGATAACTCAAACTTACAAATCTTTTTCATTGCTTCATTGGCTTTATTGTTGAGATGCAACCAAGTATTTTTCTCTATTTTTCAAAGCCACGAGGATATGTTGGATTGCATTAAATTTAGAAATTTTGAACTGCTGAAATCTAAATTTCCTTATATCCCTTATGATTATAAGGATTGATACTGCCATCGTTTGTTGGTTTCTTAACAGATTACCTTTAAAGAAAGTAAATTTTATAGTTAAATCCACTTTGTTGTGGATTTCTCTAAATGACAACTGTTTTAAATTTAATGTTTTTTTTTTTTTTTTTTTTCACTCATCCAGTTTTGTTGGTTATCTTAACGAGATTTACCTATTTAAAGAAAAGTAAAGTTTATAGTTAAATCACTTATGTTGTGGATTTCTCTAAATGACAACTGTTTTAGAATTTAGATGTTGTTTTTTTTTTTTGTTTTTGAAGGTTAAAATTATATATTTTTAAATTTAATTTGAATGGGCACATTCGTAAAAATGAAAATCAAGGTTATGCAGCGGGCGGTATTTTTTTTGGTTTCTAAGAAACTCAAAAGGTGATATGGTTGCATTTCCCTTCCAATCGGTAGGCTATTATCGAATCAAATAAGCAGAATTATATGTTATTATTAGAAGCTGTTTTCAAATCTCATGTAAAGGATCATCTATTGTTAATTTGTTGAAATCATGTGCGGACTTTTTTTTTTTTTTTTTTTTGAAGGTAAATTATATATTTTAAATTTAATGTTGATGGCACACTAAAAAGAAAATCAAGTTATGCAGGTTTTGGTTTTAAGAAACCTCAAAGGTGATATGGTTGCATTTCCCTTCAATCGGTAGGTATTATCGAATCAAATGAAGCAGAATTATATGTTATTATTAAAGCTGTTTTCACAATCTCATGTAAAGGATCATCATTTAATTGTTAAATATGTGCGATTTATTGAGATTTAATAGATTTGATGTCCTTTGTCAAAACCTTTCACATATTCAATTTCAGCATGTCTTTAGGAAATGAAATCACATTTTAAATTCTAACCATTCTAGCTAAAACATGGGGTTTGTTCCATATGCTACTGAATTAATTCCCAAAGTTTCCTCTCCTCGAAGGCTCAACGATTACCGCCCGATATCTCTGATCAGTAGCATTTACAAGATTCTAGCTAAAACATTGGCTTTGAGGTTGAAAAAGGTTATTGGAATCTCATTAGCGAGAATCAATCCGCTTTGATTGGTGGTAGATAAATTGTTGATGGCATTATTAATATCCAATGAAATTATTCATGACCTGAAACTGAGAAAATCAAACACTTTTTGTTTCAAGGCCGATTTCGAAAAAGCATATGATTCTATAAGCTGGGATTTCTTGTTAGAACTAGAAGTGATGAGAAAGATGGGGTTTGGACAGAAATAGTGCAAGTGGATTCTTAAATGCTTGAGTACTTCAAGACTCTCAATGGATCTTATGGAACAAACCCCATGTTAGCTAGAATAGTACAAACCCCATGTTTTATTCTTACACATATGGGTAAAATCGTCAAAAATAACTAATAACTGACTGAATTAATCAACTTTGGGATTTTATAGAGTTTAATGATTTGTTCCACATGTGTAAGAATAAAACCCACACCATATTACAGCCACCTCATAATTAGAAACACCAAATAGGTAGTGACTAACCATTCTATACATCTTCCACGTTTTTCTGCATGCAAAACCATAAATAAATAAATAAATAAATAAATAAATAAAAGCAAAACCAATAGAAACCCATCTTCAACTGTCCCCTTAACCAGCAAAAATGGCAAAGCTAATGACCTCAACAGCTCTAATCTGCATTCTTCTAGTGATCATAACCAATGCATTCTCCGGCTATATAACAGCCGCCACCATCTCACTTGAAAAGGAAGAAGATGCTTATGAAGTTCGGGAAATATGCAAGTGGGAAGCTAGAAGAAAAGATTTAAGCTCTTGTGAGAGTTATGTAAGACAGTCAAGAACAAGGTCTGAAGAGACGTCAGCTAAGCAAAGAATTGGAAACCGGCACCATGTTCCTACGCAATGTTGCGACCAAGCATGGAAACTACATCCTGTCTGTCAATGTGAAGCAATAATGTATCTAGCACAGAAGCAAGGACATATTGGAAGCCAAGAATATGATGAGGCAGAACGTAGGGCTTTCAATATAATTGATGTTTGCTTTGGCTCGGTTTGCCCTCGTTAAAATGCTGCAGGTAAATAAAATTTCACTCGCTTGAGTGTGAGTGAGACAGAGTTATGTGTAATAATCTATAAAAAACTAAGAGCATGAACCTTATAAGGTAGTAGTGTTGCTTCAAGTTTTCTTGATGTCCTGTAATAAAAGCTAATCGACAGTTGAGTTGTTAAACTGAAAATCCAATATTTGTTTCAAAAACTAAATGAATTCTTTTGGATGTTCTTTTCTTATTAATTAGGAGAAAATGGTTATCCATAACTAATCAAGCAAAATTCTCTACATATAACGAACAAGCAAACAAAATTTACAAGTAGAAGGATCCTTCGTATTTTCTACATAACCCAATCTGAAGGGATAAATAAAAGGCATATGTATACCAACAGGCTCGATATTGTCTGATCTTTCTATGGAGTGATAAATGATAGAGCAGAAAAAAATACAAATACGTACGTAACGATGATTACGAGTACGGGGAGAAAAATCACAGTGTTTACCAATAACCACAGGATATATGAGATTTAATTTTTGGTTAATACAATAACCACAAATTATTAATCAACACTTATCTATATTCCGATGAGCACAAATATATCAAATCAATTATAATTATAAATATTAAATAGTATTTTGATTCAAACGATAATATTTTTTACCATAAAAAGATAAAACAATAATATTTTTAAAAAATAAAATTTTTAATTGATTTAGATATTACTCATATATCTGAATACAGCTAAGAAATTTCCTTACTACTTGATCTATATAAATTAGATTAATTCATACAAATATTTTTTTCATACATGAAAGAATATTCCACACCATAAACCCATTATGCCCACCTCATAATTAGAACCGCCAAATAGCTAGTGACTAACCATTCTATATATCTTCCACGTTTTTCTACATGCAACACTCAATAAAAGCCCTATAAAACTCATCATCTTCACCGTTCATTTAAACCACGAGCTTTAAGCAAAAATGGCAAAACTTGCAATCTCAACATCTCTAATCTGCGTTCTTCTAGCGATCATAGCCAATGCAGTCTCCGGCTATCTGACAGCCACCGCCATCACAGTTGAAATGGAAGATGCTTATCGAGTTCAGGGAATATGCAAGAAGGAAGCTGAAAAAAAAGATTTGAGCTCTTGTGAGAATTACGTAAGACTGTCAAGAACAAGGTCCGAAGAGACGCCAGCTATAAGAAGAATTGGAAACCGGCAACAACAGGTTCCTGGGCAATGTTGTAACCAAGCATGGAAACTAAGTGGCTTTTGTCGATGTCAATCAATAAGGTATCTACCAGAGAAGCAAGGATACGTTGGAAGCCAAGAATATGATGAGGCAATGCGTAGGGCTGACGATATAATTAGTGTTTGCTTTGACAATATCTGCCCTCGTTAAAATGCTATTGCTACCGAAAATAAAATTTCACTCGCTTGAATGTGAGCGAGAGTTACGTTTAATAATAATCCATAAACAATATGAGTTTCGGAGTAAGTTTGTAATGTTGCTTCAAGTTTTCTTCATGTCCTGTAATAAAAGCTAATCAACTGTTGAGTTATTGAACTGAAAATCCAACATTTGTTTCAAAAACTAAACGAACCCATTTAGGTGTTCTTTTCACATTAACGCTTAAAAAAGATTTGAATTCAGGATTTCGTAATCCTGGAAAATACTGTACTTAGGCTATATCATCCATGCTCAAAATTAAGTATCTCAAGCAAATGATAGCTTCTTTTAACAGAAAGATTTACAAGCAACGGTATTTCTAATCACGAGATGTTCCTTTTCCTCTTTTTTGGATACATAACTCGTTTGATGATATTTAGCATTCTTGTACATAATTGAACTCTATTTTCAAATTGAAGTTTTATTATGATCAGTAACCCTCCAGGCAGCCAATTTTGTATATACAATAAACAATTTTGTATATTATATAAAATATTAAAAATTATAGAAAATAATTATTGTATTTAAAAGAGATAATTGTAAAAAAAAATTTAAAGAAAAATTCTAATTCGCATTAATGTTCTAAAAAAATATACAAAACTTCTAAAAATAGACAATTAAAATGAATGGAGGAAGTACCACATAGCGTATATTCAAAAACTTACAATTAATTATATGAGAACGCATTATAATTTATTAATCAATATGGTAAATTAATTCATACAAACATTTGTTCCATAAGAATAACAATTCGTAGCCACCTCATAATTAGAAACACCAAATAGTTAGTGACTAACCATTCTAAACATCTTCCACGTTTTTTACATGCAACCTCAAAAAAACCCCTATAAAGATCCATCTCCAATTACCCTAACCACAACTAAAAGCTTTAAGCAAAAATGGCAAAGCTAATTACCTCAACACCTCTAATCTGCATTCTTCTAGTGATAATAGCCAGTGCGGTCCCCGGCTATACGACAACAACAACCACCGCCACCGATGGAAAGGACCATTCTTTTTATGTTCGAGAAATATGCAAGGAGGAAGCTAATAGAAAAGATTTGAGCTCTTGTGAGAATTATATAATAGGACAGTCAAGAAGAATTTCAGAAGATATGTCAGCTAAGCGAGGAATTAAAAACCGGCACCATGTTCCTAGACGATGCTGTAACCAAGCAAGTAAGTTATGGGCCATTTGTCGATGTGAATCGATAATGTATCTATTAGAGAAGCAAGGACATATTGGAAGCCAAGATTTCGATGAGGGAAAGCGTAGGATTAAAAATATTATTGATGTTTGCTTTAGCTCGGTCTGCCCCTACTAAAATGCCAGCTACGATATGGATATACATAATATGCTGCAGGTAAATAAAATTTCACTCACTCAGAGAATGTGGGTGAGAGTATGTACAATCATGAATAGAAAATAAGAGCATCAGAACCAAGGCGGTTTTGTGTTATCAATTTTTTCTTTTTCCTTCTTTTTTGGCCAGTCTCTGTTTCTTATGATGTTGCTTCAAGTTTCCCGATTTCCTGTAATAAAAACTGGGAAGAGAAAATTCTTCAGGGGATGTGATTAAGCAGAAGAAAAACCAAAAATTTTGAAAGTTAATTACTTATATGTTAATTGATTTATTACATTCTCACCTCGATAAGGTGTTCCCATGAATATATACCTAGCGTCAGCAAATTAACTAGCAATGAATTGGTAAAACAGATTTAACTAGTAACGAGACTTCAACACTTGAGAGAAGTTGCAGAGTTAAAAAAACAAAACAACGCAAACTGACACTATGTACTACATAATCTCAAAGCTTTGTAATAGAAGCATGTTAGCACAAGAAAATCACTTGTATCAAATGGAATTTCTTTTATCCAAGAAAATAAAATGGTTAAGATACCCAATTTCAGTTTTCTGAAAAGCTGATCAACTGCTCAGTTTTTAAACTGAAAATTCAATGTTTTTTTGAAAAAACTGAGTGAGTTTAAAACTTACTAGAGAATTACCTGTAGGCATGCGCAGAATCAGACTCAGAAGCCACCAGGGAGAAGGAGGACAAGGCAGAAAGTGGATTCCTTTTGGATATTCTTTTCTCTTATTAATTTAACTTTTAAGAAAGATTTGAATTCAAGGATCAGAATAACTCTTCTCTTTATTCAACTGATTAGGATCAGAAGACCACTGATCCTAACATGAACAAATTGATTTTTGAGTTGGTTCAATTGATAGATTCCTGCTATTTATTAACTGACCTCCTGTTGCAAAATTTATGGACTTCCCTAACAAGATTATCTTTTTATTTTTTGTTCAATTATTTTTGGATCAGCCTAAAAGGATTTTTTTTTACTCGCACTGAGAATTAGTTCTGTAAGCTTGATTTATCACCCTAGCCACCTGATTAGAGTTCTATAATATAAAAATGGAAACACAAAACATATTTACCTATGACATATATACAATACAAATTTATCAAAGACGTTTGGAATCAATAAAGATATCGTGCGTATTGAAAAATGAAAAATGAATTTACAAGTTTTTTTTATATAAAGAATAGCTTTAATTCACAAAGAAGAAGGGTGACTGGAAGTAGATAAATATTTTTCTATAAAAATATGTAATATATTTTAAATTTGTAAAGGAGAAGGATGATTCAGTGGACAGAATATCTTTTATAAATTTCATATTTATAAAGTCTGAAAAGAATTGATTTATATTCTAAAAAAGTTTATGCATGCAGCCTTTCTTTTTTAAGAAAATTATTATTTTTGCCTCAAAAACCCTTATCTCCAAATCATCAATATTGGAATAAATTTACTGTTACACCAAAATCATCCAATGCTTAAATTGACAAAATATCCCCTTTATATAACAAACAAGAAACAAAATGTGAAAACTATAGATTGTGGGTCAGTTGGCAACACAAGTAAGGTATGTGAGAAGAACTCTCAATTTATATCCATTAAACACACCTGCAGAGAGAGACAAAGAGCAGGAAGTCTGCAGTGACATTCCATCGGTCTCTCTCCAATTTGGCAAACAAATGAAGAGCACAAAACCAAATCATGAATACATCATAAGCCGTACGTTAATTCAACCCCCAAAACGCCACTAAACTTGCAAAGGCCAAGATAAAGAAACATAAGTCTTTGAGTCTTCATTGGAGGGTGCGGGTGACTCAAATTTACCGCGAGGCGAACCGGTGTGCTGACTTCTTGGCTAAGCAAGCCAGGACGGCTTGTTTGGGTACCTTTTTTGTGGATCAGCCAGCCTCCCCAAGGGATTTTGCAATGGCTTTTTCATGATATCTGTGGCATCTCCTAGTCTAGGATGTGTGTTTAGTGTTCTTCTTTGAGCTTTCCTCTCCTTATGTAACCAAAAAAAATAAAAAGAAACAAAAGATTGAAGACTACTATCAGCAGTATCTCATTTCATGAAACTTCAACCAACCTTCAGCTAGCGCATAACTCACCGATATTAATTTTATTCTAAACTTCAAGTAAGATAACAGAGACTATTAACTAAAGGGTATTTAATAGCAAGACATCCAATTTTAGTTTTCTGAAAAGCTGATAACTTTAGTGAATAAACTAAAAGTCCAACAGTTTTTAGAAAAACAGAGAGTTCGTTTGGAAAATTAATAGAGAATTGCCTGTGGAACCAGAGACAGAAACCACCGTTACCATTCTGGAAATTGCTGTACTTAGGCTGTATCATCCACAAGCAAATGATAATTTTGTTTTTTTAACAGAGAATTACAGGCAATAGTATATTTAAGCACTACTGGATCTTTCTCCCTTTTAGGAAGAAAAATTTTGCAGACTAAATTCAACCAAATGATGCGTGCATTAAGTTATTTTTGTACATAACTGAACTCTATTTACGGTTATCAGCCATTTAGCTAGCTCTACCAGCACAAGCAATAATACAAAATTATTCAAAAATCAAACAAACAGTATTTAATAGATATTAACTTTATTGTCCATATATTATAATAATAGAGTAAAAGCTGCGACAGGATGAACCCATCACAGCAATTTCAAACACTGACATCTAGAGTGATGAAACTTGGACACAACAAGAGAATAAAAGAAGTTCAGCTTATTCATGGCCACTCATTTACGACCATTGGACGCACACAGACATCAACAAATTTAAATAAACAATCACCCAAGATATTATAGATATAAGTAACTGCTTATAAACCAAACAGCAAACAGATTAGAAACCACCACGGAGTCGGAGGACAAGGTGAAGAGTGGACTCTTTCTGGATATTATAGTCTGCAAGGGTTCGTCCATCTTCAAGTTGTTTACCAGCAAAAATCAATCGTTGTTGGTCCGGGGGAATACCCTCCTTGTCCTGGATTTTAGCCTTCACATTGTCAATTGTGTCAGAGCTCTCAACCTCGAGGGTAATGGTTTTCCCTGTCAGGGTTTTGACAAAAATCTGCATTCCACCACGCAGACGAAGCACCAAATGCAGAGTAGATTCTTTCTGAATATTATAATCTGCAAGAGTCCTTCCATCTTCAAGCTGCTTCCCAGCAAAGATCAACCTCTGCTGGTCTGGTGGGATCCCCTCCTTATCTTGGATCTTGGCCTTGACATTATCAATTGTGTCAGAGCTCTCTACCTCCAAGGTGATTGTCTTTCCAGTAAGGGTCTTCACAAAAATCTGCATGCCACCACGGAGACGAAGCACCAAATGCAAGGTGGACTCCTTCTGAATGTTGTAGTCAGCAAGGGTGCGCCCATCCTCGAGCTGCTTACCAGCAAAGATAAGCCTCTGCTGGTCTGGGGGAATACCCTCCTTGTCTTGGATCTTGGCTTTCACATTGTCAATGGTGTCAGAGCTCTCAACCTCCAAGGTGATGGTCTTGCCAGTTAAGGTTTTCACAAAGATTTGCATACCACCACGGAGTCGGAGCACCAAGTGAAGCGTAGACTCTTTCTGAATATTATAGTCAGCAAGTGTGCGACCATCCTCTAGCTGTTTCCCAGCAAAAATCAATCTTTGCTGATCTGGTGGAATACCCTCCTTGTCTTGTATTTTGGCCTTGACATTATCGATGGTATCCGAACTCTCAACTTCCAAAGTGATAGTCTTGCCAGTGAGAGTCTTGACAAATATCTGCATACCACCCCTCAATCGCAGCACCAAATGGAGTGTGGATTCCTTTTGGATATTGTAGTCTGCAAGTGTACGCCCGTCCTCGAGTTGCTTACCAGCAAAGATAAGCCTCTGCTGGTCTGGGGGAATTCCCTCTTTGTCCTGGATCTTTGCTTTGACATTGTCAATGGTGTCGGAGCTTTCCACCTCAAGGGTGATTGTCTTGCCAGTAAGGGTTTTCACAAAGATTTGCATCTATTGTCATTAAATAAACACCAAATTAGAACATTATAAAAAATCAGCAGTTAGGATTAAAAACAAAGCGACTACTTTTAAACTTGAAATCTATCATTCATAATAAACAAGACATAAAGCAATCCAACAAAGCAACTTCAACAACTATTGCATCTTCCAAAAAAACATAACATAAGAGAGAGGAACCCAGAATAACAACTAACTAAAGTTTTCTGTTTGGCATTTAGATCGTATTCAACCTAAACCAAACAATCCTAATAAAACAGAATTAGAAAAACTATGCAACAAAAATAGACATAAATAACGAGGCTAACCTAACCATAAACAACCAACAAAAGTTATGTGGCAACTACATGAAAATTGCATCAATCGATCTAAAAGATGATAAACAAAAATAATCGAATCTATAAAATTGACCCAAAAAACCGCTATAAAAGAAAATCAAAATTCTTTATTTCGATTATTTTTCACATAAAGCACCTAAACTACCCTAATACATCAAGAACTGATCCGTGAAGAAAGAGAAAGACGAAATACCTTGAATGTCTTCAAATGGCTTTGCCCGAAATCCAATTTTATTATCTCTGTTGTGTGAAGGGAGAAGCGGTTGCCTCCTCGTTTTATAGTGGATATTAGATAGCGAAAAGACCTAGTTGCCCAAATTGATAGTCAATGGAATAGCGCCACGTATTAACATTGAACTTTCAACGCCAAAATTAGGCTTCTCTAATCTTCCAGGCTTCTTATCTTGGGGCGGTTATTATTGGTACCTTAACGCCACGCTCCTCGTGGGAAATAATTTCCACGCGCACAAATGATTGGACCAATTTAAATTATTTTTTCTCTTTTTGCTTTTTTTTATTAGGTCAACCGTCAATATTTGCTGTTTTTGGTTTTAAATTTTAAATTTTTTATGATAAAATGCTTTTTGATGGTTTTTCATAATAATCATTATTTTATATTACTATAGTTTAAAATCAGTAAAAATGGCTGCTAAAATTAATAATAGACGTCCCTCTATCTAAAATGAAATTATAAAAATTTAAATCTCTATTGAAAATTTAATTTCTATTTCTACGACGAGTATAACAAAAAATGAATAACATATAAGATTATTTGAATTTAATTTGTTGATTTAAAAAATGAGAAGTACAAGTCACGCGCTTTGCATAATTTATTTGGTATCAATTTATCATCTCTTCAACGTGGAACCAAAAAAGAGGATCTAGATCCCTATTGTTTATGCATTATTACTTGATTCTTGAAAATAATTTTTCCATGAGATATTTATCATTAAATTTTATAGTTAATTTTTATTTTATTTTTTATCTTGCTTTTTTTTTTATTTCTTGTTCTTGAAAAATAACTTGTAAGCTACTATTCTTTTATTTTCTCATTATTTCTTATTTTTTGATTTCTTTTCTTTCTTCTTGTTATTCATATTTTTATAAAATGATATTGAATTTTGAATTTATGGAAAAAAGGAAGCCGGTGAGAAAATTAGCTCATGGGTCAAATAAAAGGTAGATAGGGAATTAGTCTATGTGGAAATGATTTAAATATTTTGAAGTAAGAGGTTGAGTGTAAATTAATTAATGGACTAAAAACACATGTAGTATAAATAAAAGTTTATTTAAAAAAATCTAATTAAAAGAGCAAAATGATATAGTAACTTCCAAGGCACATTATCTATATCAACATGATATATTGAAATTTACATTTTTAAATAATTGTGAAATACTTCTTACTAGAATTTAATTATAGTTTATAAGAAAGAGTCATTTCCGACTTATCAATTAAACTAACCTACTTTGATAGTCATATAAGTTTTATTGTTTATGTTTTTATTAAAAAAAATCAATGAAATGTTTGTTTATTCCTTCTACAATTTTAAAAAACAATAAAATATCTTATTATAATATTTTTATAAATATGTGTTTTTATGAATAAAAATTAAATAAAAATGATATGAAAATTAAATTTAAAACATCATTTTTAAAATTTTCATGCGATAAATTAAGATTATTTATTTTTTAAGATCCGCCTCCAATCCACTTGTGCAAGGCTGGGCGTTAGAATAAGAGTGGCGGCCCAATCCAGTTTCGCTAGGAAAGAAGAGGAAATTTGCAGCCCAATCCAATTTTGCTAGGAAAGAAGAGGAGTAGCCGAATGCTCGAATTGCGTAGTAGTATAGCACTCATCGTCTCCAATCTGCACATAGCACAGTTCAAAGATATTCAAATCTTCTGTTGAATTTCACAGTTCATATCTTTCCATAAGAAATGGCTCCTGCTGGTCCTCGATCCGGTGATGCAATCTTTGCCAGTGTCGAGCGTGTGGTAAGTTAGGATTTCCTTTCTTTCCTCTACATTTTTTCGCAGTGACCAAACACTCGAAATTCTGTTCTGATATCTGTTATTTTTCTATTCACTACTCATGATTCGTCTAAATTTTGTTTTTGGTTCCAGTAGGATTTTTTCTATTCAGTTCTTTGTGTGAAAATTTAATTTATATGTTTGCTTAGTTAGGTTCCTCTCCGTTGATGTTTAGAATTGATTTGGATTGTCAATTTCTTTCCATTTCTTGCAATTCACGGTGTCCAAACGAATATTTTCTATTGAAATTTGGAAGTGGTAATGCTTCAGAAGAGTTTTTGATATTGGATGGTGAAATCGTGTAGAATGCGGAGCTCTTTACGTTAACCTATGGGGCGATTGTACGTCAATTGCTTACAGATCTGGAGGAGGTTGAGGAAGTCAACAAACAGCTAGATCAAATGTACGCATCGTTTATATTGTGTTTAATTCAATAATAGTGATGTCGTTTTGAGAAAATGAGTACAATGTCAAGAATTGAACTATAAAGCTTGCTTAATTTTGATTTTGGTGGGAAATGGGACATTACTGTTTATTTAGTGCTCAAACATCAAGAGATATTGCATTCACTATGAAAGAGTAATTAATGGAAATGATGGTCCTAATGCTATTACTTTTGTTGCTTACGTTTACTTACATAGTGCTTATGTTTTGTATTCCATTCCAACTGTGTCACGCTTGTAAGCAAGGTCCTCGCATGGGAAATCCAGAAATAATTATATCTTTTACTGGCATTTTTGTGTGTATGGGATGGGTTTCATCATTGCATTAAGCAGTGACAAAACTTTTTCTTGCTTTCATATATTTGGACATGCTTATGGGGAGATGATATGACAGCCTACATATATTGTCCCAGAACCACTATTCTATTTTCACATGTAGAATATGTATTTCGTTTAGGTAGGTCGTGATCAGGGATAGGGCTAATTAATGCTGTCTTAGTTATATTTAAATTATGTAACTTTGGAGCTTCTTGTTTAATCTTACACTGGAATAATCAGCTATACATGACACTATGCAGGAGATTTTGTCCATGAGGGGATTATATATTGTGGAATTCTAACTCTATCATTTGGCTACTTAACTTATTTGCAGGGGTTATAATATTGGAATTCGACTGGTTGATGAGTTTCTAGCAAAATCTAATGTCAGCAGGTGTGTGGATTTCAGGGAGACAGCTGAAGTGATTGCAAAGGTACGAGTAGGTTGTTTGTTTCCAGATGCATCAATAAACTCTGTTGGCCTAAATTTTCTCCTTATTTTTTAAACACACATGCTTTCTTTGCATATGGCTTTCATCTGGAAGCTCATGGATTGTTGCCAAGTATCCTGATTTATTTCTTTTCTGATCCCATAAATAGATTATTGACACCTTTTAATTTTTTTTTTTATGTGGACCGAATCAGTTGATCATGCATTTTTATTTTGTTGCTTCCGTTTAGTAGTTGTGTAATTCCCGTGTAGTTGGCTACTGCATATTCATTATGTTTCATATTTATCTTTGAAATTATGGAATATAACTTTTCCTTAAAGTAAATTGTTGGTATACAGGTGGGTTTCAAAATGTTCCTAGGGGTGGGTGCATCTGTGACCAATTGGGATGCTGATGGGACATCTTGCAGTATTGTTTTGGAGGATAATCCGTTGGTGGATTTTGTTGAGCTTCCTGATACATGCCAAGGCCTATACTATTGCAACATTTTAAGTGGAGTCATTAGAGGGGCACTGGAAATGGTGAGTGATTATTATTCCCTTCTACTCATAGCTTTGCAATTAGTCATTGATCTTTTACTCTTTTGACTCCCTAGTCCCTACTCCCTTTTCTTCTTGGGGTTTTTCCCCTTCTGTACAATAATGTATTGTATGTTCGCATCATGTATTGGTACTGTGTCAAGTCAATTCTGCAGTCGAGACTTTGTTAATATAATATTAATAATATTTCTTCATCATGTTAATAGCATCATTTAGGGCTAAAAATGCTAACTACTTGAAATTTTGTTCAACTGCAAAACAAGGGGTATCTAGCAAATTAATATAATGTTATTGTTGGTGACTACAGTTCCTTATTATTTGAAGTGATGAAGTCTTTATAAGAAACTTCCATTCAGTAATTTTTCTTCCTTAGAGGGGAAAGATTTGATTTTAGAATTGGGCCAGCTTGATAAGGTCATCCAAATAATGCTCTGACATAAATGTTACTTTCAACTTTCCTTGGAAAGTAGAGTTATAGTACTTTACAGTGCACAGATCTTTTCCATTTCTTCTTCTGCCCTTGTTTCAGCAATTCATCCTATCTTTTGGGTATAGGTATCAATGAAGACTGAAGTGACATGGGTTCGCGATATGCTTCGAGGTGATGATGCATTTGAGTTGCAGGTGAAACTTCTAAAGCAAGTTCCAGAAGAATATCCATACAAGGATGATGAGTAACATCTTGTCTTGGCCTTTAATGTGTTCTTTATAAAGCTAATGACTTTTATTTTCTTCTATCTATGCCTAAAGAATGGAATTTTAACTTGTCTTATTTGTATACGAGTTTGTCAAGAACTTTGAATAGATCTCACTTTATAGTTGATAGCTGTATAAAATTTTAACGAGCACCAACCCTCTCTAAGAACCACAGCTACAGTTATCTACTGAAGTTGGGCTGGGCTTGAACTACCATCCTCTACTCTAATGTCATGTTTTCTTACAGATTCTAGTGAGCCACAGTTTGATGGTTTGTTTATCAAAGACTTTGCTAGTTTATGCATACAATCACTTTTTTGCATCTAATCGATGAAATAATATGATTGAATGTCATTCAACAAAACATTCTATTAAATTTAGTTTTTTTTTAATGTTCCTTATTTTCATAACCGCATGTGCCAAAACACTGTCTCTATTAATCAAGCTTTGAAATGTTGCCGTTTCACTTCACGAACCTGCTAAAATTAACAAATCTATACGGTATTCTCTTTTGGCTGAGGGTAAGCAGAGTGCTGTGACATCACGGTCAGAAACGAATCCATGGTGATGCCTTTTGAAATTGTGAATAATTGCAAAATTTTATTTTATTTGTTGATATTATATTTGAATTGATGATTGATGCTATGTTCCAATCTATGTTGATACTTTTCTTCTTTCATTTTCTACGTTTTTTTCTTTTTTTGGTAGTTTATTTATTCTGTAATGTTTTTGCAGAATTCTCCCTTTTTTTTCTTATATTTTTTTGGCTATTTTTCTATTTTCTGCAAATTTAAATGGTAGGATATGAAAGTTTTGTTAAGGAAACGAAACTAGCACCAAGAATAATTTGCTCATATAATCAGATAAATATTTGGCTTATTATGTAATTTTCAAGAAATTTCAAATGAATTAAGTTAGCTTCATTGCATATGTAGATGTTTGTAGAATTTGGAACTCATCGTAACATAGATGCTGATATAAGTTATCATCCGAGCAATCGAAGCTCAGGTCAGTCGTGGAGTCCGTCAAAAGGACAACTGACACTGACGACTACTAAAATAGTTAGCTAGTTCATTTTGTCCGATATGAATTTGTCCCTACACTAGGTCGGAATGCTTGAACATAAGAACTAAGATAGTACTAAAGAGTATAGCAGTAGAACAGGAGAGAGTAAAATGATCCTCTCTCCATGAAATGAGGGGAGATCTGGTGGCAAGTAGCCATTGGCTCAGAAACCAAACTTGTTCCTTCTCATGCATCAAGTGGCCAAGTTAAGCAGAGCTCTCTTGAATATTCAAAGCAGTTTAAGACACTGAAAGACGAAGATCTTGTGAGATTTTTTATTCTATATGTTCTTCCTTTCGACCCTACATTTTCACCTTATTTTGATTCTTTACGCCATGTGCATACGGATTCATCTTCCCACTATATACCTCCACCTGAAAAGGGGAAAGGAGCAGCTCCTTCGGTTACCTCTCAAAAATATCTTGTAGGACCTCTGTGTTTGTGGCATCTAAATATGAACTATGAAGCTTTCTTTAGTAAAAATCGAAAAAGATTCTCTCATCTCTCTGGTAAATGGTGTACATCTGTTAACATCATGAACTGATAATGGCTGTACTTCTAACGTTTGAAAGAACCAATGATCTTTCAGATTTTTCCTTTTCTCTTAAATTTTAAAAATTTATTAAAGTCACTTTTTTTTTTCCTTTTAAATAATTTGAATTCTTAACATTCATTCTTTTTCCAGTTGTCGATATCCCTATTGTTTTCTTTTTCTTTTTTCTTTTTTTTTTTTTTTTAGGGAAAATCCCTGTTGTAAGATTGCCATGGGAAGTTTTTTTTTTATAGGATATTAATTTTTTTTTTTCTTTTTGAGGGGGGAGAATTACCGTTCTTGATAGCCTCCACAGAGAAATTTGCTACAGAAAAATACAAGGGCTGGGAGGTATCACCAAAAATTCAAAAATAATATGAAAAATAGTGAAAAAAAAATTAGAGAAAGAAGAAAGGTTTACGTGGCTGAGCTCCCTACATTCATGGATTCAAAAATATCACTAATCCGTCAATCAAATTATAAGATTCTCTAATAAAAAGCAAACAAGAATCTTCTTTTTCTTTTTAAGGGAATATATACAAAATGCAACCAACAACACAGGAGATATATTGCTAATATTAATTAAGACAAAAAGTATTTTATATTTTATTTTATTTCCGATAAGTTTGGACAACGAAAAGTATTTTATTCGGGCTATTAATTTTATATTTTTAATAGTAACTTTCAACTATATATATTTTACACTGAAACAACCCCATCCACTAATTATAGGTGACTGAGTGAAAATTGAAAATTTATTTGAGCTAAAATAAATGTAGTTCAGAACTATATATATTCATAAATGTAGCTCTTGTTAAAATCATTTTAAAATTTCAATTTTAAATAAATTATACATATGAAAAATTCTAAGAAATAAATTAAGATTATTTCTTTATAAATGTAGAATACTAGTATAAACTTATTTTTCCAATTATTGCTATTAATAATTAATTATACAATGACTTAATGCCAAATTAAAGGTATTATAATTTTGTTCGCCATATAAATTTTTCAGATGAAAAAATCTTTTTCAATAATGAAACTTATATTACAATTGGTATTAATTGTAAATTCATATATTGGATAATAATGGGTAACACTTATCTATGTAGTGTATTCCTAGATAAAATGTGAAAATTTTAGTAATTAGGACTCCACTGTATAGGGGTGAGCAAAATTACCGACCCAACTCATTTTGATTCGGTTCGATCAAATGCCCAAAAAAGATTCATCTGGTCGGTTCGTTCAGTTTGAACTAAATTTGTTGCTCAGTTTAATTCGGTTATACAGAAATTATTTTGCTATTTTTTTTTACCCTTAACTCATTAAGATATTAATAAAAGTTTTTTATTTAACGAAAAATTAGAAAGAATTGAATATAAAAAATGTTTGATGGCAATCGTGGAAAATTGAGTTTGATTTGCTAAAATATGTCCACCATGAGTTACTTATTTTTCTTTTTCAATATATTTATTTATTATTATTTTTTTTTTGTTCCATCGAGAGGCCACAGTTCATGTATTTATGAGTTCATCACAGTTTAATTAATTTTGGTTTTAATTCTCAAAACCTAATATTAGAGTTGTAACAGAAATTTTTTATTCTATTTCGATTTTGTTACTGGTCAATTTCAAACCATGAGGAATTATTCCTCATATATCTTTTTTTTTTTTCAATTAATCTCGATTCTTTACAATTTCGAACTGCTTAGATTTATATATTATATATCATTATAGAATAGTTTTTCTTCTTTTCTTCAGAAATATTATCCAGAGAATTTAGAGATTATTCCATCTTTTGTTTTCAAATTAATATATCTTAATAATAAGAGCATTATGTATATACACACACATCAATTAGATGTAATATGATTGATCGTTCTTACTCATATGGGTGCGAGAGATTTTAAGTTTGAGTAATTTCAACTATAAATGTTTTCAACAACTTGATTTGATGAATCAAGAGAAAGATTACCCTCTATTATATAATTTAAAATATTATTTCAGTCTACTAGACCTTGTAATGAATAGAAAAAATTATATTTTGATCTAAATTTCAAAAGAGCTTCAAATTCTAGATCGGGCATAGAATATAAGGTTTTTTTTACTCTTCGCTGTATACGCTTTCTAAAAATTATACTAATTCTTATAAAGATCGAGACTACTTATATTACATTAAACAACGTGTTTTTAACCCTCTCGGAGCATGTCCATTGTAATGATACATTGCTTCAATTAATTTGCCATGTCGGAAAAATTAAAAGTTAAAAACAAAAATCTCTTCCAATGTTATTATTTGTTTAATCTTTAAATCTGATATGTCAAAAAAGAAAAGAAACATTGTCTTTAGAGGCGTGGCTCGGCTTTTTATTTTTATTTTCTATTTATTCTACTTTTTTTTTCCTTTATTCCTTCTCTTTTATTCACGATAAAACTTCTTGCGCTGAAACTAATTTTTTTTCATGCATTGGAAAACATTTTTAAGATCTAACATCTATAAATATACATTCAGTCATATAAACATTCATAAATTTTATTTATTAAGACACATCAATCATAGTGTATAGTTACGATAAAGATGCTATTATTAAATAATGTTCTTGAGAGTTGAATTTATATTTTCCCCTTTAAAAGATTCAGATCACTTACTACGTTGATGAACATACTGTCGGTTGAGTTTAACTATATTCAATTTAATAAAATGTTTAAAGTAGAGATAATTATGGGATTGCCGACATCGCAATTCAGTTTCAAATGCTCCACTCACCTATCAGTACAAGTATATCTAGTTATCTTCTAGAAAAGCAAAAGTTCCAACATTCACTTATTAGGAAATAAGAATAATTCCTTGCAACTATCTTTCTGTTTTCATTTATAATTTCTTTTCTTTCCTTTTTTTTTTTTTTTTTTTTTTAGAGATAATTATGGGCATTGCCGAACATCGCAATTTCAGTTTCAAATGCTCCCACTCCACCTATCCCCCAGTTAACAAGTATTATCCTAGTTATCTTTCTTTAGAAAAGGCAAAAATTTCCAACATTTCCACATTAGGAAATAAGAATAATTCCTTTGGCAACTATCTTTCTGTTTCATTTATAATTTCTTTTTTCTTTTCCTTTTTTTTTTTTTTTGCAAGTTGGAAAAAGGGCTGATATTCTTTTTTTTTTTTTTTTTTTTTTTGCAAGTGAAAAAGGGTGATATGGTTTCAAATATTCTCTTTTACTATTTGGGAAGGGACAGAATATTATAAGTAGGGTAAATATATAATTATTTCATCCTCGCGTTTTGATTATAATTATAATTATATTTTTTATTTGATAAATATATTAATTAATCCCATAAGTTAAAAAAAAAATCATTTTAGAGAACTGAATACTTTATAATATTTATTTAATATAATATTATTATTTAGTTCTTCAAATTTACTATTTAATTTGTGACAAAATATTACTTTATTCACAAAGAATTGAATAGTTTAACAGAATTATATTTCAAATACTAATATCAATATATTTATTAAATAAAAAGGATGAAATTATAAATATAATTAAGTCACAGCGACTAAATAATTATTTAGATTAAGGAGAAAAGTCATGGATGGAGAGAAATTGCAAGTAAAATATCTTTACTATTCAATTATTAACTCAATGCAAAGAATAAAGATGAGAGACGTGGAGGAATTATAACCTCTGATAATATATATATATATATATATATGCTCTCTTGAGCGTCAGAGATCTTAATTTGCTTTTGCTCATAATATAAATCATCTTCTTACAAATATTCCATTTCCTCCATATCATAATTTCTAAGCTATTAGATCCTGTCTTCTTCTTCTCTCTCCCCATATATAAATGTGAGCTAAGTTTCAGAAATTTTTCAACAAGAAACAATCTTCCATGTAAGTTATATTTTTCAATTTCTTATAATTTGTAAGTTATATTTTTCCAATTTCTCTTTATATATATATATATATTACTATATAAGTATGTTATTTACGTTCCTGCTAGAGATATTGGCTTTTTATATGAAATTCAATACGATATAAATTTTTAATTGTTCTACACTTGTAATTTAAAAATGTAAAGTTTTTATACAATCCTGACAATACGAAAATGAACGAATGCATCTCAGTGCTACTCAGTTAAATTATGATTTTAATTTATTTATTCATACTATTATTTATAACAAAAGTAATAAGTATAATCAATGGTTAACAAAACAATTACATAAAAAATTCGAATAAAAAAAAAAAAAAAAGCAAAAAGAGAAAAAAAAAAAAAAAAAAGCAAAAGAGAGATCAATTAAGCTAAGCTACAATCTAATTACGCATAAAAATATTTTCACTTTTCAAATATTTTCAACCATGATGTATGATCATGGATGCATTAGGTCCCCTCCCCTCCTATTAGATGCATCTCTATCTTTCTTCACCTAAAATCATTCCATACAAGGAAATTTTATATTCAGAGTATAATATTTTGGCTTTTTTTGTGGGATTTTTTTTAAAAATTTTGGTAAAAGTGTTTTGAATGTCACATAAATTGATATTAAAGAATTATGTTACAAATTGAAGCTCAGGAATAATAAATTATATTAGTAACATCTTGAGGACCATAAAAAACCTAACAACTTTTCTTTCTTTCTTTCTTTCTTTTTTTTTTCTTTTTTTTTTTTTTTTTTTTTTTTTCATTATGGTGATTATAGAATTATATATATATATATATATATATATATATATATATATATATATATATATATATATATTTATATATGTATATGTAGACAGAGAGAGGAGAGAGAGAGTAAATAAATGCTGCCGTTAAGGGTTTGTCGTTTAGATGAAGAAAGTTTAGGAGTTTTAAATCTAACAGATGGTTTCTTTTAAAATTTTCTTCATGTGATATTATTTAGCTACAATAACTGTGTACCCGTAATATGTATTTGATTCCTCGATCTTCCATAAAATATATGTAGAGAGAGAGAGAGAGAGAGAGTAAATAAAGCTGGTTAAGGGTTTGTGTTTAGATGAAGAAAGTTTAGGAGTTAAATCCTAACAGATGGTTTCTTTTAAATTTCTCATGTGTATATATAGTACAATAACTGTGTACGTTATATGTATTTATTCCTCGATTTCCAAGAATTATACACTGTTTTCATTTGATTTACTACATGTGATAAAGAAGATCAGAGTCCAATTCCTAGCAATTCTTTCGCTCCCCCTCTCTCTTTCCATGGGAATTGATCCTCCATTTCAGGAGACTTACAGAGCCCTTTGGAAGGGTTTTTGCGTGAGAGCAAAAGAAGAAGAATGCAAGGAATTTGAGCTGCCCCTTATAGACATGAGTCGTTTGCGTTTGGGAGACAGTGCAGAACGAAAGAAATATATAAAAGCAGCAAGCGAATGGGGTTTCTTTCAAGTTGTAAATCATGGGATTTCAGAAGAGGTTTTGCAGAGCCTGAGATATGAACAAATGAAAGTATTTCATCAACCCTTTAACAACAAGTCCCAAAGAAACTTCTTAAATTTACCATCCAACAGTTATAGATGGGGTAACTCTTATGCTTCTTGTTTGAGCCAATTTCCTTGGTCAGAAGCTTTGCATTTATCTCCTGCAGACATTTCAAGAATCGATGGATATACTAATCTCAGGTACCTCCATATAATAAATACCCTAGATTCTTCTTCTTCTTCTTGTTCTTCTTTTTCTTATTATTATTTTGGTTTTGAAATTAAAAATTCCGGATTAAACAAAGCAGTGAAATATATATTATGATTAATAAGAAGACTTTAACATATAGTTTTGAATTCCCATTGTATTTATATGACATAACATATAGTTTGATCACAAATTTAGCATAATGATTATACATCTTTAATGAGGTTTTGCTAGGTCTTCTTCACCTAATATTTACAAGCTAAGATTTAGGTGTATGGGTAAGCGTGATGGCTTGGGCCAGATTGTTTGGATTTGTTAAATTTTTTCTGGCTATTAATAATAAAATTAATTATTTTGCTTATATAAAAAAAATCTTTTTATTAGACAATAAATTCAAGTTTGAATTTCTCTTTTTAAATAATTAAAAAAAAATTGCCGAAACGATTAATTAAAATACAATTATATTAAAATACAATTTTCGGGTTTTATATTAAAATACAATTTTATTTTTATAAGTACATTATACAAAAAATAAAATATTTTTCTTGTGAATGTGTGATCAATAAAAATAAATATATTAATGAATATTTATTTATTTATCTCCACCTGTACTTTAGATATCAAAGTGTGTGGTTCAAAATTTATAATTAATTTATATGAGCTCTTATAAATTACTTTCTATTTCATAATAATAGCCTAGTTTGATTTTGACACAAAAAAAAAAAAGAAAAAAGAATGGTAATTTTTTTGTTAATTTACCACTTTTTTTTAGTGAAAAGTAACTTAGAAATCAAGATAATTAAGTTGTTGAAAAGATACTATTAACAAAATAACCTTTTAATTTATTAAATTTTTATTTAAGATTAACAAAAAAATCGTCAATAAATTTGCAACTAACCAAACTTGTAAAGTGAACTAATTATCCATTAACATAGTTTCATTTCAGTCTACCAACTTATTGACTTTTTAATTAGATTATGAATCTAATTAACTCTACAGAACAAGACAATAAAAAGTTAAAAACTTAATTAGGACATGAAATACTAAAAATATGGCAATATGTCACAATCAGAAAGACCTTATCTAGGTCTTGTCTTTTGCCTCTCAAAACCTTATCTAAAATCAAATCTGTCTTGTGAGTACTATACATTGGCCATGCATGCTTATATCAATGTTAGTTTCACCACCAAACTGCCAAACGATTGGTCCTTAGCATTGTGAGGATGATTTTTGACTTGCATATGTCTTTTGGTAAGCTATAAATTTAGTCAAATCATTTGGCCTTCTTTGTCTGCCTCTAACTTTCATTTATTGAACTGTACTTTAAATAAATTATTCAGTTAATGATTATGTGTTTGGTTAATGATAGTTTTATTGATATAATTTTCAGATCATCCATTGAAGCATTTGCTGGAACAGCTGCTACCTTGGCTCAAACCCTAGCTGAAATTCTAGCAGAGAACTTGGGTGTAAAATCAAGTTTCTTTACAGAAAATTGTACATCAAGAACTAGTTGTATAAGAATGAACAGATATCCATCGTGTCCATTCTCTTCTGAGGTCTATGGTTTGGTGCCCCATACTGATAGTGATATCTTGACAATATTATATCAAGACCAAACTGGAGGATTGCAGCTTTTGAGAGATGGAAGATGGCTGACAGTTAAACCTAATCCTCAATCTCTAACAATCAATATTGGTGATTTATTGCAGGTATCCATTTTTATTAATTTGTACATATAAATATATATATAACAGAAAGTATTTCTTACAAGAATATAATAAAATGGAAGCAGGTATTTAGCAATGATGTTTACAGAAGCATTCAACACAGAGTGGTTGCCCCTCAACAAGTTGAGAGATTTTCTTTGGCATATTTCTACTGCCCTTCTTCTGATGCTGTAATACAAAGCTATAGGACTCCAACTAAGTATAGAAAATTTACTTTCAGAGAATATAAGCAGCAAATTCTCAAGGATCTTCAAGCTACTGGTAACAAAGTTGGCCTCTCTAGGTTTCTCTTCTGAACTAATTATCAATCACCAATGTTTCAATACTACGTTCCAAAAATCGAAACACAAAATCATTATAGGTGTTATTGGTTTTCCAACTAGCAGTGGCGGATTCACGAATGACAAAATGGGGTTTGCTTTTGTAAGTCCTGGGTCCGAACCTAGGACCTGCAGGGTTTTATGTCCTTAATATAAATTTCTGACCTCGCCCCTGATGACAAGGATGATAATCAAGACAAAGGAAGACATCAAAGCATATTAGACAATAGAGAGAGAGAGGCCTAAGAAATTAAGGAGGTGGCTGCAAGGTGCAGGTGCCTTGGTTCCCTCTACCACTACAGTTAAGAAGTACTTGAAGTACAGCTTATCTTGTAACGTGCATTTGGTGGTCAACTCAGGTCAAGGAAAATGGAAGTATGCACATTAATTGATTCTTATCAACAGACAAACATTTTTGGAAATTCCTTCAATACAACCCACCTTGGGGTATCTCCTGTTTGTTTTTTTTTTTTTTTTTTTTTTTTTGGTGGTTTCAAGCTGCCAGGTCCAAGGAAAATTGGAAGTATGCCACATTAATTTGATTTCTATCAACAAGACAAACATTTTTGGAAATTCCCTTCAATACCACCCACCCCTTGGGGGTATTCCTCCTTTGTTTTTTTTTTTTTTTTTCAATCTATTATTTAATTGTTTTTAAAAAAGTTGATTTTGGGGGGGGTGAGATGTGGGGGGGAGAGAAGAGGGGGGTGGCGAAAGGGGAAGGGGGAGGGGGGAGGAGGGAGGGGGGCGGGGAAAGAGGGAAGAGGGAGGTCGGGGGGGAAAGGGGGGAGAGGCGGGAGGGGGGGGAAAATAAACCATCGCTTCAGACAAACCTCAACTGACCAGATGGACCTTTAGTCAGCAATTACCACGACGCCATAATCAATTCGAATCACACTATATCGTAAATCCTGATTACTGACCTATCACGTTCCGTCAGATAAAAATACTCTTGTCCATCCATGGGACCCTGACATACTGCATCAACACATAACTTTGTCGCTACGACACAGCTGTCGCGGGATAGACAGAGGAACAATCGAGATGCATACCACACGTGCCTATACCGACCGAATAAACGACTCGCCGTAACGTCATCATCATATCATACCACGACAATCCGTGACAACGCACACGCTGATCCCAGGGCGCATGTATTCCATAAGCTGCGACATTCGCGCTAGCGCTCTCGCCCCATAGCCAACACACACGTAAATCCTAGCCGGACAAGCCTCAACCACCTTTTTTTTTTTTTTTTTTTTTTTTCATCTATTATAATTGTTTAAAAGTTGATTGGAAAATAATTATTATATAGAGTAATATTAATGAGCCCACTCAATAAATTTAATTGAGTATTGTGTGTAAGTAATATGCTCGTGAAATTACTATATATTTTTATTATAAATTGTATAAAAAAATAATATTATGAACATATATAATAATGTTTAAAATTTGTATCTTCACACTTTAAATTAAAAATTTAGCTTCTGTCTAGAAATAACTTTTCAGATTGTTTTTAGTATTTTAGTATTTTAACTAAGGTAAAAAGTTATATTTGTTTTTTATAGGATTCGATGATAATAAAGTTTATACTAATATTTAGAATTTTAGTTAACGTATTAATAAAATGTTGGTAAAACAGCTGGCAGCTACTAAAATAACTGACGACTTATAAAATTTATATAAAAATAAATTTATAGCCACGTGAACAAACACATACTCCCATACCACAGTTTCATTGATATGAAAGTAGCAGTTGCAACAAGTGAATTTGAAGTTTGGTGTTGATTTGGTTTTCCACTTTTGAACATCTGCAGATAAGAACAGCATTATAGGTATTAGGAAACAAAGAGGCATGATTATACATCTTAATGCGTTTGTTGAAGTATACCAATCAAAAGAATTAGTGGTAAACTGTAAGTTCATCACTGACTTTTATAATAATAACAAAAAAAAAAAAAAAAAGGCAAATAATTTAATAACAAAAAAAAAAAAAAAAAGGGGCCCAAATTTTCTTGAAATACTTACCGACAGAGAATCGGATAATTAAAATGAAAACTTGAATTAAAAAAAAAAAAAAAAAAAAAAGGCAATTTTCTGAATACTACCGACAGAGAATCGGATAATTAAATGAAAATGAATTATATCGTAAGGGAGCTATACTTGTAAGGTCGAGGATTCAAAATCAGTCGTTGATTTTCTTGTTTCTATTAGATGTCAGTAGATCAAAAAGTTATATCATTCTAAATAATTTTATCCTAATTTTTATGTCACTGTTCACTAAAATTGTTAGTAAGGGTAATTGGTAAATGAATAAAAAAGAAAATACAATTAGATATTTTTTCACTAACATATAAGTAAATTTTTTTTTCATCTAAAAGTGAAAATCTAAGGGCTTTTAGCTAAATATTATAAAATAAAAATCAATTGTAGCAACAAACTTTGCAATTTAATTTCTATTGGCAGATTTTTTTTTCTGGTTTTAAAAGAAACTGATGTTTAAAAGCTTCAGATATAGCAATTGGATTTGATTTTGAGTACGTAGCTAATTTATTTTTATCAATGGATAAACGTATCCTCAAAACTAGGAACATTTTATAGTTCTAGTAAGTGAGAATTAGTTTGGCAAAATTAACTGTTTCGGTAAATGTTAATTGTTTTAATAGCGTTTAGATTAGTTGTTCAAGAAGCTTTTCATAGAATGCTGGAAGTAAAACGGTACATGAGTTAACTTTTTATAAAATGTTACCTTAGCCTTTAAAAGTGAGTTCAACGGTACGTTACCGAACACTACAGTATTTAGCGTTTTCATGAAAGCTACTCAAAAAGTGTTGCAGAACACAGTCTAAATCATGTTTCAAGTACTTTATTAGAATTTTATTTTTGAACCAATTGAAACGCAAAAGTAGCCACTCTATTTACTTACCAAATTACTTTGATAAAAATTTTAACCATCTTATATATGTAAGAGTTTAATACGTGAATTTCATGTGAGAAATTAAAGTGTATCTCACAGATCCTTATTTTTATTATGATTTAAGATAAATAAACGATCTGAATAGCAACTATGTTTGGCTCTATACATTTTATCCATGAATGAAATCTGTAGCACAATTTTTAGAAACTTAGCTAAAGATAAGAATAATTATTTGAATTGAAAATATGCTAAATTTACTTTTTTTTTATTTTGCACTATCAGCGTATTGTCTAGGCATAAGGATGAAATTATAACCCAGTTGGGCTTCCAGCAGACAAAATGTAAACCAGGGTAAGAACTAAAAACCCAATCCAACCATAAAGTAGACTTATGGCTGGACTTTCCTGGTTTTGTTGGAGATTTTCCCTAGGATTCGGCCCGTTTTATCTGGGCCCAATTCCCAAGATTAGCCTGCAACCGTGTTTAGGCAAAAATAAAAAATATAACCCAATTGTAAGCTGCCATAATAAACTTTTACCACTTTTTAGTCTAAAAAAAATTATTTTGTTTTTTTTTATTTTGTGCGCTAATTTTTTAATATTTTGTTTGATGAAAAATTAGATTCAATTAATCCAACAGCAAATGTATTATAGAAATAATTTTTTTATCATTTGTGGTCTTAAATTTCAATTTTTGCTATTATTTTGTTTTATGTCTCGATTTTAACTTTTTTTTTTTAATTTTATCTTTAAAAAGCGAGAGTGATATTTATTTTATTTGAATAATTGAAAATATAGTCTTAATTTGAGCCTAAACTTAAAATTAGACTTAATTAAACACAATCAAAATAATTAGGACACAATTATAATAACAAGTTAAATAATGGGATGCAACTATAACAAATTTAAAAAAATAGAGAATAAATTTATTGAGCGGCTTAAAAACATGTATTCTTTTATTTAAGCCAAAAATAATAAAATTTTCAATTCACATGTCTTCCTCTCATTTTCATTGCATTTTCCAAATATTTTCTCTTTTCATTTCACTTTTTTTTTTTTTTTTTTTATTTTAAGCCAAAAAATAATAAAATTTCCAATTCACATGTCTTCCCTCTCCATTTTCCATTGGGGCATTTTTCCCCCAAATATTTTTCTCTTTTCATTCACTTTTTTTTTTATTTTGTCTGTTGTGTTTTTTTACCCCGCTTTGTCTTATTAACTTTTATTTATCGTTAATAAAATTTGCCAGGGACTCTACTCAAGCGAACACTCCCCGGGACCGGCCAGTTGCCAGAGTCTTTTTTTTTTTTTTTGTGTGTGTGTTTTTTACGCTTTGTCTTATTAACTTTTATTTTGTAATAAATTTGCAAGACTCTACTCAAGGAACACTCGACGGCAGTTGCCAGAGTCAAGTCGTCTTCTTCTTTAAAAAAAAATAATAAAAACACAAAACCAGCGAATCCCTCTATCTCTCTTCTCTCTCTCTCTCTCTCTCTCTCTCTCTTTCTCTGCAAAATTCAAATATTTCTTTTTCATTTCTCATACCCGTTACCCACTTAACCGGAAAACCATGGGGAATTCCCGTTGCAAGTGTTGCAACTTCACCGTCGGTCTAGTTATTGCTGCTCTTTTTATGTGGCAGAGATTTACTACTGCAAAACCCAAATGCTTTCTTCAAGAAATTTACGTTCCTGCACTTAACCAATCCTCAAATTCACCATCAAACACCACTCTTTTTTTCCAACTAAAGCTAGAAAATACCAACATAGTGAAAGGCGTTTATTACGATCCAGTAAATGTAACGTTTTTCGATAGTCCTAATAGGACTCACTCAATAGGCAATTTCACAATCCCAAAATTCTATCAGGGGCGTAATAAGAAAGCCATCAAATCTGGTGAAATTAATGATACCGGGCTTGACATAGAAGCGGTTTTGCGGGCGGTTTCTAATGGGTCGGTGGTTTTCCGAGTAGATATGGCGACTTCAGTGAGGAATAAGTTTGTGGTATTTAAAACTAAACGTCGTCGGATCAATGTTGGAGCTTATGTGAATGTTAGTAATCAAGGCACTCAAGTCAATCCTAGAAAGGGAGTAAGATTATCTTCTAGTGTAGGCAAGATTGGGAGCAGTAGTTATGAAAAAATCGGAATTTTATTAATTAAATTTTTTATTTTTGGTTTTTGATAAATTTTTGGTGAGTTTATTGTGGATTTTTAAAAAAAAAAAAATTTAATTTTTGAAGTTCTTTTTTGGGTATTTGTATTTTGTAGTTTTTGAGAATATGTTATTCTTAGCTTTTTCATCATTCATGTATTAAATGTAGTAATTGCAATGCAATTTTTGAATTATGGCTATGGAGTGAGTTCTGACTCGGTTAATTTTTATTTTTTTGGTTTTTTGAAAATCTGACTTGGTTAATTATACGAATTATAGTATTAATTTTGTGTAAAATCACTAATTCTTTTGATAATAGAATCAATTGCTGACTTATTTCTAGCTTTTTAGAGACAGCTATTTTATGATTAACATATTATTATGTGTAGACTTACACTTCAACACTTAAACTCACATGTTATAAATAATTTTTTCTTTTAAATAAAGTTGAGAATTCAATTTTTATAAATGGATCAAATATTTACCGATAGCACTTTATCTTTTAATAGATCGATCTAATACAAATAAAATTTAATTCTAACTTAATGAGTTCGGTATACGGTTAATATTAAAAAAATAATTACAAATTAGTAATAGTAATAAATTAAAAAATATGATGCAATTAAGGAGGAGGTCGGTGATTTATAAGTGGCTATTTGAACTTATAATCTACTGATTGGAAATTTTTAGAGTTGATAAAACAACAAAGTTTGTAAAAATGTGTATTATCCTTTCAGTTTTGCCTTTATCAATTTGAATTTAAGCCAAAAATAATAATTTTTCGACTATCTATTTCCCCCTATTTTCCTTCCATTTTCCAAGTAAAGTTGGAAGTCTAAATTAATTTGTAAGACTTTGTTCTAGAGTCCTTACCAATTGCCAGTTGCCACGTGTTTCTATCCCCACCATGCATCTGGATTGTGCTGTTTTACATGAAGGGAGGATAGGATTGTCCTCTTCCTGCCAATCACGAAAACAATTTCTTTTTTTTTTTTTTTTAAGTTAAAAGGCATAATCGACTCTTTAACTTTCTATACTTTAATCCCATTGGTTTTTACAGTCAAATATTTGATTTTTCTGACTAACTTAAATTTTCCATTGGTGAGCAACTTATAGTACAAAACCAAAAACACACCTTCGTGTAACTTTATCATTCCTTCCAAAAGCATTCAAAAAAAAAAAAAAAAAAAAAAAAAAAATTGGGTGAGCAACTTATATGTTACCAAAACCCAAAAACACACCCCCTTTTCGTGTAACTTTAATCATTTCCCTTTCCAAAAGCATTCAAAAAAAAAAAAAAAAAAAAAAAAAAAAAAAAAAAAAAAAAAAAAAAGTTAAACGGAGACCAGCACACTGAAGTCATCGTCCTCTTCTTTATCAAATGAAAATAGATTAACAGAGAACATCAAATCTATCCCTCTTTTTTTCCACGAAAGTCGAATCTGTCTTCTTCATTTCTTATACCCTTTACCCATTTCACCGGAAAACCATGTCGGATTTGTGCGGTCCATGTTGCAGGTGTTTTTGTAGCTTCACCTTTACTTTAGGCTTAACAGCGCTTTTTATGTGGCTAAGCTTACGTCCTTCAAAACCTAAATGCTTTCTTCAACAAATCTACATTCCTACCCTTAACCAGAATCTACATTCCTACCCTTAACCAGAGCTTAAAGCTACCATTAAATACCACTCTTTTTTTCGAACTAAAGCTAGAAAACACCAACAAAGACAAAGGCGTTTATTACGATCCAGTGAATGTAACATTCTTTGATAGTCCTAATAGGACTCACTTAATTGGCAATTTCACTATCCCAAAATTTTATCAGGGGCATAAGAAGAAAGCCATGAAACCTGGTCAAATTAATGATACCAGGCTTGATAGGAAAGCGGTTTTGCGGGCGGTTTCTAATGGGTTGGCTGTTTTCCGAGTAGATATATCGACTTCGGTGAGGTATAAGATTTTGGCATTTGCGACTAAACGACATCGGATCAGCGTTGGAGCTTATGTGAATATTAGTGATCAAGGTACTCAAGTTAATTATAATCCTAAAAAGCCAATAAGATTATCTTCTAGTGTAGACAAGATTGGAAGTAGTCGTTTTGGAAAAATTGGGATTTTTTTAATTCAGTTTTTGGTTTTTGGTTTGATAGATTTGTGGTGAGTTAATTTTTAAATTTAGATTTTTTTTTTTTGGGGTATTTGTATTTTGTTGTTTTTGAGGAATTGTATTATTCTTAGTGTTTCATCATTCATGTATTGAAAAATTGAAATGTTACCTTTTGGTAGATTAATTGGAATGCTATTTTATGAGTTACGGCTATGAATTATTAATTTTGATTTGTTAGTGCATGATGTCAGAATTTAAAATTAGTTATCTTCTATTGAAAAAATAATTTAAAATTAGGAAAAATACAATTGGGTCTTTAATTATATCATAATTAAAAGTCAATTGGGCTTATTTTAAATAACAAAAATAGAATCAAAGATATTTATATATTAAAAAAAAACTATATGACACTTTTTTTTCTTTGCAATTTCATCTGAAATTCATAAGCTCCTTCCTTTGTGCTTTCACATTTAAGCACTGGCATATGTGTAAAGTATAATATGTCATGGAGCATTAAGAATCCCCTAATGATGTCAATTTGGGTTAAAGAATATAAATTTAATAAATTAATCATATTATTTTGTAATTTTACATATATGCATATGTGTAATATTAAGATGTAACAGATTTTCTAAAAATTATTAATAAATTTATTTATTAAGACGACTTCTCGTGAGATTTTTTTTTTTTTGGGTATTTATGATAAATTATTATTCTTAGTGCATGCTCTTTTCTAGCTTTTTAGAGCATAAATTTATTCTGTATGGCTGCTCTTTTTTAAAGGCAGATTAAGATGGGACCTTGTATTAGATTCTCTTCATTCATGTGAGGATGTTTTTCTGTTTGTGAAGGAATAGCTCTATGATAAAATTAAAAGCAAGCTTAGAAATAAAATTAAAATGGAGTCTGTGACAGTAAAACCAAAATAAGAGCACCAATGGAGATTCCCATTCACAACTACCCCATTACTATTAGAAAAACCTCTATATTTAGAGTTTCGAATTTGAAAACTTCTCCAAGTATTTGTTTTAAGAGTCAAAATATTAACGTCAATGTCCAAGCCTGAGCCTGAGGGATGCACGGTACGGGCATAACCTGCTATTACTATCGCCTTGTAATCGCCAATGGATTCATCATAGCTGAAGCCATAGCCAATTGGGTTGCTATCAATACTTGGTTTAGGCAATAATCTAAATTCACTCGTTGCAGGATTACATATATAAAACCAGTTGTCTTCATGACCTGAAAATATTAAACCTTTACACGACGCACATAAATCAAAATCTCCTTTTCTTTCCAAATAAATCGAATTGAAATCCGAATTAGAACTCTCTATTACTAGTGTTTCATCGTCCATATCCAGTGCTTCACAGTCCATAATCAGCAATCTTGATGATCCAGAGTATGTTTTAGTGAATCTTGAGCCGTCGATCACTGATTGCCAAGATTTGCAAACGGTCTTGAATCGCAACAGGGACTCGACGGGTAGTTTTGTGAGTATTTTCTCCATAATCAAACTTTCTGGGATGTGAGTATCTTTATCTCCTCCATAATCGCCCCGCTTTCTTTTCCTCTGTTGCATAGTTTATTGGTTATCTCATATTGGGGTTAGAAGCATGCTTTTTTTTTTTTTATATACTTGCAATTTAAACAAGGATTTCTAAATGTTTATATACCATATCAACGAAATTAAATGAGTATATTTCGAACTATACACTTTGAAAATAAAGAATAAAGTCATAATGTTTTTTAAAAACTCTTTAATTTCATTGGTTTGGTTCATAAGTGGAATCATGCAACTAATCTAGACAAGTTTTTTTTTTTATCACTATTTGTTTTCTTTAAAGGGAAAAAAAAAAAAAAGAAAAGTTATTGTAGTTGTATACTGCACTAATAAAATAAGGCCCAAATGCTCCTTAATGGATTTTTTAGTATATCAATATATAATGAGTGAAGAACAAGCCTTAGTCCATACTAAGGTTACAGCCCTTAATAAGAGAAGCAAAGGGAGAATAGAAGATAATTAAATAAAAAGAGAGAAACAAATCTTAAGCGAGAAATTGATTGTTTATTGTATCTTTATTATATATATAAAAAATACATATGTGTTTATATAGATCAAGGATAAGACTTGGTTACAGCAGGTGCCCTACATCGAGTATAGACAAGTATTTCTTATAGAGCAATTAAAAAATTACTAATATTAATAATTGAAACGTTCCACAATTTTATTTTCAAAAATTTCAAATTTTTATTACATTAAAATCTAAATTTTTTATTTGATGGGCTCCAAGTGCTAGAATAATTTTATTTTAAATCCAAACTCGCAAATTGGGCTTACGTCTATAATCATATTTTTGGAACTTTAAAGTCGAGAACCTTTTAAATTATTCAAAGATAAATATTAAATATTAAAATTAATTACTACGGTTTAATTAAAAATTAAAGAATAATCTAAAACCCAAAGAAATCAAATGAAATCATGACCCAAATTTTTATTTTCAAAAGCCATTGAATTTAAAATTAAATAAGAAAGCTACATGCTTATATTTTACTCAATAAAATATTTTGTAGTCACATTTGAAAATCTTATTGACTTAGCTTTTATTTAAACCATATCAAACCAAGTAAAACAATTGAACCGTGTGATAAATTTTTAATCAAACCAAATGGGACTGAAAACAACTTAACAATTAAGTTGTTGGATAGTAAACTCTTATCACAACGCCACATCACCAACCGACCTTTTCGCATCACTTCTCCTCCACCAAAGATACCTGTTAATGGCCTGAAATCACAGGGACAGCAGCCCCTCTGCACAGTTGCTCTTCCTCCTCCTTCCCTTGATGTTTTTCATGACTCTAGAGTTATATTTTGAAGCTTTCTCACTCTACAATTGAAATGGCATCAATAGGTACACTATGACAGCTCTTATTTCACTCAAGTAAGTGAGACTACACCATTTTTATGTTTCATTAGTTAGATTCTTAAAATAAAACGGTTAGATTGCATAATTCAATCTAAGAACTAAGGTTAGGGTTTGTAGAGCTTGATTCTTGGAGTTTTGTAATATGATGAGCTTGGTTTTAAAATGAGTAATAGCATCATAAATGGAACTAGATTAAATTAGAGGGATGATGTTATGGAAGCAAAGCAAAATCAGTCTCCCATGGCTACATGTGGTTCGACCATGGTGGGAAATAAAGAGCTGAAATTTTTTTTTTTTTTAATGAAATAAATGACTTAGCATGTCAGGAACATTAAATAAAAATAGTTTTAGCTTGGTGATTTTGTAGATTTAAAGCCCAAGTGAAAATAGGAGATTTTGATGTTTATGCCATAGCCGAAATTTCGCAGAAACTGGTGTTTAAGCGCTTAATATGACTCTAATAGATTTTAATTAACTTGATTAGGATATCTTTCTTATGTATGTGCAATTTGATTGGTTAGGTTGTCTGGGTTTAGCGTGAAAGATAAAACTTTAACCCTTTAATGGAAATCTTAGCTAACAATATATTGGTGGTAAGCATGAAAGAGAGATTGATTATCACTTGATATGCATATTTATTTATATATCTGTAATATGACTATGTAATATTATGGATAAATGGAGATTGCTACTTAAATTAGAAATGTGTAATGAAAATAAATTGATTTTGGATTAAGTTTAAAATGTTGCAATTAGAGGAGGATGGGATTTAATTATTGGGTGATTGCCTGATGGATGTGTTGAGTTTGTATGCTGAATTTTTGTGATCTTAGACACAGGTGATTAAGTCCAATTATAGGAGAGATGCTGCCAGATTTTTGGCAGATACTTAGAAGGAACTAGATTAGTTACATCCCTTGTAAAAATTAGTCACTAGAAGAATTGTTATTGTGATAGTTATTATTATTATTGGTTAGGATATGAAGTAATGAAATTAAGTTTGGATAACAAATAAAAGAATTAAAAATAAATTAAGTTAATAAATAAAATAAATTCTAGAGATACCATAAGAAGTTAGAATGATATAGCAAGATGACTGAATAAATGAAATGAATGTAAAGTAATTTAGAGAAGTATGTAAGATAATAATTCGATTCAAATTCATATTAAAAGTTCTTTTCTTTAGATATTTTATAGATTCCGAGAAGTCACTTATCAGTCAAGAAGAAGGTAGGAAAAAGGAGAAATGCATCTAGCAATAAAATAAACCTGTGAGTAGTATTAGATAATTCACATCATCCATCTACATTTTTCATTCATGCATACACTGCTAAATGTTATACATGCATTGCTTGGTAAATTGTTATTTGTGTTGCACTATTTGTTGCTAGTGAACATTATTTAATTAATTGCAGCGTGCTCCATGTATACTTTGTTTGTATGAAATTGGGATGAAATGGGTCCCTGTTAGGTTTGTGAGGGTGGTCTATGATACCGTCAACCATATACAGGGAGATCAGTGCCTCCGTATGCATATGATGAAATATGATATGAAAAACCACAGAGTGGCCTCCTGTTATAGAAAAAAAAAGAGAGTATAAAAAAATGAGAGAGTTGGTCAAGTAAGATTGAGACCGGTCGGCCATGTAAGGGGATCGGTTCCCTGGTGCACACGTATATGATATGAAAAAACCAACAGAGTGGCCTCCCTGTTATAGAAAAAAAAAGAGAAGTAAGAAAAAATGAGGATAGAAAAAAAAAGAGAGTATAAAAAAATGAGAGAGTTGGTCAAGTAAGATTGAGACCGGTCGGCCATGTAAGGGGATCGGTTCCCTGGTGCACACGTGATAAGAGGGTGGCCATGTGTGAGCACGGCTCATCAGGAGTTTTGGTGACGGCACTGACTAATCTCCACTTGATATGTTATGTGAATGTGTAATATTTATGATTGCTGATGCAATGTCATTTGTGTGATTGATTGCATGATCATATAACTAATCGAATGACTAGATTGATTTATATACGCCTTTGTGTGATTGTATGAGGTGAGAAGATTATTTAACCTACTCACTGAGTTTAGGCGCTCACCTCTGCCTTAAAATATTTCCAAGTTAAAGCAAGTTGAGGAATCCTTTTGAAAGCAACTTGGTTGAGCATTGAAATGGTGAAACCTATTCGTTAGCTGCGAGGTCTTCAGAAAAGTATTGTAAATGTAGAAATTAATGAATGTAATTACTTAGAGTTCCACACTGTAATTTGTGGGGTTGTAACTAATAAGTGACTAGATTATTATTGTATATATTTTATGATTTATGAATAATTGATTCAAATATTAAATAGAGCCTAAAACCCTTGTGAGTTGTTTTGATGAATGGGCATAAGTGTTAGGTATGTAAATAGATCAGTGAATCCAATCTGTTAAGGTTTACTATGGGCTTTAGAGGTCTTTAAGCCATCCCAAGTCCTAGTGCAGGTCCTAATGCCGGTCCGACAAATAGCTGTAATTATTTCATCTGACTCATTGACCTATGCTTAAGGATGAGTATACAATTAAATTTGGTTTTAATCATACTTTGAATCAATGTAAACTAAATAGCACAGTCACCGTTTTTTTATTTTAGATGCAAAATGAACCAACATTAAATTAGAGTATTTAGAATTAAATTAGTTGCATTTTTTATTTTATTTTTTTAACATTTTTTTGTCAAATTTAGCCATTTTTGGATTAAACAAGAAATTGAATTAAAAAAAAAAAATCTCTATAAACTCGAAATAGCACTACTTATATCGAATAAAATTAGGTTAGATTGATTCAATATTTTGATTTTAACCAAATTATATTTTACTCTTTCTATGCTTTTTCTCTTATTTACAAATCGTGATAATTCTCATCTTTGTTTATAAATATAAATCATCTTATAATAATTCTTTTGTTTATAAATATATATTATTTTAAGAATATTAAGGAGTAATTAATAATTTTTTCAATTTTTTTATTTATATATAGTAAAATTGATGACCCTAGAATAATGAGATGAGATAAAGAAAAATTTAATCAAATTAATGAATATTATATTATCGTTTTAGAGAATTAATTGTTTTTTAATCGTTATATAATAAACTTTATATATGTGGAAAAAAAAAAAAAAAAAACGTTTATATAATAAACTTTATATAGTGTGGAAAAAAAAAAAAAAAAAAACACCTACCTCCCATCTAAAGTTGACAGAAAGTAATTGTAACTTATATTAAATGAATAGAATTTATTCATTAATAAATAAAAAATTGAAAAAAAAAAAAAAAAAAGAAGGAATACCTAAGGACAAGGCAGCTAAACACATGAGCTGACAAACAAGACTAGAGATATTGGAAATGGTCCCAGTGGCTTCTCACTACATAAATGGAATATATCATAACTCGCAAAGCTAATAGTCAATGTCTGAATCTAACAATTCTTGTTAAAAAGCTTAACAAAAATAGGTTGTTTTGCCGCCACAAAAAAAAAAAAAAAAAAAAAAGAAGGAATACTAAGGACAAGCAGCTAACACATGAGCTGACAAAACATAGACTAGAGAATTGGAAATGGTCCAAAGTGGCTCTTCCACTACACTAAATGGAAATATATCTAACTCCAAGCTATAGTCAATGTCTGAATTCTAACAATTTGTTAAAGCTTAACAAAAAGGTTGTTTGCCGCCACATTTTATAAATGATATTGCAATTTCTCTTTTCTTCCCACTATTGTTAGTGGATATTAATTTCTCTTTTCTCCACATGGTTAAGTGGTGTCTCATGCTTCTGCCTAAATTTAAAGAATTGACCTATGTATGGGATAACATGTGTTAATATGGTAATACTCTTTAATTGACGAGTGTTGTAAAGAGTGGTTCGACATTCTTCTCCTTTAAATAAAAGTTAGGTCGAAGTTCGATACTTATAGATGGAGTAAATATTTATTAAGAACACTTTACTATTTATTGGCGCAGTGATTTAATCTACCATAACTAGCTCATTACCTTAGAGATCAAAGACTAAATAAATGAAAATATAAATTTTTATTGAAATGAAAGTATTTCTATATATATTTAAAAAATGAAAAAATAGGAACAATTTTTTTTAAAATTATTTCTTTCATTAGTTTGGTTCAGATCTATGAAATTCTAGATATACAGAGGGCGACTATTACATAATTTAAAATTTTGTAATTAATAATTATTAATTTTAATTCCCTTAATAATAACTTAACAAAATTACCACATCATAACTATTTTATGAAGGCTTGAATTCTAATATTATCATTACTTCTCTCCTGCTAAAATTGTTATCATATAAAAATAAAGAATAATTGTTAGAACAATAATTTAAATATTTTATGTGAAATTTTTATTACTTCTTCTAAAATTGGATTCCAGGAATTATAAAATTAATATAAAAATATAAAATATTATATTTAATATTTTGCATTTCATTTCATTAATTAGATTAAATATAAAATTTTTATAATTTAAATGTCAACCGTAATCTGTTAGACGAACTAATCATCCAAAAGGGGCTCAAAGAAACAGTTTTATTGTGATACAGACTACCATAAAATACTGTAAAATTCCAAATTCAGTTTTGCATATTTCACAATTAGGGGTTTCGCCATGTTCAACTTTTGAAATTGTTCCTAAAGAACTCTTCTTCCACTTCGACTGGGTTTGACTTTTTAAATTACGCAAAAAAAGGTGTCTTCAAAGTTCAACTCTTTTCTTCTTCTTCTTCTTTTTTTTTTTTTTTTCATTGCATAAATATCTGCCAAAGCCAACCTAAGTACTATAATAGCAAGTCTATAGCAACCTAACTGATTCTCTCTCAATCCATCTTCTTCTCTCTCTCTGTTCTCAACCAGCAACACACTAAAAGCTAAATTAAGATAAAATTGAAGAAACGGTAGGTTGTAAGAACTTAGAAGGGAGAATCTGTTTGTTTTGTTCAATGGTGCTTTATTGTTGTTATTTTCTTTTACCACTTACATTGTGATTTTATGGGTTTTTGCAGAAATGCAGTAAAATGGATCAATTGAAGTGGAAAGGAGTCATGATTTAGTTCTGTTTGAAGAATATTTAAGTCAAATCAAGCCTTAATATACAGATTTTGAAAATTTTTGAGGTAACAGATGCTCTTTTGTTTTAAAGTTCTTGATTTTAACGGTGGGAATATGTAATAATGAGATGGTAGTTGCTGGGCCTTTTTATGTTTGTCATATTATGGTGGGATTTTGGTTGGAAAGACATATAGTGCAAGGTTATTGAAGTATCTGTTAGCCTTGATTTTATTTTGTAAGCAATTTTGGGTATTTGCAGTCTTCAAAAGTTTAACTTATGAACTTTACCTTGGAAGGATATGATGTGTTTTTGCAAGTTGATTCTCTGATACATGTGTCTTCTTTCCTTATTTCTCTTCTTAACGGACTAGAGGTTGTTATAAAATTTGAATGTTTGATGCATGGTCGACCTGTTAAAGGTTTCTCTCTTGATGGACTGGAGGTCTGATCTACTGTTTTGTAGCTCATAACGTTTGAGACATCATTACCCACTATGGATAACCTTGTGTCTTCCATGAGGTGCCTTTTGTAAAAAGATCAGGAGACTAGAAGAATAGACTCCCGGTGGATTTTGTCATATACCGACTTTTCATTATCTTGGCCATTAGCATAGTTCTATCTCTGTGTTAAATGTATTGCATCGCATGGTTAATTCAGGAAAATATTAGAACACTACGTTATGTGGAGAGTGAATGTTAATATTTAACTGTAGGAATACAAAAATTTTGATAGTGAACATTAGAGATATTTCAAAGAGCTGACATGAGGAAAAGGAGATTTTGATACAAAATAGGCATGGTAGTTACTCCAAATTAAAATTGGCAAGCTTTTCTGATCAAGAGGGGAAAAACAGTTGCATCACTGTTTGTGAGGGGTTGGATGCTGGTCCTTCTTCTAGGCTGGTTTCTCTATCAATGTACTTCCTTAAAACAGTCTTTGCTCATTGATTCATTTTTTTTTCTTTGAGATGCATTGTTGGTGTCTTATTACTAATATTTCAAAAACTTGATTTATGGTTTTCTCATCAAATATGTCCTTGGTTTTATCTATTATTGCAATTTCTATATCATGGCTTAGTCATACTGCATTAGCTCTCTCTCCTGTTTCCTGTCTTGCCAGTATCTGTTATTAGTTTGCATTTTCATGTAATTGGCCTGGAAAAAGCTTCTGATATCTTGACACACAGGATATCATGTAAGACATGAGTATGGTTAAGTTAAATGGGAAAGGAGGTCTCATGAATGGGGTAATAGACCAGACATTTGGTTCCTTAAGGAAAGTAGTTAACAGGTACTTTTGGGATTCAATTAATCAATATTTTTGTTCAAATTATATTCATGCTACAGTTAACAAGTTCTGGATGAATTGTATAATTTTGTTTTGATGATATTTGGTTCATGGGTGTAGAGTGATTCTTGATGCTAAGAAAGTTATGCCTGGTGGAATTCAAAGCATCTATGTTCTGTCACCATTCATTTTACAAGTCATCTTTTAGGACATGAAACTTATACTTGTTATCCATATTTTATCTTGAAGGTCTTTGTCCTTAGATTCTTTTGATTTTCTATGCAAAGGGAATACCATGGAAGACATGAGTAAGGTTAGCCAAAATGGGGAAAGAGGCCTCAAACTTCACGAGTTAAATGGGGTAGTAGATCAGACCTCTAGTCCATTGAGAAAAGAACTGGTTAACAGGTATTTCTCGCCTCAAAAATTAATGCTACATTTGTAGAATTGCATGATGAATTGTGCAAATTGTTTTTGATGTATTTGGCTTAAGCTCATATTCTAGTAATGTTTACCCTTTCTTTTATTTGTTCTTTTTCCCCTCATGTGATTTAGTGGCTGTGAATAATTTAATTTGCTTTTCCATAAAAAAACAGATGCCCTTGGGTTATTGCAACAGGCTAAGTTGAGTATCATGCTGTTTGAATTTTATTTATTCAAATCCAATTCAAGCTTGAGTTTGACAATAAGTTCTAAAATAGTCCAGGCTTGGTTTGTTAATTTTCAAGAGAGTTTGAGTTTGTTTCTGCATGACTGTTTAATAAAAAAGCCCGTTTCAATACAATGCTTACCACAAAAAATTATAGTTATAATAATTGCTTTTAATAAGAGAAGAAAGTGTGTTACAAAATACGGTAAAAGATTTACAAAGTGGAGGAGTAATACAGTCAAAATGAAAGATTTTATTTACTATAAACTAGCAGACAATAATAAATATGAGCTGTATAACTAGTAACTCTGTGATCTTTTTCTATTTTCCTCCAGGTTATCTTTTTCAATGAAGTCTCATGAAGATGATGAAATTGACTTGGAAGGCGGCAAGTTGGAAAAGGACAGAGATAAAACAACACGTAGTAGTAGAGTCATTAAAATACAAAACCAGGCCTTATTGTCAGGCTTTGCATATTGCATTTCTTCCTGCAGTATGATACTGGTGAACAAGTTTGTGCTTTCCAGCTATGATTTTAATGCTGGGATATCTTTGATGCTGTACCAGGTAATTTTCAGTGGTTAAAAGTGGTCTAAGGTTACACAAGATATAATGTTTTTTTATTTAATTTTTCCTTAATGCTTTTTAATTTAAAGAATTTGAAAAAGATTCTGATATCTGTCAAGTGGATCTTATATATATTATAACTTTTTTTTTTAATGCAGAACCTTATCTCGGTGATTATTGTATCAGTATTGAGTTTTCTGGGCATAATATCAACTGAGCCACTAACTTGGCGATTGATTAAGGTCTGGTTGCCTGTGAATGTTATATTTGTTGGGATGCTTGTAACAAGCATGTTTAGGTATGAAGGATCTTATCTTTTTAATGGTCTTTGTTGACTTGGAGTGCTTTTTATGCAATCCTTGTGGTGTTTAATACTATTATAAAAATTTCTTGTTGCACCATCTTACTGAAATCTAGTTGGTGTTTTCCGCAGCTTGAAATATATTAATGTTGCCATGGTCACAGTCCTGAAGAATGTTACTAATGTGATTACTGCCCTTGGTGAAATGTATCTATTCAGTAAGCACCATGACAGCAGAGTATGGACTGCTCTGTTCTTAATGGTACGTTGAATTTTGGATTTATCTTCCTCTTCATCATCACCATCATGGGATTTATAATAACAGAATCAAATTGGTGTTCTATTTTAGTCATTGGCAAATTGCTGCATCCAGAAATGTCCCAGTATCTCATTCTTTTCCCAGTTCAAGTGGGAACATGCTAACTATGGGCATAGAAACTGCTACTAAATTCCATTAAAATAAGGAATAGTAAGATGAGAAAATGAGACCTGTAAAGCTGTGAAGATGGAAAGACTATGCTTGAGAGAGGACTGTAAAGATAGATGGAAGAATGAGAAATTGTTGTTCACACCTTTAAGAGGAAAAAAGTCTTTCTTTTATAGGAACTTTCTCATAACTTGGGTTGACATTGAATTTCCCATTGAATAAATCGATCATTTTATCTCATATTTAACTTGTATGTTATCACATATCTAGGAATATTTTTTTCATGAATTGATTTTTAGTATAGAAAATTGGAGTTATTAACTCAGCAGTTGACATTCTACATCAGGGCAAATTATATTTTGGCATATCTGCTGTTTGGCATTCTTATATCTGGATAGAAACAAATATATATCGAGGGTTATGGGGCAGGGAATTGTAAAGGCTTAACAAACCTAAACCTGTTTATCCTAGAGTCAATTGCATGTTCTTTTACTATCTGAAAACTGTGCGAATGATTATATCCCTGATTAGATAATGCATAGCTATTTGCAAGCTAAAGTAAATGAGAAGTTGTGTTAGGTAACATCCAACAGGAATTTTGTCACTTTCTTCATACTACGAATCCAAACAACACATTATTAGATACTTGGGTGCTATTTGTACAATGGATAGTGGAATGAATAAGATATGAATAAAGCAAGATGTGTGAAATGAAAGTGTGATTAGAGTCCCATGTGATTGCAAAATATCAAGTTCAAGAGGACATTTATAGGATTGCAATTTGACCAGCCATGGTTGGCGGCAATGATTATTGGGTTGTTGATAAGAATTAGAGACAATTTAGTCAATGTGAATGTGTCATTTAGATTGTAGAATGGCCATTTCACCTGTGGTAATTCTGCTCCCTTTACTATCAGTATTTGTTGCTGTATGTTACTAATGCTACTGTTATTATTATTAAGAATTGCTTGAGATCTATTTGTTGCTCACATTGTAATTAAGTTTGAGAAGAAAGTTTTGCTGTTGCCTTGCACAGATTGTTTCAGCAATTTCCGGAGGGATTACTGATCTGTCTTTTCATGCTATTGGCTATACATGGCAGTTTATCAACTGTTTTTTAACTGCATCTTATTCTGTAAGTATATTATTTGAAGTTTTTGGTTACCTTTTGCAATTTGGGCTCCAATGCACCTTATGGCTTCTAATGGTTTAAGAGTGTTAGATCATTATGTACTTTACCCTCTGATGTTTAGTGTTTCAGCACTAAGGAGGCGGATGTGATTCATTGGGAATTAATGAATATAAGTGCTCGAGTCTTTATGTGGGTACTTATAGGAATGACTTGTTTTAGTTACACAATTTTTGTATTAGACTTGATATGGCAGTAGCTTACGAGATCAAGGTTGTCGTTGAAATTTTGTGTACTTGTTTATTTTTATGAATTAACTGGTTGCTTGCCATAGTTATTGCCTTCCTTTTGAACCAAACTCAAGTCTCAGGCTCCAGGACTTGTAAAGAGTTGCTGCAAGTTCAAAAGTTGATTATAGATATACATTGAAGTCTTGTATAATTTGCATTTTTCTTTGGGAAATAGATGGGTTATTAACAATTTGTTTAGTTAATCCATTTAACAGGTCTATCTAAGTTAATCTACTCAAGAGATTTATCTTTTGTCTAGATATTTCATTTAGTTTGTCTTGTTTCATTTTTACTCTTTAAGAGTAACTGATGGATTGTCTCTCTCTTTTATTTTGTTGCTGCAGCTGACCCTACGCAGGGTCATGGATACAGCAAAGCAAGTCACCAGATCAGGAAACTTGAATGAGTTTTCAATGGTTTTGCTAAACAACACCCTATCACTGCCTTTGGGAATTATTCTGATTTTTGTCTTCAATGAGGTGGAATATCTCTCCAAAACGTAAGCTCTCTCTCTCTCTCTCTCTCTCTCTCTCCCCTTTGCTTAGATTGTAATGTATGGAATGCGCTCGGTTTACCAACAAGATGTATGGAAATCTAGTCCTCATATGATCTAAAACTCTAATTCTTGTGAAATTCAAATGACCTTATTGAGACCTATAGCTACTTTTGATTGAATCATCCTTTGTGACTTATTTCCCGAACCTATGCTTTTCAACATTTGTTTATTTACTCTTTTTCCTATGGCATTTAATTGTTTTTGTTTTCTTCCCTTTTTTCACTGTTGCACTCTTCTTCTTCTGGTTTTTTTATTATATTCTCTATATAATCTTTTTGCATTCCAAGGTCAAGCATACCATCTTTAATACATTTATCAATACCATATATCCATGGTCTCTTATTTAATGATCATAAAGGTCAGCGACTTACACGAAAGGCACATAGAAAATTATGTGTCACTATTGATTTTACAAGTTATAATGAGTTGAATTTATTGTGTCTTCCTGTATAGCGTTTTTCTAATTGAACCTCATGTAACGTGAAATTAACTTGGCAGGCCACTCTTGAGATTACCTGTCTTCTGGTTGGTAATGACGTTAAGTGGGTTTTTGGGTCTGGCAATCAGCTTCACTTCCATGTGGTTTCTCCATCAAACAGGGGCTACCACTTACAGGTATGATTAGAATGTGTATGGCTAAATATTGAAACGAGAAAATTGTTTTAGAATTCTCATCGTTGATTTGCAATCTGCAGCCTTGTAGGATCGTTGAATAAGATTCCACTGTCGATTGCTGGCATTGTTCTGTTCCATGTACCTACCAGTTTAGAAAACTCTGCCAGCATTTTCTTTGGTACGTTCTCCTCATCTAATTTGCTTTCAACAATTATACATCTAAAATATTTATGGAACCACATGAACTGATTAAACTGATAGATCATATTTTGTTCGCTCTTAAAATTGGTGTTTGCTTAGAAGAAAATTTCATTTTTTTGGTATGGTTTACAAAGAATCCTTTTTTCTTTATGTTCATATTTGAACAATAATTAAATAATGTATCTATTTTAAGTATAATTTTTAATAAAAGCAACAAATTCCATTTTGTTATATAAGAAATAAACTTGGAGTAAGATTTTTCAGATTTAACAACAATTTATATTCCTGTTCCGTTTCCAAGGCGAACGAACCATACATGCCTGTATAAATGCAGGCTAGCTTTCTTCCCACCTTACAAAATGCAAGTTTAAATTTCGTTCTCTAGAATTAATAAACTGATTGCATTATGTAGGTTTGCTGGCAGGGGTATTTTTTGCTAGAGCCAAAATGAAGGAAAGATCTTAGTATTGACTAGCTTGACTCTATTAATGACCATACGATATGCTTGGATGAACTGTCTGATCACTTGTATACTTAATATCAATGGGGAAATCGGTCAGGCCGTTCCGGTTGACACGTAAAAACATCTGGAGATTCTTTCTGTCACTCTGGTATCCATTATGAATTGAAATCCAATGGTGCAAGGGAGACCATGGAGATTCTGCCCCGATGTATTAGATAATCCAGTTTTTTGGTATTTAAGATGCTGTCACATTTTTGTAATCTGATATTTCATCAGGCAGCTCATCATTTTTCCCCTTCTTGTATCAGGTGCTTTAGTCTTAAAGACTCTGGTTTTAGGGCTGATATGTGTGATTGGGCTATGGCCATGTTTTGTAAACTATTAATTAATCAATTCTGATATATGTATTTTATTGGGTGTTTCACTTTCAATTCTGATATATGTATCATTTTTTTTTCTATCGTATTTGGTAAAAAAGCAATTATTCAGATATTAGCCAATAAATGATATCTCGCAACGTGCCATTTATAAGGCTGAAAATTTTCAATATCTTACGTCAAGGTATAACCCAGTGATATATGTAAATATGATCTGACAGTATATTTAAATTTGAATTCTCTTCCAATACTCAACCGTTATTTTGATCTTGGTTCTTTTAAAAAGGCTGAGTTTCAATTTCTCAGGTAAGTATTGGTTTAACCGCAAAGACCATTATTTGATGCCACAAATGTTGTTTTGAGATGTTTTATGAGTTGAAATTCAAAAATTTCTCAGTTTTTATTCGTTTCGTGACAATTGATTCATCAACTCTTTTATTTACTATATCTATCCTTAATAGTATCATATGTATCAGCTCTCTCTTTTTTTTCTTCAGTTTTCTAAATCTTAGTTTTAGTTTGGGGTTGCTGTTGTTTATCGGCGATAGCTCTTATCTCGTATTTTCTAATATTTTCTTCGTTTCAATTTCTTTTACTTTAATAAATTTATATCTATTTTTTCTGTAATAGATCTATTTGGTTGTCTCCTTACAGTTTTTTTTTTTTTTTTTTTTTTTTTTTTTTTTTTTTTTTTTTTTTGTTTATGCGGGCGAATACCTATCCGTATTTTCTCATATTTTCTCGTCAAATTCTTTACCTTTAATAATTTATATCTATTTTTTGTAATAGATTTCTATTGGTTGTCTCTCTACAGTTTTTTTTTTTTTTTTTTTTTTTTTTTTTTTTTTTTTTTTTTTTTTTTTTTTTTTTTTTTTTTTTTTTTTTTTTTTTTTTTTTTTTTTTTAATCTTGTGATGGTAGTCCCTTGTTTGTGAGGGTTTAGTACTAAACAAAATTATGATATTTGATTTTATTTAGTTGGAGACTTTAGATATTGATTTATAAGTGTAGATTTTCGATCAATGGAGCTTGGCCTGTTAAACTCATCTATATTTGTCATATGTTGAAAAACAATCCAATTGTAGAAGATCGAGATGATTTATTATTTTGATATTCAAATCAATTAGTTGTTGCTATAAAGATTTATATTTTTTTATCAAGATTAACTCCAAGCGGAAGATCTAATATTATATATATTTTTTTAATTTTAGTTTCATTCAAAATGATATGAATTCCTTTGTTTCCTTCAACGATCAGCGAATTCTATTAACTACTAATGGTAAGGTTCATAATAAATTTTTATTTCTGGTTTATAAGCTTATTTGTAATTCTTGATATTATTATTAATGAATTATATTTAAAAAAAAACTCTTTTATTTAATAAAATCTATACTAAAACAATCTTTGGGATTGTTAATGTGCTGGAAAGTTTTGAACCAAATATAAACGACATAACAAATTGTGTACCAAGGCAAAGGCACAACTTAGATTATTGTCGTCGTTTTTGTATAACCACGTAAAAAGGACTTTACCTAATTTAGACATTTTGTCGTTCGGCTAATGACCATTTGACACTCGCTAAAGACGACGAATATAATGACACTTGACAGTCGTTTTGCTAGCTGTTAAAAATTCTTACACGTTGAAGACGATGGTGCCATTTTCGTCGCCTTCGAATCGAGAGCCTGAAGAGCGAGAAGTAAAGTCCGAGGAATTTAGATGGAGGGCTTACAGACAAATTCCACCACTGCCACCGCTCCGGCCACTGCAGCCAGCCCTAATTCGAGCGACGATCCGATATTATCATCTGTACAGGTGTGGCCCACAATAGATGGCCCACTGGGTCTCTCCGAGGAGGAATCATTGAGCTATGCTCGCAAATTCTACAAGTTTGGATATGCGCTGTTGCCATGGCTTTGGGCCGTCAATTGCTTCTACTTCTGGCCTGTTCTCCGCCACTCTCGCTCCTTCCCTCGCATACGCTCCTGTACTCTCTCTCTCTCTCTCTCTCTCTCCAGTATTTGGATTCCGCATTATTGTGGATCTAACCTGTTAGTGTTTGGATTTCACATTCTCCGGTTTATTTGACTTTTGGCTTTTAGAATTCGAGGAGAGTTTTGGAAAATTGAAAAGATCGCTTCTTCGTTTCACTTGTTCAGCAAAGATCAGTTCCTTCTGTCACTTGTTTAAAATTTGAATTGGTGCATTTTGGGATATTATGGACCATTTTAAGAATCATTTTTTACCAAACAAATTGAGGTTGACTTAAATCTTGATAGGAAAGAAATTGTTATTCCCATTACATTTAGCATCCATAATCAAGGTTAGTGTGGAACTTCATGCTTATTTATGAGTAAGAAGTCTCCATTTTTCACTTATTTTCTGTTAAATTTGTTTCATGTTCTGCACTTTCTAGTTAGTATCGCAGTTAGTAATTCACATTCTGGTCTTCACTGCATGGTAAATATACTTTTATACTATCTTGTGTTCAGCATGGGGTTTTTCAGTTTCTTGCGTTTTTTCTAGTCCAGTATCAAGCAAAAGGACTAGCTTCCGAACAAATTTATTCGTGTCAATAACTTTTGTTGGATTTTTGCTCTGGAAAAATATATCCTCATTCCTGAGTCCCAACTGAATCTCTCTATCTTCGTAAATATGAACTACACATGCATATAAAGTTCAATTAGTTAAAGCACTATGCTTCTATGCTTGGTAAAATTTTGCTGTCTTTATTGGAAAATCATGCTGCAAAATGAAATACTACATCTTGTTCTCACTCGTCAGTAGTCTTTTAAAGTGTAACTGTTGCCTTGTTTGCAAATTTAGGACGATAAGAGAGTTATAAGTGACAAAAGTCGTTTTCCTAAGCACCCTTCCTTCTTACCTCTTTTGTAAAAGAAATTATGACTTCTTAACTAATATGGTTGAAATTGGGAATCAATCTTGTTTACTTTTGACATGAAGGATATTTGGAAGAAATCGAGAAATCCATGAGTAGGGTTCCTGTGAGGTAGCAACTGCTTTATAATGTCTTTATGACCCGTCCGTGCAGCAATAACTAAAGTTTGTGATTGTTCACTGGAGCAGCTTCCTTTCATTTGACCTATATGTGAATGAGCATTCTGCAGTCCCTGTAGTCCTAGTCTGTTTTGTTTCAAATGTCAAGTTATAAATAGATGAATAAATGTGTGTTTGTGTGAGTTCCACATATCACACATCTATTTCTAAATGAGGAAAAAGAATTGTGGTTTTCATTTTGTATGATAGATCAATTCTTGTAACTTGTTTTATTGACGGCATCAAGCTATTGATAGTTAGCTTTTCTAAAAATGTTTTTAAATGATCTCGCAGATGTTGTTAGATCAGCTGTGGGGTTCACTGTGTTTACAGCTCTTCTTTGCTCATGGGCCTTGACATTCGCCATTGGAGGGGAGGGACTATTTGGCCCTGTTTGGGATAAACTTGTTATGTACAACGTTGCAGACAGATTGGGCTTGACGGGTTGGGTATAGTCACGTGCTATTTTGAAATTAAAGGTCATGTTAATATTCATTCTCCTTAGATTTCTTTTGTTTTTTGATTGTTCGGTTTTGAACAAAAATGATCTTGTATATTCTGATACTGAAAACTATATAATAGTTATCTATCAACCCAAGATGAGCAGAACACTTTATGATGAGGCTACTAGCATTTTACTTTTATTTAGAGAAGTTATTTTGATTTTGCCCTTGTTATTTTATTATGTCATGTGCCTTTGATTTTCCATCTGCAACTGGGAATACATAGCAAAATACTATCTTATCTTTGGGTAAGATACTAGAAAATGTGATGGTAGTAAGTATGCAGATACAGATAGTAGGTTTGATAATCCTTAGTTCTAGATAAAATGTTTGCTTATCAATGCTTTCTAGTTTCGAGTTCTTGATTGCTCCAATTGATTTAGAATGCTAGTGATTGATGCACCTAATAGTTCAATTTAATTGGCTAAATTATACACTGTGTTCTAACCCGCATAAATAACTTCAAATTAGATTTTGAACGTTTGTTATGATATCTATTATGAACTAAACAAACTGTTGCAATTTGAAACCTTATTAAATTTCTTTTTGTAGTTCCTTTAAAGCTATGGATGTCACTGGAAATTCAATTTTTACTTGTCCAAATTCAATTCATTGGGTTAGATAGCAGGTGTGATCCACAGAATCCAAGCACAAACAAGAAAGATTTTGTTATCTATATAAATGATGAAGCAAGAAAGCTTTAAGCTTTGCTTGTCAAATTTCAAGGTCATGATGTTATTTAGAAAATCTAATATATGATCCATAATATTAAATCAATGCTTGTTTGGATAACTTTAAATATCATGCTAGGATGGCTTTCGCTGCATTATTATTTGACAGTATTGAGGAATATGATAAATGCCAATGGAGTGATATCTAGTCATTATTGCTAAAAATAAAATTTTGTTAGGAAATGGTAGAAGCTTGCAATTTTAGGAGTATCATCCACTTAGATGACTGGGGAGCATTCTGAAATGCACAACTTAGATTGAAAAAAAGAAAAGATGAAGAGGAAGGATGGGAACATGTGGACCAGCTTGGAGTTTATTGAGCAAAGAATAGGATCTTAAGGAATTCCTTTTGGCCTTGTTAGAAAACATTGATTTATTTCCTTATGGTGCTTTAAACCCACTGCGATTTTCTAATTTCAGTATTTTCTAGTGTCCCTAAGTCTGGGAGTATATACAATACAACACAATATGAGCTTTCAAGAACATAGTCCATATAACTTTCAAGCAAACTACAATGAAAAATGAGTATTTCAATCTCAATCGTTTCATCTTTCTGCTGGTAAACGACAATCAAATTGCCAAAATTTAGGACCCTAACTTTCCTTCCTGAGATAGGCTAGATACAGTTTGTAGCATTACTCACAACAATCATTATGGTTCAGCGATAAGGGGAGCTGCTACCTTGCCCTTTTATCAGAGAATAGTATACTCCATTGTGTCCTAATGAGATTAGTTCGTGATGTGACCCTTCTTCAACAATCTTCCCATTCTTGATAACTGCAATGCTGTTGGATTTCTGTATAGTTGATAGCCTATGAGCAACAACTATGCATGTTCTGTCAACCATCATCTTCTCCAGTGCCGCTTGCACTAGGCTTTCGGAGACACTGTCAAGTGCACTGGTTGCCTCATCCAACAGAAGGATTGATGGGTTCTTGATGATGGCACGGGCGAGAGCAATCCTTTGTTTTTGACCTCCTGAGAGCTGAACTCCCCTTTCTCCACAGTATGTGTCGTATCCATCTTTCATTCCACTGCAAAAGAGCATAGATAAATGATTGGAAGAAGTTTAATTGCTTGAATAGCTGTATTTGCTCCCTTTGAGCTCATTAAACATGCTGAGCCTATTTGCTTTCAGATCACAATTTGAGTCTGCTATACAAAATAAAGGAAAAAAAAAGCTCTTTTTCTTTTTTTCCATTATCAACTCTACTGTATTTGTCTTACCTGATAAACTCATCTGCATTTGCAAGAACTGCAGCCTTGTGTATTTCAGATTCTTGCGCATTCTCTTTGCCATAAGCAATGTTTTCCCTGATTGTTCCAGCAAATAGGGTTGGCTCCTGACTAACTAATGCAATATGGGATCTAAGCATCCTTATATTGTAGTTCTTTATATCCTGTCCATCGATTGAAACTAATCCCTTCGATGGATCATAGAATCTTTCGATAAGGCCAATGATAGTAGATTTTCCTGAACCACTTGGCCCTACTAGTGCCACTGTCTTCCCTGCATCAATTTTAATGCTCAAACCCTTAAAGATCATCTGATCAGGTCTTGTTGGATATGCAAAGAACACATTTTTGAGCTCCACACGACCCTTTATCTTTTTCTTAATGTCTAAGCCCCAAGAGCTATCTGGATCAATGTCACTTTTTCTGTCTAGAATTGCAAACACTGATTTAACAGCGTTGCTTCCTTTAGATAAATCATTAGTCATACTTCCAGCTTCTGCAATAACATAGGCAGTGAAAAGCAGTATCAGAAATGCTTGGAAAAGATGCTCCGGGGTTATTGACCCTTCTGTGAGGAGTCTTCCCCCATACCAGTAAGCTAATGCGGTAGAAGCTGTGTTGAAGAATTGAGCACTAAAGAGGCCAAAACCAGAGAGCCATGCATGTTTAATACTCTCTTCTTTAGGACCTCTCAAGGTGTCTTTGAATAGCCCTAGTATTCTCTTCTGAGAAGAGAATGCAGTTATTGTTCTGTGGTTAGTGACAGCCTCGCTTGCTAGTTGGCTTCCTTCTTTTTGCGCTTTTTGTGCCTTTACAGCCATGGTTTTTGTCAAGACACTCCTTGAGTAGTAGCTCCCAACAACTAATGGTTGTACTGCAATCATCACTAGGGCTAGCTTCCATGTCAGGACAAGTGCTAGTACATAAGCAAAGAGAGAACCAAAGAATGCTTGAACCAGCAATGACATTCGGTCTCCAACGAGGGACCGAACCATGTTGGCTTCAGTGGCTATCCTTGCACAAATTGCTGCACTTGTGTTCTCATCATCATCAAACCATCCTATCTCAAAAGTCATTAGCTTTGCTAGCAGTTTCTCCCGTACTCTTTTTGTCAGTTTTTCGCCCATAACTGCAAAATTGTAGTGTTGAAGGATACTGGTGGTGAAGTTGAGAGCAGCAACGCCTAGGAAGACAAGGGACAAGGTTCTGGATTTGTGCTTGATAGCAGATTTGTCAGTGCGGAAGTAATTTGATATAAGTGATCCCACACAGTAAGCATTTATGGGTTGAACCGCCCCAGAGCCTACTGCAGCCAAGCATCCAACCAAGGCTCTGCCCCTTTCAGGTGCATTCATTTTCAGCAGTCGCCACTGAGAAGGAGCAGGATGATTCAATCGCTTTAAGTCATCTCCAGTATAGTCATCATCAGGATCGTATGGGACCGAATAGGAATATGGGGTGCCAAGGGAGAATGCAGGGCTGAATGGATATAGCACTGGAGTGTTCTGAGCACTTGACCTCACACTGATTGGGCTTGGAGCAACACCCATTTTGTGGAAGTTTCTCCCATCAATACGAGGACTAAAATCATTCGAAGCTTCATTTTCTGCAGCCATCTGCTGCAATTGCACCATCCGGAAGTATTCTCCGCTCTGTCCGTCATTTATCTGCATCAGCTCTTCATGAGACCCCGATTCAATTACTCTCCCTGCTTGGAGAACCACAATCAGGTGCGCTGTTCTGATTGTGGAAAGGCGGTGAGCAATGGTGATTGTTGTCCTTCCTTTTGATGCCTGATCAATTGCTGATTGCACTAGTCTTTCTGATTGTGTATCAAGTGCACTAGTTGCCTCATCAAGCAGAAGGATTTTGGGATTCCTGATGACGGCCCTTGCTATTGCAATTCGCTGTTTTTGGCCACCAGACATTTGGAAACCAAATTGGCCAACCTGGAAACCAACCAAGCAGAGGTTGTCAACCATGAAGGTTATGTTTTAAACTGCTCATAACATAAGCTTCTTCTGGCTTATATGCTGTGCTTTTGCATGGTTCAAAATTTCTGACATAAAAAAGTTCACTTAAAAAAAATTTCAATGTCGAAGGAAGCATAGAGTGATAGATTAGCTTACTTGTGTTTCATAGCCATCTGGTAACTTGACGATGAAGTCATGAGCGTTTGCAGCCTTAGCAGCTGTTATCACGTCATCCATTGAAGCTCCTTCCTTACCAAATAGTATATTCTCCCTTATAGATGTCGCAAACAGGACTGGTTCCTGATTAACTAGACCCATCTGAGATCTCAACCATTTCAACTGAAGTCTTCTTATTTTGTATCCATCTAAGAGAACTTCTCCTTCAATAGGGTCATAAAATCTTTGAAGCAATGAAATAATCGTGGACTTTCCAGAACCACTGCCACCTACAAGTCCAACAGTCTTACTAGCTGGAATTGTAAGATTCAACCCTTGTAAGATTGTTGTATCAGGTCTTGATGGGTAACTAAAATAGATGTCCTTGAATTCAATTTCTCCTCTTACATATGACAAAGCCTTTCCCTTCTTATCTTCCGAGTCTATACTAGGATTTCGATCTATCATTTCAAAAATACGAGTAGCAGCTACTGTTGCCTGTGTGATGGAAGTTAGATTTGGTAGTGCACTCAAAACGCTCCTGCATATACCGAATTGATAATATGAGTTTTAAAGTTGAAATCAGATTTAATATAGTAATAATAGTTGAAAGTAATTGATAACTCACAGTCCTCCCATGATGACATTGATCCCAGCTACAAAAATAGAACCACCTTTTTCCCCCTTTTCAGTTACCAAATGAGTACCAACCCAAGCCTGAAAAGCCCAACCTACATAAATGATTCCCATGCTTCCCATCATCAAGCCCTTTGCAGAACCTTGCTTTACTCCCAGTTCTAGTGTCTTCTGAAGTGCGCGGCTGAACATTTCTAGTGTTTGCCGCTCAGCCACATATGAATATACAGTTCGTATTGAAGAAATTGCTTGTTCTGCTATTCCACCAGCAACCCCATACGATTCAATCATCTTCATTGTTACATCTATCATGAGCTTCCCGAACACAAGTCCCGGGACAATGAACATTATTGATAAAGGAAGAGCGGCCAATGCAAGCTTCCATGATAAAATGAAGGAGAACAAGAGGCAGGAGGCGAAGGTCGACATATATGTAAGGCAATCGGGTATCTACAATCGGGAAAAGATCCCAGTTTTAATCACAGTAAAGAGATTAGCGAAATTGTTTTGTATAGATTCCTTGTTGCATTTATATGTTAATAAACCACTAAATTACTGGGAATCTGTTCTTGATTCAGGGTTGTGATACTCCCTGACCAATCATTTAGTTATTTTCCATCTTTCTTGTATAGTGTACAATATAGTTTCATCTATACTAAAGAACCAGATAGATGCCAAGCCTAAACCTTGATTTAGAGTTCGTTTGATAAACATGCTGAGCCTGAGCTAGCCAAAGATTGGTTTAGCTCACTAGCCCTGTTTAAAAATAAAAGCAGCACAAATCCATGTAAATTTGGTTTGGAGTTAAGGTACTGAACTTCTACATAGGCTTTGCAGATTAAGGTTTCATAGCCTGCACCATCACAGTGTGAGATTTTTTGCACTGTAGCAGTTGCTTTTTATTAAGGCATCACAGTAACATTTAGGCGCGACTAAATAAAACAAAAGTAGACTACTGAAACCGAACCTTCTCACATATTGCAACTTGAATTGTATTGGCATCACTGGAGATGGTTGAGACAACTTGATAAGTTGTGGAAGAACCAGCTTCTTGGGTGTCAAAGAAACCAACTTCTTGTCTAAGAACAGATTTCAGATATTCTGTTCTCATTCGAGAAGTCTGTCTCTCAGCAGTTCTTGTCCAACATATTCCTTCTGCAAAAATCAAACATAGATCACAGTTAGCTTCCTTTTTATCTCTTGATTACTACAAAGAGCTAAAATGATTTTTGTATGTAGTTTGTTAAGTTACTATAAATGAGCTTACCAACAAAAGCAGAAAGTCCAACAGCAATTGCAACATACAGCAGCTTGAGGGAATACTGGCAAGAAGAATCAACAGAACTAGTTACCAAAATATCTAGAGTGAGAAACTATGCAGTCAAGTCGTGACAGTGTTTTCCAACAGGTCTTATTAGGCTTACCTTGTTTACTGTATCATTAGTTAAAGAGCTATTAGGATCTGCATATTCATTGATCACATGACTAAGAAGATACATGGTGAGAGGATTCTGCATCCCATCACCAATGCTGCCCAAGGCCCCGAAGAACATCAACAACTTGTCCGTGCCATCAGCATACCGAAACATGCTATCCTTGCCCCTCATTTTTTATGCAAAGGGGAGGGATAAAGTTTTCTAAGCTCTAATCAACTTCATCAATTCCAAATTTGAACTCAATAGACTTATTATATATACATGCATCGTTAAGTAATAGTAGCTACAGCTTAATTGCTTGCAGGCCTTTCTTCTCCCTCTTACATTGTCCTTATCTCATGCATTTTTATCTCAATGCCAAGTGCATTTTATTAATATTTAACAAAATTTGCCGGCATAGAAGGGAATGGAGATTGGAATCTATTATCCTACATTTAGACGGTTCTGCAGCCAGCCTACATGTTGTTCTTTTGTTTACTATTTGTTCTGTCCATATGTAGGTTTAAACACATGCTTAGAATTATTCCATGTCTTTGTAGATGAAGATATACTTAGATATTTATACCCAATAAACCATCAATAGTTGAAAATGACTGATTTGATGATTCTGAGGCACTTTGTCTATGTAGAATCTCTATGTTCTTGCATTGCTTATTGCTTAGTAGTATACTGGCAATTTCTCATTGTTTTCTTCTTTGGGTAGGTTTCTATCAGGCCTTCCATTTTGTAGTTCTTTTTATATCCTTTGGCAGGAGATAACAGCAAGGGAGATAGTCAGGAGGAATATTGAATGTGTCAAACTGAGAATGCATATATTTATTTACAAAAGGTCTCTGTTATATAGTTTTTGTTTAATCTTCTTTGATTAAAGACTCATAACCCAATGATATGAATTGAATTGGATTCATTTTTTTAATTTAATTCGGTTTATTTTTAGTTTTTTATTTGACATAATGAAAATCGAATTAAATTGAAATAATTTTAGATTTTTTTTTTTCTATTCAAACTGAAATCAGATCAAATATCTTCAAAATTAATAAAATTTAACCAAACTGGTTCTTTTTTTTTTTTTTTTTAATTCGGTTAGCCAGTTTGCTCTCTCTTGTCCCAACAACTAATATCCTAGGTTTTTCTGACAAAAGTATAAAATACAAAAAGCACATTAAGAATCAATCTAGCTATCCAGCCTTTTTATTCCTCTTTTTATCGGCATAAACTTTGAGATATATTTTTATCATAACTTATAATGCGAGCTTGACACCTAAAAGATACATTTTATGTATGTAGGAGTTTCTGTGTTTATATTAATCGCAAAAAGCACTTTTAATGCATGGCCATTTATCTCCAATCGAAGGTACTTTAAGCAGAAAGCCATCCCTCACAATCATTCTACATTGTGACAGAACAACATAACATAAATGTAATACAGCAAAGCTTTGAGGGATTGTATCTTCACCTCTCATCCTTGCACCCAAGTAGTGGTGGCTGGCAAGCTACACGAAACAATTCAACCTAGGCAAAATGGACATAGCAGAATTAAAGCACCAAACACAACAGTGACAATAAAATATCATAGAAGATATGAGTAATAGAATATCTAAAGCAAAGTCATAAATAAACGTAATATTCAGTGCATAAGAGACAAGTGAGTTATTACCGGAGAACAAGGCATCTTATTAGGCCCTTACAGGAGAAATAGATATGATGTAGATTGAACGAGTAGTGAGATGCATATTAAGTAATACAAGAGAGACGATAAATTAGGAAATGCCTCAAGCTATCCAATTACATTTCATAATTGATCAACAAAGTCAGACTAAAAAGTACACAAAGTTGATCCAAAGTGCGAAACATCATTGCCACGCCAAGGCTATCTGAGGTTTTTCTGGTCGACTCACACAACACATTTCAACAACATCAAGATCAATCAGATAAGATTGTTGCTCTAGAATCTTTTCCACATGCCTTTCCCAATCGGTCTCCCTGCTAATATGAACAATATTCAAACACCAATACTACTGGTCCGTTAACTAATGCATTATCAGCCACATATTGTAGTCTTTTTCCGTTTCATGAAAAATATAGTATGCCTATCCTTGCCCCCCCATTTTTTATGCAACGCGCGGGAGGGATAAAGTGTGTTTAACTTATCGATCACTGAAAGCTCTTAATTCAAGCCATTTCATCCAATAATCATGATTTTTCGCCGCCACCACCAACAATTGAGGCTTTTAATCCACAGAAAAATAGACTACTATTATATTATCCAATAATAATACAGGCAAATTGAGCAACTTTTTCTTCATTTCGTTTATACGTTTGATTTAAATAGGTAGATAAACAAGCTTAATTGCACTTGCAACGAAGCACACTTATCATTGTTCACATTCGTTCTTCATCTATAAAACAACTTGAGTCCTCTATGATTAAATCTTACAATGGCACTATATTTATTTAATTCGTCTGACGAGCATGCCAGTGGCCATGTTGTATTAAATAACATTATAACCAAAATATTAGTTCAAGCCCCGCGCGTCCATAGACTCGAAAAAGAGGAACTCGTAGAGGATGTGGTCAGAGATAATTATCCTTAGTTCTCATTCCTTGGTAAAACTACATGTGATACACGCACGGATCCTTGCACCAGGCCAGCAATCTACATGTGTCTCCTTATGTTTCACTGTTTCTCACTACTCATTGTTCTAGTCCCAACTATGTGATCTATTTGCCACCTAACAAACGAACGCACTCTAAGTCTTAAAGAATCACCACATTACAAGTACTTGCCCATAACTCCCTTTTGTAGATGAAGATATACTTGATATTTAATTAACCCAAATAAACCATCAAATAGATTTGAAATGACTGATTTGATGATTCTGAGGCACTTTTGTCTATGTAGAATCTCTATGTCTTAGCAATTGGCTTTATTGCTTAGTAGTATACTGGCAATTTCTCATTGTTTTCTATCCCTTTGAGTGTTAAGGGCGTTGTCCTAGTTCTTGACGGCCCTTCTTCCTACCCAAATTTGTAAGAGTATACAGTTCTTTTTCTGAAATACCTCTTGTCTCGGGCGGAGACAAAATTTAAGCCATGTTCCAAATGGGAGGATCTAAGCTTCCAGGGTAAGCTAGTGAGATACCCTTTGAATATGGATTTGGGTGTCAGAAGCTGAGGAACATCGCAGATAGAATATTTGAAATATTCTATGCAAAAAGGGTGCTCTGCGCTTGTTAACTACCTATTTAAGTGATTTATATTGTCATAGTGTATATTCAAATTCTTCTCATATTACTTGACCTACTAAAGACTCATCGATAGTATACATCCTTTTATATGATATGATTAATTAGAAGAGTATCAAACGAGATTCACAAATAATAATATTAATATTATAAATCATTTAAAAATTTGCGGGTATTTAAAGAAGCGCAGTTGTTTAGGCTAAATTTTCATGGTTACAATTTGACATAAAATTAGCGAAAATAAATATTTCATTCGATAAGTTAAATTGAATAACTTGCATTTTCCTAAAGAATATTTTAATTTTTCTAATAATCACTATAAAGTCTATGTGAAGAATTCAAGCAACAATCAAATTATCCTCTTCCAAAAAACATTATATTCAATAGCATTAAAACTCCAAAAAAACCTGAGCGGTCATAGTATTCGTTGATGTTATCTTTATATATATATTTCTATTTTAATATGATTGCTCATGGTTATGCCTAAACTTTATATAATAAGAACAGACCTGAGCCTGTGTCCTGTGAGAGAAAAGTAATCAAGATTATCGAAGAAAAGAACATCCTAATAATTTGCTCTTTAACATAGAGACCGCGACGCCAAATAAAGAGGAAGACCATAGCTAATCACAGAGGATTGGCTACCGCCCATATAAGCATGTTAAAAATTCTGCAAAGTTCAATCAAACCATCGGAACAAATCACAATGTTTCCTATAGAGTCATTGCAGAGTAAAACAACACCATCCAAATACGTAACGTGAACCACACACCCAACCTGGTCAAACAATTTGCTTTAAATAAACATTGTGGAAGGTGTCCAAACTGAATCAATGTATATGAGCAGAAAAATAGAGATAGAATTGCGTGTCCACACCTCGAAACAGGATATAAGACTATTTTTTAATGTGCACCAATCATGAATAGAAGCTATCCTAAGGAGTTTTTACCGTTTAAATAAGACTATACTAGAACTCCAATATTGATAAGATTTAATGCTATGGCTATTTATACAATGAATGTCCACATATACAAGAAGATATGATATTGAAATTAAATTAACCTGAATTCAAAAAATACTTTTTATATTGCCAAAAAGAATGACCTTGAGTTTGGGAATAAATTAGGAAACATTTTCTTGGAAATTATATTCTGTGCTTTGTCCATTTGACTTTTTTTCAAGAACCACAATTCCTATTTTTATTATCGCCCATTTTTTTTAGACAAATCTTTGTTGGTTATGAGTGCTTTTTTTATCTAAATCCTAGACTTTGTCTTCTTTAAGATCATTGCTTGTCAAGTAAATATTTGAATTTATGCGACTGAACAAATTATACAAATTACATCTAGTGTGAAATTTTAAAAAGGGTAATATTGAATCAGACTCTTTGGACAATCAAATATATATGATACTCTTCTACACTATATTCTGATGGAATTCATAAAAATTATCAACAACAACACTTCAGAGATATTCAATAAATGAATCACTTAAGTTTATGTCCTAAGTAGATTGCTTTTTTTTGAGATAAAATATTTGAAAAGTACACAACAACTCTGTTTGTTTTCAATTTTTATCTTTATATTTTCTATATATAATGTTGTCATTTAAGTGAAAAATTACTAATTGGACTAAATTTCGTTCAAAAAATTTGTGGAATATATAGTGCATTGTAAACCTCCAATTTTATATGATATATTTTATATTAACTTTTCTTAATCCTAGAGAAAAAGACGGAGAAACTTTTCACAAAAGACTCTCAGAATGCTAATGAGAATTGATGAGGTAAGTGTTATAGAAACTCTTTCCAACCGAGGACGTTAATAATCGTCCCAGTTCTCATATAAATTGGTTTCTCACCTATACGATCTAGTTGATAGGTATTATTTTTTTTATTCTCTTAATGTTCTTAAGGACTCACTTTAAGAGGCCCTTTATGGCAACCATAGTGCCTTCTAATTGTATCTAACTCATATATAATATTTTGTGACAGCATTCACTTTCAAATACTGCGAATGTTTATATTTTGTCCTAATATTAAGAATTAGAGTAAACGACTATTAAGTCAACCTATAGAGTGGTCCTAGGAACATTTGTGAGGTGAATCATGGAAATTTTAGAAAGTGCTCTTTTTATGTGGTCTCATATTTTCGAGATCTACTTTGTTATAACAGTATAATTTTAAACTTATCGCCTCTTATCGAAGAGATTAGATGCGCAAAGAGACAGTAATGAACGCAGATATATAGTCTATTTGAAAACTCAGTGACTTTCAGTGCCTAACTTTATGGTGACTAGTCTACAATAGGCCAATGTGGGCAAAAGCCTAACACACTTGTCCTACTATTTTGGTGTTGTGGTTGCGGTCTCTTAACTATTGAGAACGCCGTGCGGAAAAAAACAAATGGAGTGATTAATAAACTTCTAATTACTACATTCTCTATCCCAACAATACTAAGCAGATATGTATGGTCCTATTATATCCTTCTTACTTATATTGCCCATTTATCCATTTCAATTTTTTGATCTCCAAAAAGCAGAGAGAAGGTAATTAAAGAGTTTTAATTTTCATTCACTCTTAGTGATTTTTTAGTATTGTTATTTTTTTTTGTTTTGCCTAAAAGAAAAACCATTTATTCGTAAAAGATAGACGAGGTTGCAAATTTTGCTTAGGGGAAAAGGGAGACGTACAACCAGCTAGGTGGGTGTTAATTAGATAACATTATTTAACTCAAGTCTTGGTTCGCAAATCTCATTAAATCGTGTGTGTACCGCGCCGCGAAGTACGTAGAAAAATACTGTCATAAAGTACATAGTGGTATTGGTATTGAGCATACAATTGCCTATTCTTTATTCGTATTTTATTGCTCTAACTAAATGTGAAATTGTGATCCAAAAGCAATTGAACCATTTTTGTTTATTAATGGTCATTACTATTTTTACAAATCCAGAAAATTTTTACTTTCATGACAATTCTACTAATCTTAAAGTTATACTTATGGTGGTCCTTCCTATATATAGTTGCTCTTTAATTTTCCCCCTGTGACTGACCAAAATTGTTTTGTTGAAACTCACGGTATTTGAAGGTCCCGACAAACATTTATTAGTCTATTATTGCTCTATTAATCATCTCTCTAATAAAGTTGCTTTTGCGAGATCACTCTTCTATCTCCACAATCATTCGCTATAGAAACAGCAAATAGAGCTGAACAAATGTTATAGTTATATCCAGATATTTTATGCATAAACTCACATGAAATGATATTTGTGGGAGGGCGAAAAAAATTAGAATAAATTTTAGCATATATTTTTTGCATGAAAGAATATATAAATTGAGATTGCCTATTGGTTTGGTTGTGACTTTATAAGAAATGACCAGGCCTGAGTCACAATTTTGTAATTTTCAACATAGAGCTTGAAGAAAATGTTCTAAGTAATAGTTGTTTAAGAAAAAAGAATAGAGAAAATCCATATCTATAAGATTTTCTCTTGGTACAATATCGATTATATTTGCATAATATAGAGTATCTAATTTTTCACAATTATTATACTCCAATTTCCATTTAGTTTAAATTCTCATTTAACTTCATATGGCGCAGGTAATGAAATCATGTTGCTCTATTATACTTATAGTAAAATATTATATTGTAGATAACTTAAATATTTACCCGAGCCACTAGGGGAGATTTAAATTATCAAACTATATATAAAATTAAATATTAAATAGTTAATATTAATTTCTTATAAAAATAGAGGAACGTAAATCTGTCTATACCCAAAGAAAAATAAAATGATGCCTTTCATCAATATTAATAAAATTCATTAGAATAATTTATAAAAAATACTCTCAAACTAGAATGTATTATAATTTAATAAAATTATAAACGAATAGGCACGCCAACTCTCAGTGATTGCGACCATCGTTAAGAATATCAAAAAATTAAAAAAAAAAAAACATAAAACGCTTAAAAAATTTTATTATCTAGATCGGTCAATTTAAATGCAATAAATTTTATAATATCTATATTGTAATAGCATAAACTACACACAGTTATTAAAGCACTATAAAAACTATAAAATCTTTATTTGATTGTTCCAAGAAAAAGAGGATCAAATGAGTAATTATTTCTCATCTTTTTTCTCAATATTGATTATTTCTTATTCTTAAATGAAAAGTAATAGATACATATTTCGAGGTTGGCTTACAAAAACTCTAACTTTCAGATTATATTAATATGAAGTTAATCTATCTCCAAACAAAAATATGGACAAAACAAAAGCCGCAGAAGAATCAATAAGAAGCATAATGGAAGGTATAGGGAAGCCCCACCCTCTTTCATTATTTAAATAAATTTAATGGAGTAATCTTCTGAAAAATATGTTTCATAATATACTAAATAAATTTATAAAATACAATGTATAATAATAAAGTCACGCAAAGTGCAAGCGTTCAACTAGTTAATTATTAGTCGATAACATTTATATTTAAGTTGAATTTCACAGTTATTAAGCATAAATAAAATATTTTTCCAAGAAAAAAATAGATATTTTTCCCTTTTCTTATTTTTTTTTAGAAACTATTTTCGTGGCTCAAACCAATGATTTATAGATCACAAATGGACACCGGAGCCACCCTCTTAAAATAGTTTTCTAACAATAATTTTTTAAATATGATTTTTCTATAAAATAATTTTAATCTTAATACCGATTTATTATGTCAATTCTCTCATATTTCAGGTTCCTCGATCCTCCTCAAACCTCCTTTTCTCCAAAATGACAAATGGTAAGGTCCCTACACCATCCAAAGTGATCATATCATCTCTGCCCTCCAATTAGAATTGTTCGTACTCACAAACCATCCAAGAAAATATTTACAAAAATGAAAAAGCAAAAAAAGATTAAAGAATGAACCATTACTTATATATTTATATGTATTAATATCTTATTACAGGACAAAAGCAAATCCAATGAATCACTTTTCTTCAAGTAATTGGACTTATTAAGTGGCTGGATTATTATAATCATGCTTTAATTTCAATTAGAACTAGTTATTGGAAAGAAATCTTAAGAAGTAATTAGAGGATAATACCTTGTTAGGTAATAGATTGATCTATGAAGCGATCACAGTAATTTTCTTTTTCTTTTCTGCCTTTCATGGTGGAGCCAAACGTTTTCTTATTGCTCCAAAGATGGGGAAAAGTTTTGGAATAAAATTTTTCGTCATCGGGCGGAAACCTTTTCCGGTGAGGTTGAAAAGTTTACTGTTTGCAAGTGTAGCTTTTTTAAAGATGGCCGTTTTAACATGTCCGTTCAAGAAGCGATCTCTCTTTCATTCTGCTGCAAGAACCACTAGCAGTTCCACCGCCACCAATGGCACCGCCCTGAAGCCGTACAGTTGCAGGTCTTTTCACTTCAATAGAAGAGAAATTGCTGATTTCTTCTGTTAATTTTGCACTTTGACAGCTCTTTTTTGGTTTGCTGTGTATAATGTACTACTATCTGCTTCTCTTATCAGCAAACGTCCGCCATTGCATGTGCTAATACTTGCAGCGGGTTCTATTTGTTTTTATAAATCAAAATTTTAAACCTAATTATCTAAATATTTAATCATAAAAATCAAGCTTGCTTTTTTCATTTATAAAGAAAAAAATAATCATAAATTACTTAAATTGACTCGACAATATATATAACTGTAACATCTGATTTAACAACTTCGCAATTTATTATTTATTAAAAATATTTTTGTTTATTTATGTAATATGTAAATTAAATAGCAGGTTGTTATAATTTACCTAAAGCGTTCTAATGAAATGTAATGGTGGTTCTAAGAAAAAGAAAACGTGGGAAATTTCAAAAAGAAAATAATACTACTAAGAAAAGTTAATAAACAAACCTCTTTACAAAGGAGAAACAGACGCCGTAAACCCTCCTTAATTCCCAAATGCCAAAGGCCAAGAACTTCAGGTCTCTCGTCCTTGCTAGTGTAAAAGCCACTAGACCATCGCCCACTGCCGGCGCCCGTTCCGCTAAAACCTCACGGACCCGTGGCCGTGGTACAGGTCTTAAAAATTATATCTCCGCCATCGACACCACATCTCAATCCGTTCTACATTCCAGCTCTAAACGCTTAGCTAAATTCCTCAAACCACCATCCGTTCACGTAAATACTTCTTCTCCGGCGAGTCTTTCTATCCTTTCTGACCTCAACCTAGAAGTCTCCATGTCAGATTCCGGTACTTTCTTACTTCGATAGAAGAGAGTTGTTTTATTTTTCTTTATTTTTTTTTTTAAATTTTGCACTTGGGTTTTTTTTTGTTCTGTTTATTGCAGGGGAGGCGCCCAATGTGATTGTGCAGGACATTTCAACTATATTAAGCGGTATGTATTTATGAATTGACCTACTATATAACTGCTAATGTAAATTATATAAAATTGCCCTAAATTTTCCAAATTTGATGGAAAGATTTGTGGAAGAGAAGAAAAAGAAAGGGTAATAGTAGACATACCACTCCATGAATTCCATAAAATTTAAGAGAATTCATTTAGAAATCCAAGTTTTCATGTTTGGTATAATTTAAAATTCATTTGGAATTCCGCATTTTTAATTCTATGAAATTGGTTATGCTTGGACTAAATTCACTAACATTCATAGGATTTGCAAATGAACCCTAGCTACTAAAAGCTGACAAATTCTAAGTGCAGGCTAGTAAATCTACATATTAAAATGAATTCTATAGTTGATCAAACATGAAAATTAATTTACAAATAATATATATATATTATATATATATATATATATATATATATAATTATATATATATTATATATAGTATATAATATTAAATGAACTCTATAATAGACAGTTCTATACTAAGTTAGAGTTCAACGAGAAACGTCTTGCACTTAACACTTAGCAAACAAGCAGTGGGAAATTTCCGAATTTAACTGCTCATGTTTCATTCAAACTTGAAAAGAAGAAGAAAATTTGACTCGCAATTTTTAAAGTGCTACTGGTTTAACTGTCTTCCTATGTTAGGTAAAATTCACATCCCAAGTTGAGTCTTTTCTTTCCCAAATTATGTAAGATATTACAATCTAATTTGGATTTTTTTTTTCCTGAAGATCCAATTTCATGTATTGCATGTTTGGTATTTAATGCTTTATTTCATACTTGCCAGATGATTCTTCGTTACTCCAATCTCACTTGAATTCACAAGGAAGTGGATGGTAAGAGAAACTTCAGAAAAACTTAACATAGATTCACAGGCGGGAATGACCGGTAAGAAAACTTTTTTGTCAGAAAATATAGTTGGACCATACCTAGTCATTTATGGAGTGTGATATTCATAATTGTCTCATCATAAGAATGATCTTCTGATATTAGGTCCGGAACGACGATTACTCCCTCGTGTTAAGGAAAGAGGACATGGATTTTTCAAATCTACTTCTCGCAAGGATCGATACCGTTATCGACACAGTAAAACGTTAAAAATAAGGGCAAGAAGATGGGAGACAACGACTGCACTAAAACGTTGATGTATTTGGAAAAAATTGGCAGAGTGAAAACCGGTGTGAAGAAATACAATCAGCTTTGATTTAAAGATTTCTCGCAGTTGATGAAGCTCTAGGCAAAGGATTGATGAGCGATGTTGTACTGCAGGACTCAAGATTTCTCAGTGGGCATTTCGACTTCTTAAGTCTTAAAATGAATACGAGTAAAGCAGTCCAATGGGTTTCAATATATGAACATGGAAAGGGAAGTTATAGGAGGTCCACGTGTCTGTCTTATTATTAACAATTAGACTTATCGGAAGCCTGCGTAATAACTTAAAATATCCAACTTTTTTATTTTTTCTGAACTTATCAAAGAGGAGACGAGCCAAGCATCCACACTCAAAATGTCATATTAAATGAACTCTATATAGACAGTTCTAACTAAGTTAGAGTTGCACGAGAAAGTCCCTTGCACTTACACTTAGAAACAAGCAGGGGAAAATTTCCGAATTTACTGCTCAAAGTGTTTCATTCAATTGAAAAGAGAAAGTTTGACTCGCAATTTTTAAGCACTGGTTTAACTGTCTTCCTATGTAGGTAAAATATCAACAATCCAAGTTTGAGTCTTTCTTCCCAAATATTTAAGTATCTACAATCTATATTTGGATTTTTCCTGAGATCCAAATTTTCATGTATTGCATGTTTGTATTTAATGCTTTATTTCACTTGCCAGATGATGCTTCGTTAATCTCACCTGATTCACAAGGAAGTGATGGTAAGAGAACTTCAGAAAATAATTTGAACATAGATTCACAGGGAATTGACGGTAAGAAAACTTCAGAAAATAAGTTGGACATACCGTGGATTTCAAATTTGTCTCATAAGAATGTATCTGTATATCGGAAGGAATTATGCCGTGTTAGGAAAGGGACATGGATTTTCAAATCTACTCAGGTCAATCGTTTCGACAAGTTAGTTAAAATGTGTGGGGAGAAGATTGGGACAGACGCTACTGTTGATGTATTTGGAAAATTGGGACGTGAAACCGGTGTGAAAGAATACAATGCTTTGATTAAGATTTGCATTGAGACAGCTAGGCAAAGTGATGATGAGGATGTTGTACTGCAGCAGATTTCAGTGGCATTTCGACTTCTTAAGTTAATGAAGGAACAGGGTTTCCAGATGGAAGAGGGAAGTTATGGTCCATGTCTTATGTATTTCATTGATATGGGCCTGGTAAAAGAATTCAACTTTTTTTCTGAACTTATCAAAGATGGCGAGCCAAGTCCACACTCAAAATTCGGTTACTATGAGATGCTGCTGTATATTAAGGTCAATAACAATGAAAAGATTGAGGAACTCTGCAATCATATTTCTAACAAGAGTTTGAATGAAACCATCAATTTACAAGGTATGTAGCTTTAGCAAATTCGGGAACTCTACAGGAAAGATAACTTCTATATGTATTTGGCATTAGTGAAACCAACAAGATCTTACCCTTTTGCAGAAAATTATATGTCAGCACTTTGTGAAATGGACAGGAAGGATGAATTGCTGCAGCTCTTAAAGATTGTAGATATAACCAAATTTTCATCTTTGCACAACGTGGTCAGCATCTTTAAATTCTTTGGGAGACTATCGTTGGAGTCCCAAGCAATGAAAATACTTTTGGAATTCAAAGAATGTGGTATGTTCTTTATTAATTTATCTTTCTTGATGTGGAAAATCCTACTTGGATAAATCAATTGAATGTATAAAATTATAGGTGGCAACTGAAAACTGATATTTATTTGCTGCATAAAAATAACGATTAATTTCCGTACATTGAACTTTTGTAATGTGCTTCATCTTGGATGTTAAATTTCTAATATGGCCTTAGTTTCATAAATTATCAGAATTGAATGATTTCCAATTATTTCAAAGATCATCCATTATTTTAACTATCAGCGACTTCATTGTATATACATAAAGTATGAACCATTCACCTTCCACTGAATGAACTTTAGTATTTTTCCCCCTTTTCTTTTATTTTTTGGTCACTTTTAAAGTAGTTATTAATTCCAAGCAGGAAAGATAGAAATTGTATGGATCCCATGAAACAAAGCATGCATTTCTTATGCCTTACATGCATTCTTATGTTTATCATGATGAAATGCAGATTATGCTACAGAGAATATCTCAACTCTCATCTTCAGTTATGCTACTAGCATCCCAAATTTACCGGTGAGGAACTTCCTATGAATGCTGCTGGTAATTCCTTGAAGCTACAGTTGTTTGAGGCACATTTGCTTCACATGCTGTTTGCTTCGTTTTGATAACTTTATGATCTATCTGTATTGGAAATTGAATTTTCTGTGCATCTTTTTTTGGTGCATTGTTGCAGCATGCTTCTAATGTTTAAACCTTAGTTTCAACCTCCATGGTATCCTAATACTGTTATTCTGTTTACATATTTTTTTCAAATTTGGGTTGATAGGTTAATTCTGCACTAGTGAAGAGTTATAATTACTTTTCTTGTTTTCCATTTGGTGGCCTATTCTGTGACAGTCTCCCTCTACTTATATGTTTAGAGACACTCAAATGCAATAAGCTCTGGTTCAAGTTTGAGCTTCTACAATTAAATGACCCAAGTTGAGCTTATAATCAAGTTTGAGCTTCTACAATTAAATGACCCAAGTTGAGCTCATAATCACAAGAAAATTTTAGGATGTATGCTGAGCTCATATTCTACTCTTTAGTTGTGCCAAGATGGCCTCCAGCTAACCTTTGCTCAACTTATCTACATGGCAGCTAAAATGATCATAAATAAGGAAATAATTGAGCAGTACAATATGGTCTGTTTGCTACTGCAAGATTAGGTCTTCTGGTTTGATTTCTGTTCTAGCAATTGTTTCTGTATATTTTTGCTTGTGAAATTCATGTCATTAGATCTTGGGTGATTGCTTCTTCCTTGTTTCATTGCTTTAACTCTTTATTTATGACTTCTTGAGCTAGAAAGTTGAAGGGATTCTAAAAGAAGTCTGATTTTTCTTAGAGACTGCAATTTGATTTCTTTCACTTGCCTGATCATGATAATCTGTTGCCACTGTCGGGATTTTTTCTAGTCTAAGATGTTAAAATTGTTTGATCCTAAGAACTTATCAATCTACCCCTTGCAAGAGATTGAACTTTAAATATTGTTTGGATCATTAAATTGGGTAATGCACACTTCCATGTTTTTATTCAGTGGATTTGTCAAAGAGAAAATTAACTTTGACCCTTATGTGTTAAATGTGATATTTGCTTTGAAGATTGAGGATGTCATTTTAAAATTCAACAACCTGCACTCAGTACTGGAGATACAACCTTCTTCAAAGTCATGTGAGAAGCTCATTCTACATAGTTGTGAATTATTTAAGGTAAGACTTGATCGTCTTATCCCTGTTTGGGAAACAATGATGTTTGGAAGTCAGAAATGGGGAGCTTCCAACCACTTAGGGATTTAATTCCTTAATGAAGTTGCATCAAACTTTTAGTAGATTATCTATTAATTTATGGATGAACATCATATTGATTTTTATTTATTTATCTCTATGTAGGTGAATGAAGCTCTGGATATTGTCGACCAAATATGTGAAGGAAATTTAACCTTATCTATTGAGATGCTAAATATCATATTGCGTGCCAGCGAGAAAAGCTTTGAGTTTAATTTGGTATGTTGAATTTTCCTTATATGTTTTGCTGCAGTATGTCATATTATCTTGATCATTTCAAATGTGAACCGGTGTCCCTCAAGTCGATTTTACAATTCAAACATGTTATGTGTCTGGAGTAGCAGTGATTATTTTCTCATTTCGGAATGAGTTCTTTGTTCACCCTTGAGCATAGATATATGTCTTCCAATGCATATGCCCTTGAGCATATATGTCTTCCAATGCATATACCCTTGAGGATATATATATGTCTTCCAATGCATATGTCTATAAATTATTTTAAATTTTAGAATTCATTTTATTTGCAAATGAATTTTCATGTTTGTTGTGATAAGTTTAAAGTATGGAAGTCAGTTGAATCCCACATCATTAACATTCATGTGATAATTGTCTAAAATACCCTTAAGGAAAAATAGAGAAATAAAAATAAAATGAAAAGGAAAATAGAAATGAGAGAGATAGAGGAGGGAGAAAGAAGAGAGAGAAAGTGAGAAAAAGAGGAGAGTGAAAAGATATAGAAAGAGGATAGAGAAAAAAAAGTGAAAGAAATAGAAAAGGAGAAGATGAGCATTTTCGTCCAAAATTTTAGTTGTCAGTTTTGTGGAATTCATTGAATCTTGTGAAATTTTGATGGAATTTCATTTATGCTCGATTTCATTAATTGAATTTGTGGAATTACCAAACACTCAAAACCAGAATTCAATTGTATTCCATACAATTTTGTGAAATTTAATTATACCCAGCAGGGAATAAGAGCTTTCTTTTACTTAGTTGATTTCCATCAATTTGTTTTTCTTTACCTTCTTTATTTAATTACCTTATTTAATCTTAAGGTTCACCGGATTTATTCATTGATTTGCCGCCATGAATTGGAACCAAATGATGAGACAATCAGGATAATGATAAGTTTGATGGCGAAAATGAAAGATGTAAGTTATACATGTCTCTGTGTCTATTTCTGCAATTCGTGTATCCGAAGCATGTCATGTACTTCATTTTCATTTTCTCTGCTATTATTTGCAAATAATCCCATGTAATGCCTTTTTTTTTTTTTTTTCTTAATCACTTAAGCAGTTCATCCGGATCCTTATATTCATTATGATTTGCCGCCATTTGCCTTATGAATCGGATACCAAATGATGAGGACAATCAGGATAATGATAAGTTTGATGGCGAAAATGAAAGATGTAGAGTTTTATACATGTCTCTTGTGGTACTATTTCGCAATTCGTGGTGTAGTCCGAGAGCATGTCCATCGTAATACTTCATTTTTCATTTTCTCTGCTATTATTTGCAATAATTCCATTAAATGGCCCTTTTCTTTTTTTTTTTTTTCTATAATGGCTTTTCCCTCCTGTTAAATGGTTAAATCCAGATTGCTGGTTGCAATATGATATGCTTGATCAACTGGAAGAAAAATTAAATTAACGTGCTAACGGCAAGCATGTATAAATGCTATCTGGCAGGCGCTTATTTCCGAGAGGGTACATCTCAGCATTAGAAAATGACATAAAGTAAATAACTATTTTCGCTTTGTTTGGCTGATATGCATGCCAATTGACGTGAGTGACACCTTCTTCGTTAAACATCATTGTTCAGTCGACACTCGTTTAATATGCCGGCATTTTGTAAAGTTAAATGGCTCTGCTCCTTTTTTTTTTTTTTTTCTATAATGCTTTTCCTCCACTGTTAAATCCAGTTTGCTGGTGCATATGATATGCTTGATCACTGGAAGAAATTAAATAAGGTGCCTACGGCAAGCATGTATAATGCTATCTTGGCAGGTTATTTTCGAGAGGTAACATGCTCAGCATTAGAAGATACATAAAGTATATATTTTCGCTTTTGGCTGATAGCATGCCATTGACTGATGACACTTCTTGTTACATCATTGCATTCGACACTGCATTTTGTAAATTAAATGGCTCTGCTTGAGAAAATTTTATTGGTTAAAATTTGTTAGCCAGCATGCATCATGCAACTTAAATTTGTAGCACACAGCAGGCATATACAGAACATTCCCATGAATAGGAATGTCCATATCTCATGGTTCATTCTGATGCACATGTTAACTTGTTTTTTCTGTTTGGTCCGGTTCAAGGAAGGTGGAAATCAAACACAATTTTTGATGAAGACAATGGACAAAGAATTTGTTATTTGTTCATCAGGATTTGTTTATCTTCACATATTTTTTCACTGATTTTAGTTTGAACATCGAACATTAAGAAGGCCTCACCTAATAATTTAGGAATATAAATTGTCCTTAATTCGCTAAGTTGTCAATGCATTAAAAGCACAGGTTCCATCCTTCACTTTCCTCAGTTGTTAACACTTAACAAACAAAATACAAAGGAAATTCAATCATTAATTCTTTCTTAATCCCTTCCTTTCTAATTTTCTTTCTTCCCGACCAAACATAGAATTAGTTTGTCAATAAGATATTGAAGTCACTGAGGTTAATATGGCACAGTCAATCATGGGCAATGAAAGCCAACCTTGTACATTTAAGGAGTGAGAACTTGTTAACAAGGAGGAGAAAAGACGATCCCAAAAGTTAATGTGATCTAAGCGGTCAGAAATGAAATTGTTGATATTATACATGTTGACTGAAAATATGAACCAAAATGCAGCTCTCACACGTTGTGGCAATTTTTGGATGGATATAATAAATCTGACACTTTAGTATGGAGACTTTTTAACTTCATCTACATCTATTTTTCATGTGCAATTTGTTCTTATATCCTGGAGTTCTCTGTTCAACTCAAAGAACATATTCCTAGTCTAGCATAAATGAAATTCAATAATCTGCTTAGAAGCATAATATATAAATATTATTAATTTATATACATTTGCATCATATTCCAGGGCTTTCAATTTTCTGCACAATGACAATCTAGCTTTTCTTATTGCATATTGCTATAGATGTGATAATTGACATACACAAAACTGTTTGAGCTCTAGAATTAATGATGTTTTCTTCTTTCTTAAACATTTTGTCTTTTTACTTGTGTGTCTGCTTAATGCTTTGCAGAAAAACATTAATGGTGCATTGACGGTTCTCAAGAGGATGAAAGAGGCAGACATAAAACCTGATTCACAAACTTACTGCTATCTAATAACCAACTGTGAAAGTGAAGATCAAATTATCAAGGTAGTTTAATTTGCGTTTCAGTTGAGGTGCCATTTCTCACTTCATGTATGTAAATCAAGCAAAATAACCAATGTTCTTCTATAGTAAAAACACAAAGTATGGTTTTTATACTAAAAAAGTAAAGACATCTTTTGCTAAAATAGGTTAAGACTTGACATGTTGATTTCCATTTGGTTTTCTTTGTAGTACTATGAAGAAATGGAGAACGATAATACAATTCAATTTGCAAAGCAAATCTTCATGGCACTTATTAATGCATATGCAGCTTGTGGATGCTTTGAGAAGGCAAAACAGGTATTTTACTCATGCAGTAGGGAGCTACTCTTGGACTCGCATCTTTTCATATTATGTTTCAGGGAAATTCAAATAAATGGTTTTGCTTTGTATCTCCAATTATAAGTATAGGGTTTATCTTTTTAACCATTGGTATTCTTTCAGGAGCAGTCAAACTTCCAATTTGAACTCACATAGGGTTTATCTTTTTATGCAGTAGGGAGCCACCATTGTACTCACATCTTTCAATACAATGTTTCAGTAAAATTCAAATAAATGATTTTGCATCTCCACTGTAGATTTTTCCCCGTCCTACTTTTGCATTTTTGTGTTGCCTCATTGTCTCTGTTTTGTTTGCTATATCCTTCATCTTTCACAATCTTTTGTCATTAATTTGCACATTCTGCTGCAAATGCATATTCATCCTTCTAACCAACTAATTTTTGTAGTTTCAATATTAAAATCATGTACTTCTTATATTTTGCTTGTGTATATTGTCTCTATTTTGTCTCACAGAGGACATTCTGTGTGTTAGGTACTCTTAGACAATCGGATTCCTAGTAAGAACCTTAATGAAATTAGAAGTGTACTTGTCTCAGCTCTTGCATCACATGGACAAATGTCTGATGCCCTTAATGTATATGAAGAAATCAAGAAACATGGAAACAATCTGGAGCCAAAAGCTGTCATTTGTCTTATCGTAAGTTTTTCTGTAGAATTGTGTTATGCTCTCTTTTCGTTGCATAATAACATTCTTTTTAACTGCTTTTAGGAGCACCTTCAATCTGAAGGTGAGGTAAGTAGATTGCTTAAGCTACTAGAAGAATTGCAAGATCCTGACTATTGGTTGGATGGTTGCTGCCGGGTTATCTTGTTTTGTATACGCACCAAGCATCTCAGGTATGTCCCTTTTTTTTCTCTCTTTTGGTTCCTTTTTTGCACAATAGAAGAATATTACGGCTCAATCTATGATCTCTAGCGTAATCTTATTCCCTCCACCTTACCATATGAGTTAGGCCCTGTTGGCAACTTAATATTTCTTGAACAATCTATTTTATTTGTGAATTTGCTAGTTTTTTCTTCGATCTTCATCTTTTTTCACATTTGGATGTTGCTTATGTGCATTATTTTTATAGCTCTGCGGTCAGTCTGCTCAAGCAACTGAAGGATAGATTGAACAATGATGAATTGATTATGCAAGTTGTTTTTGATGAGGTTTGCACTTGCTCCACGATTACCTCCATTTGATGTATGAAATTCTTGCTTGAAATACAGATGTCTCATTTTCGTTTGGAGCAATACCTTGAGGTGATCATTATTTAGATGGTACATTAAATTGTGGTCTTCGAATAACTTCTAAGACTACACTAAACTATACTTCTACAAGTGTGTCAAAGTTACATGAGTTGTGGTTGGCAAGACTTTAGATTGTTGTTTCTTCATTGCTGAACTACAAACTCGTATTTATACAAAAACTATTAGTTCTTCTGTTCAAAAATGTAGTTTGTTTTTTTCATTATGTTAACCATGCTGACATTCTGAAACCTGCTCTGGTTTTCTTATCATTCTCGTGTAGGTTTTCTCAGTAATTGCTGAGACAGAGTCCACGTATTTGCAGATTGGCTTGGACTTGTTTCAAGTCATTAAGAATGAGCTTTGTTTTTCCCCATCACGAAAATCTCTTGATTTTCTCCTCAGTGCTTGTGTTAAGGCCAGGGATTTGCAGAATTGTCGTATGATCTGGAAAGAGTATCCAGCAGCTGGCTACCCTTACAATGTTATGAGTTATTTAAGGTACTCTCTACTACTTGTTTATATGTAAATACTAATCAGTTTGTCTCACTTTTGTTGGATTTTGTTCTTTGATATTTTTGCAGGATGTATCAGGCCCTTTTGGCTTCAGGAGACCATAAATCTGCAAAGAAAATGCTGTCTAAGATTTCGAAAGACGATGATCATGTTCATATGATGATACAAGCCTGTCAAGAAACTTACATCAAGTCGACATCTGTAAAGAAGAAAAAGAATAAAAAGGAATAGTTAAGTGGACCAAATTTGAGTGTCCAGATATAAATGAGGCCGACATACAATTTTGCCTAACACAGAAAAATCAATTTCAGTAGAAGTAGAAGCCATATAGCGTTAGACATAGAAACGTAGGAGGAGAAGACAGAGATTATAAGTTCGCTCAGTTATGATGCAAATTAGCAAATTATGGAGTTCCCTATCAAGTGAAAGACAAGTCATCATTGAAGCAAACTAACCGGTGAGCGTAAAATCTAACTGAACGAGAAAATAGGGTTCCTACAATCTACTGATTTTCTAAATTCAAGCTATTGATTCCTTGTTTTTGTACATACATTGATTAATATTTCTGCACGAGTTGGAGCATAGATGTTAATCATATTTAACTTGTTTCTAGTGGTGAGTAAATATACAACCTGTTAATAAATGCAGGTTCGAACTCCCCTCCCCAATATTCAAATGCATCTTCTTGATGTATTCCAATTTTGATGCATTTTGTAGAAATGGATCTTCTTCTGAATCACTTTGTGAACAAAATCAGCAATCGATTTTGATATGCTAAGTTAATTTATGAAATACAGGATTAGAAGTAATATGGATTATGGTTTCGATTGTCATGCCGAAATTAGCAAGCAGTGATATTCAGAGACTATGTTCTGCTTCCTATTATTTATATTCATAAATGTAAATAGTATTTTTAGAATCAAAAATAAATTAAAATGAGAGATTTGGTAAAATTTTACATTTTATGATGGATTTTAAATAAGGAATAAAGAAGTTTTTTCAAAAAATCCAAAAATTTTATGCTCCCTTTACCCATCAATTGGCAAAATTTGCCACATTAAAATATGGTTGTTTGAATTTCCTGTTAAAACCCCTCAATCTGGATATTATGAATTTTGAGCATTCATTGGATACTGAAATTTTCATATGATTAAAACTTAACCAAATTAAAAATCATATTATTCTACATAATATAACATTTTAGTGAATCTAATATTTAGTGAAAAGATGGAATATAATAATAAAATTATAAAGTACATTAATTATTTTAAGAATTAATGATTAATTTTCATTGTCAAAAAACAATTAATATTTGATCTTCAAAAGGAATTAGCCACCAGAATAGCTTGCCTGCATCTAGCTTTAGCCTGTTCAAGCCTTTCACTTAAAGTCTCTTCTTTAACTGCAGCTTTAACCATAGCCAAATCCATTTCCATTAACTTCAAAACCCTAAATAATTCTGTTACCAATCTTTCCTCCACCTTCCCTTCATCTTTCAAAACCTCAGCTTCTTCTCTTGCTCTTTCTGCAACTATTTCTCCTGTCTTAGCCAACAAAGCAGTAGAACCAAACTCTTTCCCCATTAATTCCTCTAATTTCCCTAGAAAATCCATTATAACATATCCCTTTGGCTTCTCTAATTGAATTTGTTTTGTTCTTTTCCATCCAATCTCAAAATTTGGCGGCTCAGCTTTTGCTAGGTCTTGTTTTAGCTTTTTTTCACGAAGAATTTCAGATCTTCTTCTCTTTTCGATTGGGAAAGTTTCTACATTATTCAGTGTGGTAGAATATGGGGTTGGATATTGGAAGCTATTGTCGCCACTAATGGTGGGTTCTTGTTCTGATTCTGGTTCTGGTTCTGGTTTTAGGGCTGAATTTGATTTAGTGCATTTGATTGATGAAAAGATGGGTTTTTTATATGGATTTTGGTTTTTCTGGATGATTAGGGTCAATGGGTGTATGGAAAATTGAGTTGGGTAGGAATGGTTTAAGAGAACTGGATTTGGTTTAGGGGGACAATATTGGAAGAAAGTGGAAGCCATTAGAGCTCTTCCTTCTCAGCTTAGTGAAACTGTGAGGGGAAGAAGATGATGGTTTATATTATATATTGCCTTTGAACCTTCGATAGTTTTTGGATAACGTAATTAAAGGAGCAAAAAATCTACTGAGAATATTATGTGTTTTATTCAATTTAATTTTGGATAAATATCATAAATTGATATAAATAAATGATTTTTCCTTATGAAAATTAAAATTATATGCATAATTAAAGTATAAAAATTATTATTTTATAAAAAAAATTCAGTAATAAAAATATTAAAAGGAATTACTTTATTATTTTTGGTTATAAGTTGATCTTTTTATCATTTAGTAAATTAGAGTTCTTTATTTTTGAAAAATTTATATTAAGTAAACGTGCTCAAGTTTAAGCAACGAGTTATCAGTAATGGAGCAGAAATGGGATATATTTATAATTTTTAGAAGTTAATATTATTAAATTTATTTTTTTAAAAAAATACAATAATAAAACAGTAAATTCATTCTAACATTAATAATAACAAATGAAAAAGGAAAAAACATGACTTTTACTAATCTATTCTAGTGGAAATTTTCGTTCCTGCGTTCGGAAAAGTGCTTTCAGACCAAAAAAGTTTCGGTTTTAACATAATCTACTAATCTTTAATTTTATCGAACGGAACAACTTAAACTTAACCAGCTTTGGTGTTTTGCAACTTCAATTTTCTGGATTTGGTGTTTCGATGGCTAAAATCGCATTAGGGTGCGAGCCAGTGGTGGGTTCACTCACCCCATCAAAGAAGAAAGAATACAGGGTCACCAACAGGCTCCAAGAAGGCAAGCGTCCCCTTTACGCCGTCGTCTTCAACTTCATTGACTGTCGTTACTTTAACGTCTTCGCCACCGTAGGCGGCAACCGGGTCTGTTCTACCTCTTTCTCTTTCTTTCTATTCTATCAAGTCGTTTTCTTGCCAACCAAACATACACTTCTCTCTATTTTATTTTACTTTGATATTAATTGAAGTTTTCTGGCGATATTTTTGTGTTATAATTCCAATCAACTTTGTAGAAAGTGCTTTTTCCCCAATTTTTAGCTTGATTTTGAAGCTTTTTGTAGTTCTATAATGTAAATTAAACTTCCAATACTAAGAATTTTTGGCTGTTGAAAATGTATAATGTTATTATATTTCCTCCTGTAAATGAAAGTGGCAATGCCTGCTCATTTCCCTTTCCATGTTTTTATTTTAGTTTATTGTGATAATAGAAGTCGGTGTTTTTTTTTTTAATATTTTCAGGTGACTGTTTATCAATGCCTTGAAGGAGGTGTCATAGCGGTTTTGCAGTCATATGTTGATGAAGATGTAAGAAATACACCAGTTGTTCTGTTTCTGTTTTCCCTTATTTTTTGTTGTATTAACTGTGTTTCGAGATAGTTTTCCTATTGTAAATATGTTCTAAGGTCCTCAAAAATGCATTTGGAATTTCCATGTGCTTTGTAGATCAGAAGGATGAATCTTTTTACACAGTGAGTTGGGCGTGCAACATTGACGGGACTCCATTTGTTGTAGCTGGAGGAATTAATGGTATTATCCGGGTTATTGATGCCAGCAATGAGAAGATACACAAGGTATCTTATCTTAGGTCTTGGGCTGTGTAAATAACCAGTGTTTTCACAATAGAGAAACTTAGCATGAATGATCATAGAAGGCAAGATCAGAAAGGGATCTTTTTGCTTTGTTCTGTCCATTCTTCTTTTTTTAGTAACGTAAATGAGACTATAAAACAACTATATTCTGTTTATTACTTGATGGTTTTCTATCTATTGTACATCAAATTATGAGTTTGTTTAAAACATATTACATATATAAGACATGAAAGAATAATTTTTTTTTTCTCTCATCTCAACATCTTATGCATATGCAGAGTTTTGTTGGCCATGGGGACTCAATAAATGAAATCAGGACTCAACCCCTAAAACCCTCACTTGTGGTGTCTGCAAGTAAAGTGAGTGACTGCATTTCCTTTTTCGTGTGTTTATTTTATCTTGCATAACAATATCTTGATGAGTGAACCAGGATGAATCTGTTCGGCTGTGGAATGTTCACACTGGAATTTGCATTTTGGTATTTGCTGGAGCTGGGGGTCACCGCAATGAAGTTTTGAGTGTGGTAAGCTTAATTCTCTTGTCACATTATGTAGGTTAATTCATAAATAACTTACAGTTGTGGTGGTTGCTTCAGGACTTCCATCCATCAGACATATACCGGATCGCAAGTTGTGGTATGGACAACACTGTCAAGATTTGGTCAATGAAAGGTGAGATGCTCATCATTCACATGTTTTGTCAGCAAACAAGTTTTATTAGATACAAATGAGATATTGGACTGTTCTATGAATGATAGTCTAGTCCAATCCAACTTGACAGATAGGACACAGCATCTACTGTATAATCATGAGATAAATTATTGAAATTTCCAGAATACAAAATGAAACTGTTTTGTTAAATGTTCAGGGAGGCTGGAAAAATATGACGATATGATGTATCCCTAATCGACTAATCGTCATTTATTCATTTATTTTTTATATTCCTTTGTCATGTGTTTGAACCTTTGCAGAGTTTTGGACATATGTAGAGAAGTCATTTACATGGACTGATCTTCCTTCAAAATTCCCAACAAAATATGTACAATTTCCTGTGAGTAGCTTTTTTCTCTCTGTTTTTAGCATACGAATGTAACATGTCTTTGACATAATATATGGGGTTTCTTTTTTCTTTGTAGGTATTCATAGCTTCAGTGCATTCAAACTATGTTGACTGCAATCGGTGGCTCGGTGATTTTATTCTGTCAAAGGTAAATTTCTCAGCACTTGCTTGATGAATAGTGCATCTTTTGGTCTGAAAATAAAATGTTGATGAATATTGGCTTAACATATAGTTGCATGATCTTTCTGATAAGTCGTCTTGCCTTGGGAATAAGCATTTTTCAAGTTTCATAAATTACACTTTATTGGTGGTGTACTTGGGGCTTTATTATCTAGTTTTTTGCTTGGCATCAATTTTAAGGTGATCAATTTAATTTGGCTTGTGCAAAGACTAAGCTGAAAACAGTTTAACTGTTGGCACACCTTAAATTTCTTTAATGGCCGTCATCTACTTTTTTTTTCAAAACCTGACAGCAAGAAAAATGATTGTTTTGTATCACTGGCTAGAACATGATCCGTAGCCCAAGAAGAAATCATAATTCTGAGAAATATATACAGAGATTCCAGTATTTCTTGATATAGATGTTTTCCCTAGCTGAGATTTTCTATTATCCATGTTATGCTTGTCAGTTATTTGTATTGTACAATTGCAGAGTGTGGACAATGAAATTGTGCTTTGGGAACCAAAAATGAAGGAACAGTCTCCTGGGGAGGTTAGTGATACCTGATTGATTTTTTTTTCTCTTTTTGGGACATCATTTATTTTAGATTTATCATCAACTTTGCCATTTGAATCTATTGGAAAATGATTATCTTGCAGGGTACTGTTGACATCCTTCAAAAATACCCTGTTCCTGAATGCGATATTTGGTTCATCAAGTTTTCCTGTGATTTCCACTATAATGCAGCTGCCATAGGTAATGCAACCAAATGGTTCCTCTTTCACCTTTTATCTATTATACTGTTGCTAATATATTCATTCCCTTTTTGAAATTTATATCTGCATAAATTATGTAATTTCTCATGCTAACCTTTCTAAATTCCATCTAACAGGAAATAGAGAAGGGAAGATCTATGTTTGGGAATTGCAAAGTAGTCCACCTGTTCTTGTTGCAAGGTTTTGTTATTGTATACTTGTTATAATCCATTATTTGTCATCGTATATATGAGATTCTTATGTTCGTCTGCTAATTCCTTGCTGTAATTCTCTCTCAGGCTCTCTCATAATCAATCCAAATCTGCTATTCGACAGACTGCAATGTCCTTCGATGGGAGGTAATTGCCACATTGATCATTTGTCGCTTCTGTATCCGTTCATAAAAATGGCTAATCCATAAATTTGTTAGATATTGAAAAAATCATTTCTTTTCCTTATGTTACAGCACTATCCTTAGCTGCTGCGAGGATGGAACGATATGGCGCTGGGATGCACTATCATCTCCCCAAGTCTAGGTCTACCCGATTGATACATCAGAAATTTGCTATCATAGCTTATTTTTGGCACTGTAGTTTTGATATATGTATTTCTTTTTCCTTTTTTTTCCATTTAGTTAAACAAGTGCAATTATATGTATAAACAAGATTAATATGGAAACCCAAGTTATCAAAACTTTTGCGAAGTATTGTGTTGAAAATGAGGTCAAAAATAAATAAGGAAACAACAAAAGAGAATCTTTATTCAAAGATTTAGAACAAACTTGCCTCGTAACATTTCCACCCAAATAAAATAAAGGGTTATGCACAAGAAATTTAAAATATGAGCCATAATTCGCATTAAGTTATGATCTACATGTTGCAAGATTTGTATTGCTACAACAAAATGAGCAGCGTCCATTTCTGCTCTTAACCACAACGATCAACCTGCATCTATAACTTCTATATCTATGTACAAAGAAAAGAATCTGAGTATACCATATGAACCAAAATTGCACAAGAACAGCAAAGGTGAATTATATTTGATTCCGTAGTTGCCTCACTAAATTCTGCATACTTTCAAGCTTCCTGCTCAGTTGTTTGATATCCGCAAGATGCTGTAAAGAAGATTCTGAAGTAGATAAATCAGTAAGAAGGGCAGAACATGTAGCTTGTGAATCCAAAACTGCTTCCTCAAGTGAAGCAACTGTTGATTCCACTGTAGTCCGTGGACTCTCATTGACCAGACGTGGCGGAGAGAAACCAACAGTATGAGTACTACTTGAGCTAAACTTTTGTGGAGAGAAGATTTTGTCAAAGCTCTCACTTCCTGCAAGTCATAAATTGAAATTTCAAACATTGAGAATTGCAAAGAACCTTTGAAGCTACCCCGCTATGGGTGATGGGGTGCAGTAACAATGAAAGTATTTATCAATTCCACTGGTTTACAATTGGTGATTTTATCATTTTTCTTGCTGCTGATGTATATTGAGTCAATTTGCCATTATCTTGCTAATGGTCATATTTGGTTTGCTATATGCATACATATCTAGTTCACTCTACAATCCTAGTTCAGCATTTCAGACTCCTAACACTGACATATTACTTGAATCAATTGGTCATTCATTACACCATGATAAATGTCCTACCCATAGCTTTTAGGATCCAATCTAACAAAATGGTCAAATAATGATGAGGAATTAGATAATGAAACATACCTATATTGCTGAGCTGGTCCAGGGTTGCCTGGCCAATGGAATGCTCCAGTTTGAGTAGCTTCAGGATCCCAGCAACTATTCGACCCATTGCATCAGCTTCGGATTTGCATAACAAAGCAAGGTGCTCAAGCTCCTCTTTGGTCACAACAGCCTCAATCTACAACATGAAATCATCGTAATGCAGAATGCTACTAACCAGTAAGTGGCGCTAATAATAGGAAGCCCTAATCTCATTACCGGTTGGTTAACAGAGAATTTCAAGTTTTCCACTAGCCATGAGGCCATTTCATCAACATTTTCCTCTGACATCACCATGCAAGCTTCAAGATTTATACCTCCGGATGTCTCAGCAAATTGTTTCATCCCATTCTCAGGCAGAGGAATGCTCTTTTGTCGCTGTGGCTTCAAGACTTGCAGGCCTTCAACACCAACCTACAAGCACCTCATACAATCAGCAATAGCAAGCCGACAAATAAGAAGAATATAAACACAAATCCAGGAATACATGAAACTCTCTTGATCTCAATAAGAACGATGCAAACAAAAAATAACCATTTACAAGAAAGCGACATTGTTGGATCAACACTAGAAGAAAGTCATGCAAGCTACAGAGTTTAAGACTTGATAGCAAAGGCTTCTTTACCTGAGTCCTAACCATCAACGTACGTGCTTTCTTAGCCATCACAGGAGCAACAAAGTCAGAGAGAGAAAAAAAAAAAAAGGACCAAAAACAGGTTAAAGGCAACGAATCAACAATTAACTATAATTAATGACCAATTGGCACTAATATCCTCCAACAAAAGGTACCTAAACTAAGCTACTTCCAAACATGTATGCATCCTAGCAAATAGCAATCTAGCGTCAACACAATAATTACTTAAGATATTAATGCCGCAAGGCTATAATATAGGTATAATGCCAAAAGTCTATTGCCTTTTCAAGTAAAGTGTTTGTGAAGGGAATTTTAGAAATTTTGGAGAAAAAAACCTGTTAACAGGTATATTATTTATAAATTATTTAAAATATTAAGGGAGAGAAATTTCAGAGAAAAAAGATCCTTACTGTGACCAGTTCCACAGGATATGTTTGTCTTCCACGTGACTTTCCTTTGCCATTCAGCTCATGCCTGGGAATATTTTTTGCTTTTACTACCAAACTTTGAAATGTTGTGTGCCAGCACCACTCTTCTCTGCCCACATCTTCATGGTTATAAAACCACCACCTTTCTGCCATCTCTTGTGCACCTTCAAGTGCAAATAACCAATCTTTCAATTCTATACATACATCCACATCATCTGGCATTTCCAAGTTTAGAAATCCTCCATCTTTCCCATTTTCTGAACTTCTAGCTGTATAAGAGTCAAAGAACTTAAGAACACCACATCTGATGTAGACACCTTTCCACATGACTAGATAATTAAAAACAATGTAGAAAAATACTTTGTTCCATACCTTCTGCTAAATCAAGTGAGAGATGTGATGGTTTGAAAAGTTTTGACAGAGGTCCTGTTGATAAATTCTCTAATCCCTTAGAGAGCCCTTCACCAGGACCACCATCAGGTCCAAGTATTCCAAATCGATGCAACAGGGTTTCAGCATAGTTCATTCCACCACCAAGGCGAATGCCAGAAATACAGGCTGATACACTTAAACTATGGCACTCTTTATCAAGTTCACTAAATGGAATCACATGTACTATGTTAATATCCAGAAATGGAATTGCACAAACAATACCATTTTGTTGATGTTTCCTCTGACTATTTACCCAAAAGACAGCTCGTAATTTAGGATGGCCATTTGTGGGCACTACACAACTATTCTCAATAGAAGTTAGAATTGTACCATTTTCATGTGCCAAGATTCCCTCAGTCTCTACGCAGTCCACCTCAACACTCTGCCAATGTAAAGTAGATGAAACAGCAATGGCACCACCAAGGGTTCTATGAGCAACTTTAATGAAAAGGTCTTCTCCTATAAACTGAACCAGAGGCATTCCCTCAATATCTATTGCCGAAGATTCTAGAAATCTCAGTTGAAGTCCCTTCACTGCTAAGCTTACTGCAGTATCACAGGGAACCTTATCCATCAGCCTACCACCTGAAGATTCATTCTCGCTTCCCTTTGACCTCCTATTTTTGCCAACTGAGGCAATCTTTTCACCAACTATGCCAAAGTAAGCATAAAGATCCAGTACAAAGAACAACTGCTCAACAGAAGTGTTTGACAAATATTGTTGGCAAGCAACACCTATTCTGACAATACCTCCAGGAGGAGGAACATTTGTTAATGGACTTCCATCAGCAGTTACCATTGCTACCTCGATAGAAGCATCTTTTAGCTCAACACATCTCCACAAGCCTGAAGCCAACCCATGAGAACTTGGCAGCTGTGTAGAACTAGCAGATGTTTCCAAGGACAAACCAAGGTGCGATGCACCAGCAGTCCATTTCTTCTGGCTTGCATCAATAGGTTGACCCTGCCACAGCAAGAAGCATGCAGGATCCTTCTCCAGGTTTAGCAGCCTCAGTTTTAGGGAGGGCGATTCTGAGAAGCACAAGTTTTCAATGTGAAGTCTTGCTCCAGTGAAAGAATTCTGACAAGTATTGTTCCTGCTGTCAAGTGGACTATCTAATTTACTCATGTCCAGAGGAACATTGACATCTAATTCCTTGAGGATGAACCTGAGGGAATTTACTGAAGAATCAGGTAAAACATCTCCAGGACTGACAACAATGCCATCAGCTAAGAAGGAAGATATTCTCAAACAGGATTCTTCCTGGAGGTGAATCTAAGCAAGTAGGAAAAAATGATGATTAGAACCAAGTAGAAACGGATGATAAATAATCATACATTGAGATTATTAATTCATACCATAAGAGGCTGGCAAACAACAACTGTTTCTGAAGCAAAAGATGGTGGGACTGGAGAAGGCTTGATCTGAAGTGAATGGAGGCATATCAAAGGAACGCCTATATTTAATTGCCACGGCTGGTCTCCCAGAGGATATATTGGAGGGCAAAAATTCTTAGCTGCCAAGACAATTGAGCAATTACATGAACTTTAACATACCTATCCAATCCCATGAGTATGTTTATATTTATATTCTTCGGGTTAATTTCATTAATGGTCCCAGAAGTTATCACTAAATATTTTCATTTCATGATCATCAAATTTTAATTAGCTACAGTAAAATAACTTCACTATTACTGGAATCAATTAGGCCACTTAAACCAAAATCTGGCCAATAATATGATGAGGCATTCTAACCAGCATTTTTTATCCTATTAAGAGAGTATAGTAGGCCCAAAAAAATTTCTCTAAAAATTTCTCTCCTCCATCCATCACTCACATCTCCCCCAATATTTCCTCTCTTTCATCAGATCTCCAGTCATGGCATGCCAAGATTCCAGTTTAAGGTGACCTGATTGATGCCCTAATAGACTTAAATTATTTTGCTGGCACCAATTGAAATTTGATGAGCATAAAGTGATACAGTGACAATTTAAATGATCATCGGTGAAATTCACCCACATTCATTGAAGTGGAACTCCAAAATTGACAGGTTTAAATAATACCAAAGTTAGGAATCTGCACAACTCTTTCTGTGACAGCCTCCATGGATGGTTGCACTAGAGTACCCGGAGGGCGTGAAAAGGTGTCCCTGCATTCAGTAATTCACATGATAGTTACAATCAAATTATATTATAACATAAATCAATTTCTCATGTTGTGATACCCTCCAAAAACTAACATACAGTTGCCAAATGTGTTATGTAGCAGCCGATTTAAACCTCATTGAGTGTATCTAACCAAAATGCTAGAACTTCTGGCAATCATTATTCTCATGCTCAACTTTCTCTTCACTAATAAAAATTTTGTTTGCTAGAAGACGACCGACATTTAAGGGTATGGTGCAATAATCTCAACTCATTTTTGTCATTCCGTACAAATTCAAATGTAAATATAGATCCAATCTCACATCAACATCCTCAAATTCTAAAACGAAGAAAAAACAGAAGATGAATAAAGAAGAGAAAAAGGAGATGCCATTAAATTGATAAAGTAATGTACTAAACAGCACTGGATCAAAGGAGAGCCATGTGCATAAATGCTAATCCTTCTACACTACTTAACAACAAATTTAAAGCAGTAGAAATGAATAAGGCAGAGAATAGTTTGCTAAAACCAACTGAACCAGTTCACTTTTTGGTTCGTTCAGTTTTTAACATATTCGGGTTAGTTTCGATTTTAATAGAAAAAACTGAGATTTCTTTTTGGTTCAGTCCATTTTTCCTAAGCTTACAAAATAAGCCAAAACCAGCCAAAATAGCTAAAACCGTACCAAACTGACTGAGCCAAACTGGGTTGGTTCAGTTTTCATTTTAAAAAATTTCTGTTTATTTGGTTTGTACTTGTTAACATACGATGATAAAATATGTATTAAATTATAATATTAGACTCCTAAATGAACTCCAACTAACAAATAATATAGGATTCTTAATCCTTATCCTAACATGATTTATCAGGAATCCAGTACATATACCTCAAAATTACTCCAAAGAGGGGACCTAGGAAAATTACTACACCTAAAATTCTTAGAGATTAACAGTACTGGTTCGGTTCAGCAACCAAATGCTCGCCCCTAGAAATGAAGCTTTACTAAACAGAATGGTTAAATGAACCAATAGAAAAATATTTGTACCATCAATCTATAAAAGAATAGCAAGCAATTTACCTTAAGAACAGTCCACCAATCATAACCTTCGTCAAGTTATTAGCAATTTCTCCATCAGAAACTGTTGCCTAGAAGAAAACATCCCAGCATAAGATATTGTACTACTGAAAATCACATCAAGAAAACATCCTTGACAGAAAAGCATTGGACCACTATTCAAAACATCTAAAGGATCTCATAGCTCCTAAATGCATCAAACCAAATCAGACAATATCCATGAACTCAACAAAATGGGAGTTCTATAGTCCATGTTGACATTTCTATATCTAAAATTGAAGGCTCTGAATCAACCATAAAATGTTTCAGAGAATGAAATCACATGAAAATGAGTAATTAAACTTCACTGTTCTCTCATAAAGCTGAATGACTAATGTAAGTTATGATATTGGCTGGTTTGAAGGTTAACAAATAAGATATTTCAAGCAACAAAACAAATATTACTCACTCTTAGGTCACCTGAGATGCCATAGCTTCTTCTAACAAAATTCAGATTAAGAGGTATAATGCTGTTATAGAATTGAATATCTAGTTACTAGCACGACATTATTGACCCTTAAAAACAAAACTAGACTAGTGAAGTAACGTTCTATATCGTTCAGAGTTTCAAATTTAAGTTAGAGGCCAATACCCGAGAAAAGAAAAGTGACTGCATCAAAAGCTCAAGCTGGAACTCTGCAAATAAATTGAAAATATGAGAAAATGTACAATCCACAAAAGTGCAATCTATTAGGAGAATTATCTTGGCTTGTACAATAAAAGTGTGGCGTCGGACTCTCAGTCATGTGGAATGTGCACTCTGAGTGCAATAATAGTTGATAAATATCAGGATAATTCATTCTCTTTTATAAAGTGCACAAACAACAACAATGAAGATAAATTTAATACAGTTCAGATATCTTTCAAAAGAAACATCAACAAATCAAAGATTTCTGTGAATTATTTTATACATCGGGAACACTAAAAACTATTGTATTAATAAGTGTTTGTAAAGAGAAATGGGAAAGAAACTAACCAGCATCTCTAATACAGAAAAATATGTGATCCACAAGAATAGAGACTAGTGAACGTCCTGCTGCTTCTGTAGATCGCTGCCAGGAACCATAGATATTGATAAATAGAGACAGAAAAGGGAGTATTTAGTTGAGATTCGTTCATGACAGTTTAGCAAGAATACAGCTGATATTTATAATAATGATATGGGCAACTTGAAACCTGCTGAGCCTTTAGATCCACATCTCCTCTATTAAGGCACACATATAATCCCGTCATGAAGCGGAGAAGAGCACGGAGTCCTAGTGATCAACATCAGGTAAATGTATGCTATATTTGGCATATATCATAAAATCTGAACAGAAAATCTGGTTGCTGGAAACACTTCAGTGTACCTGGTTCACTTAATGCCGGACAGACAGCTTCCGTAATGTGTAACTGAACCTCAAGCCCAAGAGGACTGTTTAGTTCAGTCCTCTGAACTGTGATCTGATAAAAATTATGAAGTTAGCACATACATAGGACTGCTTACCCAATAAAAAAAATAAACAAGAACATTTCTCCATGGTCCGGAATAAAGCATAAAACCTTAAGAATTTAATTAAAATTTAATATTCGCATTACATGAGCCTCTCCTGATATTCCTTCCAAAAAACGTTCTCCACCAAAGAAAACTCGCTTTGCACCATCATCATCTCTCTGAGTTGAACCCACTTGAGAGCGTGCTAAACTGGCATCGGCAAACATATCAGGATGAGGCAAGAGATCAATAGATAAAAATTCCCATTCAAGTTTCTGCAAAGAAAATAAATTTGGATCATTATGTATCTCGTAAAAATAACTAAAATATATGGAAATATCCTCTCTCTGGAAAAAGAAATAAATGTTGAATAAAATCTTGCCGAACACACATGTGATTGTGACACATCAAAGGTGTCTACTGTCTATGTTATTAAGGCCTTGTATGTTACCTTGAACACATATATAAACCCTTTGTTATTGGAGAAGTCTCTTGCTTCCTTAAGATTTACAACCTGAAACATTAAAAACTACCCATATAAGTATTTGAATTTTGAATTAAAGGGACAATCCAGATTGAGTATATAGCAACATTACCTGCCAATTTTCATTTGTGGTATACAATAAAAGGTTGCGTATAGTGATAGATGCCAGAGGTGATACCCTAGAGACAGAACCAGGTGATGATATAACATCCACAAAAAGTCAAATAAAGACTTTATTGTCTTAAATTTTAAGGCATACTCAAATAAAATTTCCAAAAATTTTTCTAAGGCCATTTGACATATTCTGAATGTAAACAATTCAAGCTACTCAAGCTTGGCTCGAGTTCGGTTCATTAAACTAATCGCTCATACTCATTTTTTAACCCAAGAAACCAAACATAATTGCAATTGTCTGCTTGATTCGCTTAAATGAACAATCTTAAACACTTCTAAGCTCAGCTTGGCCACTCCTAATTACTTAACATGATTATTTTTACAAAATTGTTCAACAACAACAACAACTAAGTCTTGATCCCAAATTAGTTCAGCCATATCTCCATTATGCTCTGTTTATAACAATGTTAATCAAAAAAAAAAAAATTATTTGATACTTCATAAAATGATTATCAAATACACCCATATAAAGTAGGAATTAAATTTTGAACTTATAAATTGATATTAATGCACATTATTTAGATAAATACAATTGTTAATAAAATGAATACCTAGCTTATTTAATTTCTGTTAACTGGTTAAACTCCTCAACAGGCTAGAGATTGTTCAAGAAATTAATAAACAAAGCTTGATCAAAAATTCAAGCTAGGGATTAAGCTAAATTTAGGCTCAATCTCGAAATGAAGAGAAACAAATCACACTTGAGCATCATGATACTGACTGAATTGCAGCCTTGTGTAAATCAAACCTAATGAAAGCAATACCATCGCTTAGTGAAGAAGAGGGAATCAAATACATGAACAAATGTAGTATACAGCCAATTTATGCACTCAAATATGAATCTTGCAACTGATAATAACAGATAATTAATAACTAGATCTTAATATAAAGTCACTTAAAACAAAAGGGAACTTACCAGGCAGCACCACCCCCACGTCGAGCACCTCCACATGTTTCAAGTAGAAGGTTGACAGTGCTAACCTGAATTGTCATTCCATCTGCAATCTGGAATAAAAAAATAAAAAAAAATAAAAAAAATAAAAAAAAGAAATTTTTATACCATTATTTGCAGTCATAGCATGTAATGAACCACAAGACCAGTAAAGACAAATTGTGTTGCTGCATGAATATTCAAGTGCTTATCAGACTAACAACTGAAATATTTTTTCTTCTAACAAGGATCACCTAAGTGCATACAACTTATCAGAAAAGAGGAAGCTGATGCTTTTGAAGTTATATATATATATATATATATATAGTCCCATAGCAATGTAATGAACGCACAAAGGACCAGTAAAAGACAAAATTGTTGTTTGCCTGCAAATGAATATTCAGTGCCTTTAAATCAGACTTAACCAACTGAAATATTTTTTTTTTCTTCTAACAAGGATCAAACCTAGTGCATACAATTATCAGAAAAGAGGAAGCCTGAATTGCTTTTGAAGTTATATATATATATTATATTATATTTATATAGCCTGATGCTAGCCTGAGTTATCCACCTAATTCTTGGCCAAACAAATGTTGAGGGATGTTACTCAGAATATTTGCTTGTTAGCCTGTCCCTTATTTAGGGCTGTCCTTAAAACAAGTTGAATTGTCCAGCAAAAATTTCAGATTTTAAAATAGACCCGTTTATGTAAGAAAAATGAAACTTCTTGCACATCCCTTAGTTTAAATATTAAAACAGAATCCAAGCAAATAAAAAGCCTCTTTTTGGGCTGGTTTGGAGGAAATAGGAAATCTAAGAGAAGAATCGCTTTTCCATATATATATATATATATATATAGCTGATGCTAGCTGAGTTATCCAACTAATTCTTGGCAAATCAATGTTGAGGGATGTACTCAGAATATTTTGCTTGTTAGCTGTCTTATTAGGCTGTCTTAACAGTTGAATTGTCCAGCAAAAATTTCAAGATTTAAAATAGACGTTATATGTAAGAAAAATGAAACTTCTGCACATCCTTAGTTAATTTAACAGAATCCAAGCAAATAAAAAGCCTCTTTTTGGGATGGTTGAGGAAATGGAATCTAAGAGAAGAATCGCATTTCCAAGAAGTTGACTACAGTCATTGAATTCTAAATGCCAAAGGCTAAATGCAACTGCACCCAAGAGAGCACCTAACCTTATCGGCAAATCCATAGCCACTAGCCTTACTGGAGCCAGTAGACAACTGGGTACTGCAATGATGAAAAACATTCAGTAGTTTTGAATAAAATATAGGCGTCACTCTACAACTAATTGAAAATGAACTCGAAATACCTGTTGGAGCTGCTAAATGCATCCACATCATCATTCTCCTCCAGAACCAAATCAAGCCTATCAATTTGTATAACTATTGGTTCTACTTGTACATTGCTCACATAGGGAAGCTGAAGGGAAACAAATAAGAGCCAAGAAACAAGGCAATTGAACTAAATTAGAAAACAAGAACTTACAATTAGAGAAAATAAAACATATAAATGGGATAAACCCAGAGAATTTTAACATTAAATAGATTAAAGTGTTTCAATTCAATACAAGCCATAGCCGAATGGCAGTTACAACACTCTTACTTAGATTGTTGAGGCCCATAAAAAATGTAATCAGAAAAGGACCAAAAAAAAATATCACCTCCAATCAATAAGCTAAGCTAATTAAGTTCATAGAAGTCAATTTTCAACTCTTTTCCTATCAATGTCTCCAGCATTCTTAAGCATTAAGAAATTCCACATCAATTTCGTATATTCACTATAACTGAAGAAATCAAAATAACCATAACATATCAAAAAAGGGAATACTAACTATTATCTCGAATTTTCCCACTTTTGCCTTTGTTACATTCAACGCCGGTGGCAATCCCATACTCGCATGTAAGGCATCTCCATTAATATCTATATCCAGAAAAGGAAAAAAAAACACATAAAACAAAATTCAACATTTCTCTCTGAAGTAATTTTTCCTAATTCAAAAAAAATGCAATGAACTACAAAAGCATGATAATTAACCAAACTGGACTTAACGTCAGGAAAAACTTCAAAATTCCATGATTAAGCAATGAAAGAAAGAAACTTGCCTAAATTAGAGAGCTGTACCGTACGCCCTTGAAGCTTTAACTGATCTCTAGAGAAGGATTTGAGCCAGTACTTCAGCGTATACTCCAAGGCCCGAGCTAGAATCGCCTCCATTGCCGACGATATCAACTACAGAAACGAAACTTCTACAATTTCCCAAAATTCGGAACTTCAAGTAATCGAAAATCAAATCACATGAACCGATTTCGTTTCAAATCGAGAAATGTGAAATGAGAATTTGGGAAATGGAAGTTTCAGCCAGTGGGGTTTTTTTGCTTTACAGTTTAGGAATCTGAGAACAGGGAAGGAGTGTGGCACGTGCGTCTGTATGGGTTAGCACGTGTGGGATGGATTGGCGCGTGTGAAGAGGGAGGCTGTAGCGGGAAGCGCATTGGATCTCGGATGCGTGTCAGGGTAGGAGGTGGATTTGTCGGTTCGCACTTTTTGCTTGGGAAAGAGAAAGGTGACTGACATGCCAATGTCCCTAATGTTTGAAATTTTGAAAATATTAGTAATAATTTCTCTTTGATACTAATCGAAAATCCTTTTTAATAATTTAGTGCAGACATTTTAATTTTTTTTATTTTAGTATAAATAAATTGATTTCAATAAAATTGAATATTTCAGAAAAACCCAACTATCAATTTTAATGGAATCAATTTGGTTGAATTTAATTTTAATTTATATATCTCCAACTCTCTTTAAATTAGACACAAAAATAAATCTAAACATGCTAAAAACTAATAAAATCAATTAAATTAAAGTGAATTAATTCAATTTAATTCTATATGCTATTGATTTTGATTCGGTTTACATAAAAAAATTTTGATCTTCAATATCGAATTAATTGGATTTGAGAATTGAATAAACCCAATGTTGTTCACAATAAATTGATTATTCATAAAAATAATAGAAAATATAATAATTGAAATCTATGTAATGCAAATGTCTTGCTTCACAAATTTAATAATTAAGAATGTATCACTATCATTTAAGAATGATAATACAACACATACTTTACGGTAGGGCAAATGGGTAGGTTTTAGTTATTCTATAAACTTTTGTATGATATACATTATATGGCATATCATTAAAATAATGATGATGCAAGATGAGGATTAATATTCTTTTTAAATGTATTTAGATCTAATAATTAAATATTACTAATCCGAATAGGATAATTCAGTGGCAAGGAGAATTTGTGGAGTTAATCACTGTAGCTTAGATTATGGGTTCAATCTTTCGCAATGCAAACTCCTCGAATCAGCTCTTTTGCCGAGCAGAAATTAGTCAGTTTTATAAACCGTTAAACGAATATAGACCTAGATACCTCGTGCAGGTATAAAAAAAAAAAATTTAATATTACTATTTTATTAATTATTAATTTCTTATCATTATGCGTATCCACTATCTTCATGTTTATCAAAGTGATGGTTTTTATCTTAAGGCCAAAAGTTGAACTTTGCAACCCCCACAAAATACCCCTTTTAGTTTTTAAAATATTATTCTTATTCAAAATAATCATACTCCCTCTTCCTTAGAAAATAAAAAAGATGGTTGATTTAAATGCAAGCGTTAATGCATACATTATCTTCTCTCTTTCTTTTTTCTTTTTTTTAATCAAATTTTCTAAACTAAATTTGGTTTTTAGAGTTTAGATCATTTAAATGATGTATTCTCTCACACAGACTCGATGTATTCAGAAATGTTATTAATAATTATATGTTTATTAATATTATTTTTTCGTTACATGTTTTTAAAAATTCAAAGCTAAACTTTTTTTCTTTTTATTAAGTATTATCAAAAGAGAGAAAATAAAAAAAATTCAAATTATATATACACTTGTTTATGCTAAATTTTATGAATGTTAACCAAATTAGATGTGAAAGCTTTACAATTTAGGAGGTTTTAGCTAAAATGGCAAAAGGTCGAATTATATTGGGCGAAGAAGGCCTAGCCCATATAACTTGTTATTGGGCCATGCACAAATATCAAAACAAGTAATAAGTCCAAATCACATAAACTTAACAGGATTATAAATGCCGTTTGTCTTATCACTGGGCTGGCCTGGCCTGGCAATCGCTTGCTTCAAGCACATCAGTACACGTGCTAGACACGTGACTTAAACTGAAGCCAACTAGGACAACTTGTCTTGTGTTGCGTTGTGTTGTATGTACTCTGTGGCTATGTTTTTGTCCTCTGATCTGCTGACGAAACCAAATCTAATCTCTTTCTTCTTACTTTTGTTGACTTTGCGGCGCACCTGCGACCATAGTATATCGCGGCGCTCGGCTATATTCAGCTAGCGTGGCTCGGCTTCTCAAGCCGGCTCTCCTTCGTTCCTTAGAGATTTAAAAATGCCACGAACCGCAGTTTTGAGTCTTTCGACCCAACTTGAGTCTGAAAATAAATAAAGGCATAATTGTGAACTTTTCAACAATAATATTTTTTTCCATTTTGTTGCTTCTGAATAAGAAAAGATAATTTTTTTTTTATTTTTTTATTATATTTAAATACAAAGGTAAAAAATAATTATAGAAAAAATGGATAATTCTCATTATTTTTTTCAATTATTTTTTCATCATCTTTTTTTTCTTGAGATATATTATTTTCCTTCCTCTCCTCTCTAAACAAAGCATAAGAGTGTATTAAAAAGATCTCAATATAATTATTTTTCATTATTTGGATGTTTAACAAATGGCAAATTAAGCTCTCAATAATACTAATAAAAAATTATTAAAAAAATTGTGCACTAACTCATAAAAAAAAAAAAAAAAAAAAAATTTTTTTTCAAAAATTTTTATTTTTTCAATCATCCTTTTTTTTCTTGAGATATATTTTTTCCACCTCCTCTCCTTCTCTAAACAAAGCCATAAGAGTGTATTAAAAAGAATCTCAATATATTATTTTTCATTATTTGGATTGTTTACCAATGGCAAAATTAAGCCTCTCAATTAATACTAATTAAAAATTTTAAAAATTGTGCACTAACGATGATCTAAAAAAAAAAAAAAAAGAAAAGTATCCCTTTCAAATTTGTGTTTGGGCCACTGAAGAACCACTAAGATGTTAAAATCGCTTAGAATATCCCTTTTCCCCTGTTTTCTTACCTTTAATTAAAAAAAAAAAAAAAAAAAAAAGTATCCTTTCAATTTGTGTTGGCCCACTGAGACACTAAGATGTTAATCTTAGAATACCTTTTCCCTGTTCTTACCTTTAATTATTTATTAGCTAAATGGCCATGAGAATAGCTCAAATAGACATTGAGGGTGAAAAGGGGATTTCCAATAATAAATTAGAAAGGGAAGTTTCCAGGATGAACATGGGAAGGGAAGGGAAGGGATCTAGTACTTAGCTTTGTCCCTTGAATTCTAAGCTCATCAATGAAAATACTTTTTCACTTCCTTTGAAGAAAGGGCAGTAGCAAAATTCTCTCTCTTTCTTCTTGTATGTACATCCATTCATCTTATTATTATTATTACATGTATTTTCACGCTTAAATTAATAGTGGATTCAAGTCAAATCTTTTTAACACGATGGTTCTAGATTTTGAATTTTTAATCTTGCAAATAATTATAAATATTCACCTGAAAATATAATTAACAAATAATTTTAATTAATAATTAGTGGGGGACTCAAATTTAGGACCCCTACTCTCAACAGAAGATAGAGGTATCAAAATGTACACTACTATTTTATTTTTTTAGAAAAAAAGAAAAAGAAAATATAATCATATTAAATAAATAAAAAAAGTAAGATTCAAAACAAATTAGGTCAAAAGAGAGCGTTCTTCTTTTTAACACGAGCCTTATATTATATTTTATACCATGAATATATTCAAATAAGAGAAAAGTAATATATTTATTAATAAATTTTCTTTAAATTCTTCTTAACACAAAGTTTGATATACATGTACCTAGAAATATGATATATAAACAATTTAGTCCAGTGACTAGTGCATATTAAATCTCGCATTTAGTCATAAGATTAAATTGAAGAGTCCGTATCTTGACGATTATCTTTAACTGCTTGCTTTATGATTCAAAAGAAATTAACCAGTTGTCAAAAAAAAAAAAAAAAAAAAGTCGAAACAAAAAAAATTATAATCTTTTAACTGCTATGCTTTATTGATTCAATAAGAAAATTAACCTAGTTGTCAAAAAAAAAAAAATATAAAAGTGGAGTATGATATTTTTGAAAACTTTTCAAAAAAATGTGCACCGGTACATACCTAAAATTTTCAAAACACGATTTTATGCCATTGAGCGGGTTGCGTTAAGTACAACTGTTGGTTTAAGAAAATATTAAAAATAGCCACCATGCAAACCTAAAAAGAGATTGGCAAAGAAAAAAGAATTACCATAGCTCAGGAAACAATATTGTCTGCTTAGGTGATGTTTTGGTCCACATCAAAGTGTCACTATAATGACCAAGATGCAATTTCTTGTTGTTTCGATCATTTTGGCAATTTCAAATGAAATTGTTGCTAATGGATCATTGACAGTTGAAAGTGCTATGCTATAAGTACAAACTCAATGCACTATCCATCATGTGCGTAAATGACCCAAAAGTCCCAAACATGCAAATGGAAACTTGTTTAGAAAAACTTGGAAAGTGACACTTTACTTGTCCTGAAGTTTGAGGCAGGTTTGTTCGCTTTTAGTATTTGCACCACATTTCATGGCTTGCAAAGTCCCACTTTCTGATCACTGTGATATTGGTTGATTGGAGGGATGCCAACTAGTCACCTATAATTTCCTTCTTTTCACCCAAAATTCTTGGGTAGTAGTGAGGTGATGGCTAAGTATAATTTAAATTTTACTATAAAAAAAAAAAAAAAAAAGTGAAATGATATTTTGAAAACTTTAAAAAAATGCACATACCTAAAATTTCAAAAACACATTTTATGCATTGAGGGGTTGCAATACAACTTTGGTCTAAGAAAATAAAAATAGCCACATGCCCTAAAAGAGATTGGCAGAAAAAAGAATACCATAGCCAGAAAGCAAATTGTGCTTTAGGTGATTTTTGGTCCAATCAATGCACATAACCAAGATGCAATTTCTTGTTTGATATTTGGCAATTCAAATGAAATTGATGGTCATTGAATTGAAGTGTATGCTATAAGTACAAATATGATCCACATGTGGAAATGACCAAAAGGCCAAAATGAAAATGAAATTGTTGAAACTTGAAAGTGACATTACTTGTTGAAGTTTGAGGAGGTTGTTCGCTTTAGTATTTGCACCACAATTTCATGGCTTGCAAGTTTTCATCACTGTGATATTTATGGGAGGGAAGCCAACTAGTCACCATTAATTTCCTTGCTTTTTTCA